CTCACTAAAAAAGACTACATAAACCATATCTCAGACTTGCCTTTCAAGGTCTCACGTATGTGATTGCTTTTATTTGTCTTCATATGAAATTTATGTAGCACCAAATACTAATGAATTAAGGTTGCCTTTACTTTTATAACACACTYACTGTTGTAGGAGTAGAGAATTATTAGTTGAAGAATTTATTCTAAGGAAATTGTTCTCACTTCTCATTATGAAACATTATGGTTGGATCACATCCACTTTGGATATGGCTCTTTTCTGACTGCAGCTAAAATTTTCATCTTAGCCATCTTCAGTTATCTTCACAGATATACCCAAAGAGACAGTGAAATAATAGCATATCCAAAGTCATGACTGTATTATTAAGAAACCAATATTTATCTTTTGCTCCTAGAATAATCACCCTAACAGCAAGCCATGCTACCAAGGAATCCAAGAAACTCAGGTTCAAGAGTTAAAAAAAAGTTGTGCTCTTCTTTGGAAAGGGACATATTTTCTCCATCAATAGCTGGCAGAGAGCCAGTTGCAGCCTCTGTCGTTCATTCTCTGCTATGGATTTTCCTCTGCCWAGCAAGGTCAGTCCTGCCTTTTCCATGGTAAACATTACTAATGTTACTTTCTCTAGATGTTTTCTCTTAAAGCCTATCTTAGTTAAACACAAGATAAAATTTGAGTAATATATAATTGGAATACCAATCACACTGAAAACCAAAGTACTTTAGATACTTTCTACCACTGCTTCATGTAATACATTCTGTTCTGAAAGCTCTCTGGTATGAACTGTGGACCAAGACAATAAATACTGTAAAATACCACTATCATACACTTCTAAAAGTAATTTTCCAGTAAAGAAAATATCCTTTTATTTTCTCAAGTCAAAGTATTAAAGCATACTTTATCATATATCAAAGATACCTAAATAAAATCTCAGCGATGTCTCCAAGATAGACTCTCAAGAGATATGAAACAAAACATTCTGAACTATTAACTAGTCCYATCTCTTCCATTTACATACATGTATATCATAACATCTTTGCCAACTCCCTCATCTGTAGTCTTTTACCTATCATTCATTAGTACCCAAAAAGTTCTAGTGAATTGGGGTCTCAAGGGAGAACAACCAACCATATAATTTTATCATTCACATTTGGGGTTTCTTGGGGTGTTTCTTTTTTGATATCTAGATAATTTTATGCAATCCCTAACCTAATCAGATACAATTGTAAAGCTTATCACAACACAAACACACAAGGATGGAAGTATTTCATATAAATAAGATCAGAGCAGCTGATCACAATAACAGAGATAGGCCCCATCTAAACTCTTCTTTTAAAGAAAACAGGAGAGAAGAAAGATACCATTGCCAATCTCCATTTTATAACTCAGAACTGAGCCACAGAAAGACTAATGTGACTAATAATATATTTATGGAAGTAGAGCAATATACCATAATCTTCTATGGCAACGGTTACATTACATTAGGAAGTAGTGGAGTGCAAGGGGAGCAGATGTACAAAACAAAAGGGTTTTGGCAGCACAACCCCTGAATGCATTTTTCTGGTAGTAAAACATTATTTTGTTCAGCAATATTTTATTTGGAATATCAATCTCTGTAGCTACTTAAAACTAAGGTGTCAGCTATAAACAAATTTTACAGTTTGTGTTATGTCTGATGCAGAATCCTGCATCTGAAAATAATTGAGTCTGCAAACAATATGAGGTCTGGGTTTGCATCCAGCCACCACTCCCAGATTTTCAGAACTCTTTGACATGCCCTCTGACCAGCATCACTTTCCAGTATCATTTGCATAGTGAGAATTAGCTCTAAAACAAATTTTGCATGAAGGTTAATATTCAGGGATTAACAAGTGGTTATTAGACTGATGTTATGTATAAGCATCAAATTGTTTTACCCTGTTTCCTGCTACTCCTTTCAATGTTGCTGCCCTCTGGGCTACTCTCTCTAGCTTTAGTGCCTCCACAGTTGGAAGGCATAAATTTAATCTTGGATTTAGAATGTGTGTCAAAGACAGTGCTGTAAGCAAAATCCTAGACTTTGTTGAAAAGTATAAATAAAAGAGAAGACAACATCACACACTACATATATATTTTTGTTATTCATGTAGCAACCTGCTATGCTGAAAATCTTCTGGGTTTGTCATACGGATCAATCCATGTGAACTATACAAACAGGTTTAGAGACATGGCATGGACAGAGAATTTTGTGTTAGAAAACCCAATTTCAGCAATAGTGTCAAAATGTGCCCCTTTAGAGTCTACAGTACAAAGAGAGGTAGCAAGAATGAGTCTCACAACAAYTAAAGAGACAAACATTTATTTCTGCATTCCCTACATCATTTCTGGAAAATGAGAAGTAGGGAAGAGCCCTTAGGTCTTCAAAGACAAAAAAAATTAGGAGCCTAATTAGATACGAAATAAAACAGCTAAATAGAATTACATGGCACATGGAAGAAAATGAGCTATTTTAATTATTAAAAGTAGTGTTTCACATGCTCCAGACGTTTTTGTCTTTTTACACTATGATTTCTTTAGTCAACAAATGTTAAACAAATATATTATATATATATAAAAATAAAATTTTTCTACAGAGCAAAATGGAAATCTAAACCCAATTTCGGTATATTTGTCCAACACCTTAATATGATTATTTGATAGTCAGAAACCTTAGACTGTCCATTTGTAAAATGGTTGGAAATTAAAATATATGTATTCAATTAAGAAAAAGTCCACTAATTTTACTTGTAACCGTAGGCTATTTAGGACGCATAGAAGATGTGATATTAGAAAAGTTAAATTTCTATATTTCCTAATCACAACTAATTACAGAAAGGGAAATCACAGCTCGAAACCAAGACACTGGTTACCTGCTTGATCAGATGGTCAGGTCCTACACAGGTCTTTAACAAAAGTTCTCTTAAAGAAGGTGGGGTAATCAGCTATGGAAACACTTTCAACACACACCTTACAGTATCTACAAATCTCACACTAACACACACAACAGCAGTTCAAATAAAACCAAGTGGCTACTTCAGCTACACAGAAGCTGTATCAAGCTCTTATATAAAACAGATCATACAACCTCTAAATAGAGAAAAAGAATTTTCATTTCTTTTCTTKCAATAACATATTTTGGTTTGCTGTTTCTATGCCCTGTAGGAATATGATTTTGCTATTAATCAATGTAGACAACATATTTCTCTATGTCAAATRCTTCAGATATTGTGAAATACAAAAGGCAGTTTAAGATTAATGTCTCTCAATTATATTCTAATTATGCCTCTTTTGGCTTTAAGATCAATCACATTTGTTAATCCCAAGGTACAAGAATTGAACTTCGTAAAATAAATTCCAAAATGACTGAAGATGCAGTTTCTTCTCTCTGGAAAGTTACATATCTTATTTCCAGAATGCTTTATTTGAAGACAACTCTTTGTATCCACATTACTAATTTTTTATGCAGCTTATTCCAGTAGATACTAAGTCATACAATCTTCAAAAATATGTTACATCTTGCTACTATTAAAACTGTCCCAGTTGCACATTAGGCCATCTGTCAGTTCGTTTTTAGTTGACAAATACGAATGGACTATTCAGTACCGTGTTCAGTTTTCTGTTTCAAAAGGAAACATAAAAGTGTATCCAGTGTCAACAATTCAAAGGGAAGCCTCCTAAAAAATGCCCCAAAACTGCATTTTGTCTTAACAGTACAGTATAAACAAGAGTCCAAAACTTGACTCAGTTTCCCTGAGGGGACAAGAAGAGCAATAATATCCTATGTCCTCTACAGACACWGGATGAAAATTATGCAAAATTCCAACACAGGAGCCACACTAAAACGTATTGACTGGCACTGTGCCACCAGGGACCACATGACAACTGGAGCATGCCAGCTATTCAGCTTCCTTTGATTACCTACCATGTGCCAAGAATTTGGTGTAAGGACAAAAGCATGCTGTCTTTCTTCTCTTGTATTGATGCTAGAAATCCTAAGGCATCAGTATCAACGTGTTTTATCATGAGAATATCAAGAATACAATACCTATTGCCAAACCTTTGGCAATCTGCCAATAAAATATTGACCCTTCACACATGATTTGAGCCAGTATTTCAATACTGGCTGCAAGATTAAACTCTTCTTGTTCTGTATTTGAAGTTGACCAGAAACTCTGTGTCATGCTCTGACGATTAACCTAGAATTACCTAAATATATTTAAACAACATCCCTACCCAGCTCTTTTGAGAGGATGTGCTTGCAATGAATCTGAMCCCAGTCCAGTTTCAAAAGCCTACAGTACAAGTTAGCAATCATCCACCTCTTAGCAAAAAGCAAGAAAAACATTCTGCCAACAATGCAGGCCTTACTGAACCGGAATTAGGTGCAAACTCAAAAAGGTAGCAATACACATTTACTCAGGATTCTTTTCCAAATAATTTAAATGTGGTTGACATTGACTGAGAAGAGAATCTGCCTGAGGAGAAAACACACACACACAAAGGTGTGGAAAGTTCTAATTCCAGTTGAATGACTTATTATATTCAGCTGATTGGTTCAAAAGAAAGCTATATTGAAAGATTCATCACCCTGTATTTGGGAGCTTAAGTAAATTAAAGTGTAGTTGCTACACAGCTCCTAGTGGTCAGATGTGTACACAACATATAAAGCTGTGCTACAGGGAGCACCATTCTCCTCATCTTCAATGGCACATGACAATTGAGAGTCAAATATTACGGAAATATGCAGAAACAAGATTTTAACAATTACTTTGAGCACTAATATTTAGCTGGTCAGGAATTTTTCAGACAAAATAATCATGACTTATACGTAACTGCCACATGTGAATGAACTATATGAAAGTATCATAGACCCCAGTTATGCACATTAAGGTGAATACTAGAAACATACTTGAAAATATTCTTACGTGCAATATGAGTAGTTCTAACAGTTTAGAAGGAAAATAAACAACAACATTGCTTACATATCTATCATCTGATCCACTGGCTATAAAGCGTCCACAGGGAGACACTGCAATTCCACATGGATAGCAGCGGCTGCTRTGTCCTTCAAAACGACGTTCACACCTACAAAGAAATTTCATTGTTATTAACACCAACTAAAAATTACCTCTTTTACTGCCATTTTCATTAAATCCTGCTGAAGTCTCATCTGTTTTTCTTAGTCTGCAAATTCACTAAGGCAAATCCACAAGTTAAATTCCTTAAATATCTCTGCAGTAGGATTTTGACAAAACTGAAAGACATTAAAGAAAATTAATGATTAAAAATAAAATTAACAGAAAAAACTGGCCCAGGAMAATGACCAAACCCATTATTTGTGGCGTTGTTTAGTTTACAGGGATAGAAACATTAATAATTAGAAATGAAGAGGTGAGATGTCTGTCAGTTAGTTAATCCCTAGCTAGCCAACTCACACAGTAAAGTGTGAAAGTCTGCTCTGTGAGGATTTATAAATCTTCCTCAAGTTATTTATATCAGATGAAGATACTGTATGTGGAATCATAACATAAACAATTATTGCTTGCTTTTCTTACACCTAAATCTGAATATTTATACTTTATTCCTCTATTTACATTTTTATTCCATACACTAATTTCTTGTATATGGTAATTCAAGAAAATCAATACCCAAATGACATTTCCAAACTGAAAAATCCTTCCCCTCATCACCTCTCTGTCCTGTAACTGTAGATAGCTTCTTACCCATCTAAAGTCTAAATGGATTTGAAATTAATGCAAGGAGTTAATTTTCTACTTTTCACGTTAATGTTGCAAGAAAATTGTGGAGTAAGTTTTAAACAGCTGAGCACACTTGGGCTATTTAAAAAAAATAACTTTTTATTGAGATGAAGATTAATATCCACCTAATATGGTTGTAAAGAACCATGATAGCTTTGCAGTCATCAGAAAACTAAGGTAAAAGAAATACTATTTAGAGTTTCTTCAATATTAAAAGTCATTTTAATACAAATTTCATGTATTCACAAGCTTTTACAAATTTCAGCATTCAGAACTGTCATTTACAGATGTTTACCTCATTTTAGAGATTCATTTTTATACCTTTGAGTCATTATTTCAAAGCAGAGTTAAAATAACCTATCATCTTCTTTCATCTTTACTATGAATGCCATCAACCTACCCTTCTTACAAAACAAATTCACATACTTCACCACAATGCAGCTGTCATGCATTCCTTTTTTTTAATGTATGCTAGGTCCAGGAACAAATTTGAAATACTAAAATCTCCTGCCAGCTCCTGTGATATACACTTTTTCCTGGCCAGTGAAATCACATAAGCTATGTAAATTCAATTGACTGAACCCAAGTGCAGAAAGCTCTAAATTTTTGTACCATATTGTTCTGTTGTAGACATGCATGTATGTGTAAGAATGCACTAAATGCCAAGTTGGTTTCATTCACCAAGGCAAAACAGACATACTTAAACAAAAACATTACTTTGTGACTGATCTAACTGTTATCACTTGCTAAAGCATAAAAGAGACACTTTTGAATGCAGGAAAAGACATCATTTTATAGAGCCTAACTCTGAATTTTACTGTATTCTATATAATCTGTATAAAACTACTGGTATTAACAGATATTTTGAGCGTACAGTAACCAGACATTTTGCCCCAGATTGCCGTGGTGGGGGAAGAATGCAAGCAGCTCAATATGAATGATAAAGCAAACTTCAACTTCATTCGTGTCACACACTGTTTATATATGCTCATAGTTAATTATGCCCACTTGCTACAATATTATTGGCTAAACACAGAAAGTTACATTCTCCTTTCACTCCCCTCTTCGGCTCTTTCCCAATCTCTCAAAAACATCCTGACCTTGACTATTCTTAGCGCTTGCATACTGCAACATACCAAAAACATTCTGTCTTTGAACACACTGGATACACACATCCTGCAATGTTCTCCATTATCAACACAGAGGCCCAATGCTGCCCCTGAGCAATATTTTCAGTTATTAATGCAAAGGCCTAAAATTTGTTAGCACCCAGTTTGCTTGCACAAGCCTTCGAGGGAGCTAAGTCCCTTTTCATTAAGCCATTCTGCAACACCATATAAGTTCTATCCTAATACTGCTGTAAATAGCTGCATTTAAGAGAGCACTACAGTTCCAGAAAATCAACTTATGAAGACAGCCAATTACTGTTACTAAGATGTAAAAACATTTTTCAACTTCAGTTTTCTCTCATGAGTATTCAGAGACTTTCAGCAACCAATGGCAACATTTGGTCTATTGAATAACCTCCCTCTGTTCAACCTTCCTACTGACAGCAAAGGAGAATACCGACTACCTCAATCTCCTCAGCATTCTCCTCCTCAGTTAGGCTTCTACCAAACATTATTCATTGATAATGAATAGAGTAAACTTCTTCCACAACTTAGCCTTGAGTCTTAATTGCATTGTTTGCAAATTTCAGGGAGATTTTTTTTTTCCAAGTGTCTTTCCATAGAGAATTTGAAGAAAAAATTTCTTTTGAATCTTCTACTTGCAAGAAACACCAGCATCATGTGGAAGAAATTTTCTCATGAGAAAAATCAAATTCATATCCACTGTCCCTCCTGAAGCTGTCTTTAGGTTCACAGTGCTTAAGTAGAGCACTGGTCATCARGACTACTTCTAAGTTAAGACCCTCATTGTCAGGGCCTGTAAAAGATTATTTCCTCAACAGGGTCTTTYGTCTTCATAGAAGAGTTTCCTAATAAAACACTGTGAAAAGCTTCCTTTCAAAAGAATTTGACTCCTCTGTATTTGTGACCAATAACTCAACTACTTCACCTAYAAATGGATGCATAAGAACTAACAGGATTCCATAGCTTGCACTGATCTTTTCTCTGCTATACCACAGCAATAAAAAGCAATTGTCAGTCATAGGACAGTGACCTTTTAATTGCGCTAGTACAGCCACAGTAATGACCAATATCCTGGATTCCATTTTCTTAATTGTTTCCCTGTTCAACTTTTCCATTATATCAGGATATATGTTCCATTACAAGTTTAGATACTTCCTCAACCCCTCAAAATCCTGCTCTAAAAACACATTTAAAAAAAAAAAATATTCCAATCAAACTTTCCACAGAATTAAGTAGAAACTTTCTTAAGCAAACCATTAACTCCAGATATCTACAGGTATCACAGCAATGGATAAGAGTGGACAGAAGATCCTAGAATTAATAGATAGATACTATGTGTATGATTTTAGCTTATTTTAGGGATTGTCTTCTTTCAGGCTTTTTTTTTTTATTGTATTTTTTTCTTTTAAATAGCAACAGGCGGTGATCAAGATTATTTTGGATATTGCATACTGTATGTGGCCAGCTGGCATGCTCTCCAGCCTCCTAAGAATGCTTTTCTGGTCAGAGCTCTTCAGGGCTTACCATGACAAACATCTGGTACTTTCATGGGAGAGCAAACAGCCACTCTCTCCCTATGTTATCAATTGTACATATTTTAGCCTACATTCCAAAATATGTATCTTTTTATGTTGCAAAAAAACCTTGAAGAATATTAGAAAAAAAGTACTATGTTTTCTGTCTTTGGAAGAGAAATATACTGGAATGTGTGTCTCTTTTTAAATAAGGGAAAATGTCTTTTTAAATAAGGGAATGCTCTTACAAAGAAGTCTATTTCTTTCTACTTGACGCAAAAAAAAATTAATTGCAAAAAAAATTTCTTTTTGTAGTTTTTTTAACCACTTTCATTTGTATTCTGCTATTTTGTGCCAGTGCTCTGGTATTTGTTCAGAGACTCTTCAGTACTAGAATATCTACTGAGGCTCTGCAAAATCAAAGTAGAACTTGACAGTAGTAGTAGCTACCTTAGATGCACTATGCACATGGGTTTCATTTCATTTAAACACCAAAACATTCACACAGGAGCTCAGCATGTTTTCACTAACATATCCAACAGGGACCACATTCCTGTGTTCTCCATCCTCTATACCTTCATACATCTCCAGTCACAAACTTGGAGGAACTCTAGCCACTCTTTTATCCCTCAGAATCTGGATAACTAGACTCAAAAGCTCCAAGGGGGAAAAAAATATGGCAAATCATGGGATCCTCATATTCAGAAGAAACCAAGAACCAGTCAGATTCTGAGTATGTGTGCATCTTGCTTAGGATGATGTCAATCAGCTGCTTCACAGTGGAGATGCAAACTGAAAAGCATCTCAAAATTGAAGGGTCACCTGTTCAAATTGCATGTCTGATCCTAAGGTCCAAAGTGCAATTGTGAGAAAATGTATGAGATTAGTTCCCTGTGGCTGTGGGAATTCTACTAAAATACTTTGCCAGAGGAGCTTATGATCTAGTTACCCAGGATCATAACACTAGTTGGAGATTTTGCCTTAGTGTCTGAAACTATCTCCACACAATTAGCAAATCCTTTCAGTCTGAAAGAAGGTGAAACTGATTTTCTCTGGGATCATACACCAAAGCATTATCATGCAACTGCACATTCTGTAGAATCAATTCAGTATGCACAAATAGTCAATATTCCTCAAGTCTTCACTGTGGTCCAATTAGCACCCACACTGCCTGTTTTTTGTGGTTTGGTTTTTGGTTTTTTTTTTCAGGAGGAGATGCGAAGTGGCTATTTCAGCAGCAAAGAGCATAGTTCAACAGCTGAACTTCCATTTCTCAACTGAACACAGTGTGAGTCAGAGGCAGGCAGCTCCTGCCACCATAGGTGTTAGTGTGGTGGGTGTTTGAAGCTTGTCCTAACACCTTGTCTCTGCTGTTCTTATCAACCTGCAACAGTAATCTAGWGGCTACCACATCTACCTCCTCATACTACCATAGTAGCACCCCATACCTCCTAACTGGGCTGTACTAACTCTTTCCTGCTCACCCCATCTCTGGGAGATAATAAGCATATCTGACAGCATAGCACAACTGTCTCTTTCCTATCTCCTAAATTGAGTTCCAATTTCAGCTGTTATTCTACATCTTGCTCTCTTAGTCAATATTACATCAGTTCCCCCAGCAAGTTTCCCAATACCCTGCTTTTCTGTGGCAAGTAAAGAACAAATGCTGTTTTCATAGAATCACAAAGTGACATCATGGTTGAGATTGTTAGGCAGCTCTGAAGGTCATCTTATCCAACCTTACTGTCCTTACTGTTCACATATAGCCAGTGTGGCTTCACCATTGCTAAACAGGGGGGAGGTATCATCTCCCACAACCTGCTGGCAACACTCCTACTGATATGGCCCAGGACATCATAAGCCTTCTTTGCCACAAGGGCACATTTCTGGCTCACATTCACCTTGGTATCCTTTTCTGCAAAGCTGTTGCTCCATCTAGTTGCCCTCTCAGCATATTATTGGTGCCTGGGGGTGTTGCATGTGGTGCCAAGAGGACTTTGCACTTCCCCTTGCTGAACTTCATAAAGCTTCTATCAGCTCATTTCTACAGACTTCTACAGCCTGAAGCAAAGAGCATAGAAGGCATGGGCGAGTATCCAAGGCTGGTCAATTAGGCAATTAGGACCCAGTGGYGCAATGAGGGTCCTCACAGTTCACTCTGTAACTTGAGTAAAGGTACATCTAAAAATCTGAGGTTGAGCCAGGACACACAATTATTGACATAAAGAAGGATAAAGCTTTATTGCCTTATGGCTTCAGCGGTAATTTACTGATGAGCAAGGAAGTCCACATCAGTGTCTAAAAGCTTTACTGGGGATCTGAAATGCACCTTGGGGGAGAAATTTCACACTACTTCATGTTCTAAAACGTCTCTGTAGGAAATGGACTCGTTGGAATGCACCATGCAAGGGAAGCAGCAGAAAACCCGATACACATTTTTTCTCATTATCAGCCACTCATGAAGATATCTGTATTCATGTTAGTTTGCTAGCAAATGTGAGCTGGTGCTACTAAGCGTTTAGTCAATATTCGAAATGCATTTGACAAAATGAAGAGGGCTATGAATTTATGGTTTCCTCCCAAATGAATGAAAGAAAATCCCTTTCTTCTGGACATTTAAAGCACATAATTATCTAATCTGCAAGAGGAAGGAAGTGAGAAATTGAAAGGATCCAGACTGGTAAAGCAGAATTAAAAACCGTCACATGAAATTTAATAATAATAATGAACATATTAAAGCAGCTGGTGTTTAGTCTAGTCTGATACTTTGTGTTATGAGTTTACTGTGTAAGGAAATGGAATGTTCATTAATTCCTACATCCTACAATGTAGTTTCTACATTCTTTCTATGCACTGGTTTTACAGCACTGGGATGCCAAAGTGCATCTCACTGCCCTATATGTTCATGAACATAGCCACTGAACACAGGCAGAACTGGCAGACAAGCAGGCTTAGTGTACCGGAATTTTCTGATATAGCTGGACTCTACGGTCTAAAGGACTCAGTAACTTGTGTCACTCCAATCCAGACTTTTCCAAGATATTAAATTTAAATGTGGTGGAGATAACAGGAACAGGGGAGTATGCTAGATTGCTGACTTCAGAAAGAATAGCAATGTCTCCAAAATGGATTCAATACACACAGCAGTATGAGGAAGAACAATAAAGCTTCTTGTGTCTTAGAGGCAAAATAAGAGTTTACAATGTTTCATCACAAAGAACACTTCAACTCCTCAAAAATGTAAGAATGCGCTCACTTTTTGTACCTCCTGATCATGAAATGTTTTTCTGAGTCTTTCTTAGGAAACCTAAAGATGGTGACTATAATGTTCTTCTCATTCAGATTCCCACAGCATCTTAGCTTAACTCCTGCGTTCATTGCTTTCACCTTGGACACAAGAGAAAATAATTTTACCAGTTCTCCAAGTAGTCATTCTTTTAGACAATATAGACTTAAATTGCCCTTCAAAATGTCTTGGAAGTTGGCCAAAAATCATTTTCTTACCCTAAAAGATGTATTCCCAAGGTCTCATAGTTCATTATCCTAACCTGGAAGAAGAGTAGCCATAGTTGGTTCTTCTTCCAAGAAAATGTATTTTCCTTGCTTCTTTATTCCTAAGTCTGTTTTGTAAATCATCTAGAGCTTTTCTTAGCTATAGTTATAAATGAGAAGAATTCAGGAGAAGTACCAAAACATTCAAAATCTTCAGATGAAACTTTAAAAATCCTTGCACTTCAAAGCAAATGAAGACGGACCCTGGGTAAATCCAAAGGCCACTAGCAGCGTCCAAGATTCCCTCATTTATTGGCAAGATGACCTGGCTGTGTGAGGTTGGCTGACAACATCAGAAAATTAAAATGTCTTTTCTTGTACCACCTTCAGAGGAATCCATGAGACTTTCTGGCACTCTCTGAAGCAATGTTGAAACAYTGCCAGATCATCAATAGTGAAAGAGACAGACAGATTCACAGTTTTATCCAGAAAAGATGATGAAAATTGAAGTTGCAAAATACTTTCACCCAATACAAGAACAAAAGAAAAGTTAAATGATTTTTCACTGAGAAAAAAATGTAGCTTGATAACACAGGTTGGATAGAAAAATTCTTGTAGAACTCAGAGCAAAAATATCAATATATTCAAAATTTATAAAGGCCAGGTTAACCTATTTGAATATTTAATCTTTGAAGATTTAATCTAAGCAGATAAAAAAAACCCCTCGAGCACCCTGCTATGATTCCTCTGTCAATTGTGACACAAGGATTGCATGTCATAAGAAAAGGAACCATCATTATAAGAAAAACCCTCTAAGAGTCCTGAGAAAATTGTGCATCGTTATTCTGCAAATTATTTCCCATACTTTCAACAAAAGTAAGCTTTGAAGAACACTGTGCTGGAAGGATTTTTTCCCTTTAATTAATCAAAATTTTGTACTTTACAGTATTTTTAAATACAGTAAAAATGGATAGATTCTTAAGAGCAACAAACAGATTAAAGAAAAGCAAAACAATTTTCAATGGGGACATCTAGGGAAAATATTTAGAACAAAATCAACAGACAATAAAGTGGAGATCTTGCAGTTAGTGTTACTATCCACAACACTTCAAACAGTATAAATGAGAAGGTGGATTTACCTTTGCTATATTTCAAGAACACTGGACAAAGATTTCACTAAACAAATCCTATTCTGGCAAACCCAGATCAGAAACAAATAGAGGTCATTCCAGAGGGACTGGAAACAGTTGCTGATGCACCCACTTTACAAATCAACAGCTTTACGAGATTAAAGGTCCTGGCCCACGATAAGATTGTTTAGGAACTAATCTCTCCTGTAAGTATTCAACAGTGCAAGGGATGGACTGGATTTGATTGGACAAGACCTATGAACAAAAAAAAATAAGCAGAAGTGTTCCGTCTGTGTAACTACAGTAGACCTAACACTTCAGCAGAGACTTCTTCCAAGTTCAAACAGAAGTTTCCAAACTTAGACATTTTAAATTTATTTATGCAAAAAACACCTTGTGAACACATAGGAAAAATTGAACAGTTTTCCTCCTTTTGAGAACTCGAGAATGGATTTTAAAATATAGAAGACTCAGTCTCTGGTCTGAGCAATGACAAAAAATTTCATTTGAAAAAATTTGGTTGGGTTTTATTTTTCCTTGAAAGCTGCYAGCAAGCGAAAAACAACAATTTATTTTTTCTATTTCTTCTCCACAGGAGTTAATACCATTGATCACTGTGCAATGTGTAACAAACACACACATATATATAATACCTCATAGGCACTCTGAAAATATCTGTCATTAAGGATTTGAATTACCTTTTCGAAGCTTGGCTAATAGAACAGAGTGGACACTAGAATACACTGACCTAGCCAAATTAAATACACAGCAAGAACATACATAAATTAGCCCCTTCTTCTCCAGACATATTCATTTAAGTGATTGCCCAGGTTTTACACTTTAACGATTTTACCATTCACTGACTTTTCTTATATTAGTATTGGAAACAAAGAGACAGATAAGTGACCTGTGAAAAGCTTTTTACTGTTTTCATTACTCTTCAGCAACACAGTTAGAGCAGCTTATTAGAAAAACATAAGAAGGTAACATATTCCAACCCCAGTAGTCTCTAGTTTCATTACTTTCTGGCATTCAGTGAAGGTAAYACAGCAATGCTTTTGGAAAGAACATATGTGCCCCCTATAGATTTAACGTATTTTTACCACAGAAAGATGGAAATAAATGAAAGGTTCATTAACCATTGCCCAAACAGAAAATTCTATAGCACTAGAAAAATTCTATTACATCTTTCAATAGATACATTTACATACAGAGAAAGCAAATAGGAAATTATTCTTTAAAGATTAAACATCTTCCTGTCCAAACCTCTTTTCTTTTAAACATAATTATTTTGGTCTGCACAACAGAGATTGCCCCAAATATTAGTTTTCCTGAGCAATGTTCCCTCCTTGACATGCTATTTCTTCACCCCAAGGCTTTCTCAAGTACATTGAAAAGTGTTCAGAAAAAGTTTAGCATTTAATTGTGAGTTTATGGTAAACTGTTATGCAAATTTATAGCACTACATACATAGTTTGTAATAATGTTGTTGCAACTGGTTTATATTTTAAAAGATAGATCATAGATTTTACTTCTTTTAGCAATAATGGAACACTATTTTGGAAACTATTAGCATTCAGTTCAGTACGCTATCATATATATACAATTACATCAACAAAGGTGGGTAAACATGGGTGATAAATCTTAAATATTTAATGGTGTCCATGTAACTAACTATAATTGAGGAATGAGCTTTTATTTTTGGTCTCTTGAAACTAAGAAACTTCAGTTTGCCTGTAGATCTGATTCCATATGTAAATTTCTACTGGTATATGAGAGCAAGTATGGCAAATCTGCATAAAGATAATGCATTGCTTTTTATACCAAGGAACCTAATTCATTCTTACCTCAGTGTTCTTAAATCCCACAGTTTGATGCCATCACCTGCAGCTGTGGTCATGAAAAGGTTGTAAGCTTCAGGTTGCTGAGTGCTGAAGGACGATCCCTGTAAAACAGTAAATTAGTTTCAGGTAACTATTCTCATGGCATTAATTATTTATACAATATAAAATAACTTGAGATTGAAGAGACCCATAGAGATCATAGAGTCCAACTCCCTGCTCCTTGCAGAATTATGCCATATGATTAAGAAAGCATCATCCAGATGCTCCTTGAGCTCTGATAAGCTTGGTGCTGGGACCACTTCCCTGGGGAATCTGGTCCAGTGACCAACCACCTTCTCACTGGAGAATTTAGTCCATTTAAGAAATAGAAAATAAATATTTGCTAGGTTGTGTGAAAAAGCTTGTCTGCATGCACACAAAGGAACGAACAGGAAAGACGGCATGTGGACGAAGTCCCATAAACCAGAGAAATGGAGCATGGTCTCAACTCTTCTCTGTGTCCCAGGACAGACATGAACCTTTCAGCCAGGGATGACACCCATCATGGTCAGTGAAACAGGCTATCTGGGTCATCTCACAGACTGATGGGGATTGCTAAATACCAGGGTATGGGATCCATGATGTGAAGTAGAGTAAGATCTTAGTGCTTGCACAAGACCTTATGGGATGTTCACAGAACAAAATAAGGACAGTGAAAGGAAGRGATTCAAAGATTAGTTCAGCGATTAATCAAAAGACATGTTTAGCCCTTGGCTAAGTGTCCAATTTCCATTGACTTCAGTAGCAATTGCATTCATTCATAAGACTAGATTAGCCTTCATACAGTTAAATAAAACCTCTGATTTTTTAACATCCACATCAGCAAATTCCAATCTTTTTGCTGGCTACAAATTTCTTTCTCCAGGGAACCAAATTTAAATGGTGTCTTGGGTTGATTTTGTGCCAATCCTGTATTCCTATATCCCATCGGCTTATAATGCCCAAAAGGTGCCTCTGCCTTTAAATGCGAGCAGGAARAAGGGCCAGGGCCAGCTGGGAARGCAGCGCGGGCAGTTTAAAAGCATGTGCTGCCATGCAGCCGCTCACTCTTGCAGCTCAGCTTGCTTTTGGAGCTCAGCTTTTGCTTTGCAGCTCAGCTCTGCACCACAGGAGTCCTTGCTTGCTGTGTGCAGCAGAGTTACATTGTTGCAGTTTTAGCTAGCTCTGGTTTGTCAGCTTTGGCAGCTTTCCCTGGACAGACCCCCTATGCGGCTCCTGTGATTCTGCTTCTGGAGCAATGCGGTGACCAGCGGGGAGAAAGCCGCGTGGCTCCGTCTCGTCCGGGATTCCAGAAGAAGCCAAGCCGGCAACAGAAAAACACACGGAGCCCTCTGTTTCACCCACAGTGAAGAAAGGACTATAATCCAGTTTTTTTTTTGCCACTGTTACGGGAGCCGCCGCATGGGTTTCTCTTCTTGTTTCTTTTCCCGGGGACAGGAGCCGCCATATTTTTCTCCGCACCACCACATGGTGAGCTCAGTGGGGGAGGGGGCGGTGTGTGTTCCTGAGTATTAAATATCTAACAGTTACTTTTTACCGGTGTCCTGTGGGCACTGTGTTTTGTTAATAAACTACTTTTTTTTTTTTTTCTCTTCACTTTTGTCCGAACATCTATTTCATATTGGTGGCAAAAAATTATCAAATTTTTTCACTTCAGAGGAAACATTTAATCTGCAAAATTTTTCTCTGGAAACATTGTCTCAAACCAAGACAAATGGTTAAAAGTCTGTCTTTCCTTTCTTTTCCTTACCATTCACTTTCTTGATTTGGCTGAATACATGACAGAAACCTCAGGGTAATTTCCTGCAATCAGTATTTGACTGCCAGGAATCTTCTATTCATTTTGAAAGCTGCTGTATGGCTTGCTATAAGAGATGAATTAAAATGCACTGTCCAAAAGATTTCCCAACAAAGTCTACACATTCTCACATTAACAGTGTGTAACTATAAAAAAAGAGTAATTTAAAAGACAAAGACAGCAGTAGTACAAAGGATAGTATTCATTAAGAGTTACAGACTGCCCCCCCTTATTTTGTGCTTTTGAAATGTTTGCTCACCCTCCCTTGCTTCAGTCAGCACCAATCACAGAGTCCAAAATAAAAAGTTCTACCAACACATACACATTTACTTGGTGCATTACTCCTTCATTATTAAACTAGGTAAGAAGCATAATCCATTTGTTCCTTCTCTGCCTTGAAATTTTTCAGCAATATACTTTATTAATACATAGCTATACTTGTATCTTCAAACTACATTTGCTACTGAACATTGATATAGAAGACAAGAAAAGATATACATGTTGGATAACATGAAAGCTGAATTTTATTTATCACTTTGTGGTTTTATAGTACACCAGTTTATGATGATCTATTATTTATGGTGATCTGATGCAAAAAGTAGCATATTCCCACACACTCTGGAAACTATTCTTTCATTCTCATAGACAAATTACTTGCCTCTACCCCATCAGCCTCCTCATCCACCACTGTAATCCCTTCTCAGCTTCTCTCTATACTACTACATTGCAACCTCCACATAAAATTTGGCCTCAAGGAGGACATGGTTCTACAGAATCCCTATTTCTTTCACTTATTCCATGTGAGCACCATTTATATCATCCAAACAGTGCATCTGGCTTATGCTAAAGGAATTGATCAACAGACATATCAGAAAGCACTCTGTATCTTCCAGGCAATCTTACACTTCAGCCGACATTGACACTTTGGTTAGGAAAAAGATAACTGACTGAAACTCTGGAGTTACCTATTACATTTTTCAGTCTTCACATCCGGTAGACTTCCTCACTAATAGACAAATGAATTTTGAAACAAAAGGTTCTGAACAGAAAACTGTAAATTTACTGTTTCTCTGAAAAGGAGKGTACTCTATAACTGTGCTAGCAGAACATAATACCATCCAAATATTTGTGGGTCACAATGACAGCTTCCTTCTCAAAGAATATGTTTTACAGCATTAAAAACAGATTATTAACACTAAAGCTCTGAATCTTTGTGGTCTGATCCCAAATTTCTATCAATTTCAGTATCTCAGATGTTCCTAAACTCTAAGACAGGAACATGATTTTGATGTTTCAAACAATTCATTTTATTGTGTCTTTTAAAAATTAGTATAGAAAGCAATGGACTGTTATGATAAGATTAATCAACACATTGCAGGCTAAGATGAATTTCACWCACTGGCAATTGGAGACAATCTCAAGAACAGATCAAAACAACAATTTAAAATCCAAGTCACTACATGGAAAAATATATTTAATTGCTTATGGCTGTTTCTGTTTGAAACAAAAAGAAGAGAATAACATACTGATTACATAGATTTCTAGGACATATGCTATGTATTTAATAATTTGCTAACAAGTTTCTCCCACGCTTAATCAGAACATACTTTCCCTACTGTCCCCCAAGGCCCTCAAAACAGATTTTCTTTTTCTATTCATTTAAAGAGTAAATTTTATTATTATTCCCACTACTGTCCAGGTAACATCACAGAACAGTCCTGGAACTTGAGAACTGATCTGCAGGAATCTAAATGAGAAAATGCACTTCAAGAATATATGTATACTGCAATCACAAATGAGTATTTAGTCCACACAATGAGACTAGGGATAGCCCAAAGGAAAGCCTTCATAAATTTTTGTGTGTAGGCACTGGATCTTCAGCATCAATTATTTCAGCCCACAGATTTGCTTCCATTGAATTATGTCTCATCATTAGCTAACCCTTGATTCCAATGTTTCATACCTTTAATAGGATGTAGTTTGCACAGAGCATTCTGCACATTTGTATGTTTATAAAATATTTAAGCATTTCAGCTTAAAGAGAATGGAGAGTTATATTTGCGCWAATAACTTTAAACTAAACAATGTAATAAAACAGTTGATGTGTTATTTTCCTATTGACATATCTAAAGTATTAATTTTATTTAACTGAAAAAAGAGAGTACCTTGATGTATAATTTTCCCCCAAAATATCAATTTTCTTTGCTATTCCACCTACCTCTAGGTTATTTTCCCAAGTGAATACTTGCCCACAGCTTTAAAGTTTTTTTTATTAAACAACCTGAAGGCACTAAGCTGACTCAGCAAAAGGAAAAGCCAGAACTTTAAGCCTATATGTGTTACAAACAGTACTGAAATAGTTAGCACAGTTTTGAGTGTTTTACCAGATCACATATATAAGGAAAAGCCACAAAGAGTTCTACAACAGTAATAACAAGGAACTGTTTTAAACCCACAGAAGCAAGGACTTTCCAGCTGGAAATGAAGAACCACATTCAACCAGACCTAACACAGCAAGCATTCCAGAATATATGGTAACATAAAAGTTACAAACACTCCAATCAGTCTTCAAAGAAAAAAGAAGTGCAAGAATGAGGGGCTTTTTGTCATCTATGTTATTGTAGTACTAAGAAATATTTTTTGTTGCTGCTTCCTAAGTTTCAGAATAAATCAGTGTCAGATTGCACTTCAGAAGAAAATACTCATATAAGGAAAAATTCCTGCTGAACTAAAGTATTACAGTCTAGCACAAGTAAGGCAAAGGGTAATAAATACCTCTCTAAAAGCAAGATCATTCAGTCATTCTCACTGCTGCCCCCTTTACACTACGGAACAAATGAAATTTGTATGACTCTATCACAAAGATCCAGTTATTGTCCATCCTGACCAACATATAAATACCTATCGAATACTATCAGTTCTATTTTTCGCCTCCAATTTCTTTGTTAGTGGTTTTGCAGTGGTCCTACAAATAAAGTTCAATAAAGCACATACCTTATTTTGGCAGATCTGATGGACTGATCTAGTATGAGCTTCCTGTATCACTGCTGTGCTGCAGCCTGCATTGAGGTCAAAAACTTCCAGTGCTCGGTTGCTGCCAGCTGTAAGTACAATATCTGCACAGTTCTCTGTGTTAAAGTTAAACTTATCTAAAGGAACAAAAGCATATAGATAGCTAAAAATGCAGATAAATACATTTATATATAAAATGTTCTATTTATTGTTCTATGAGCAACCCTAACCTGATCCAGCTAAAGATAGTTCTGGCTCTGTTTCTGGTAAAGTTCTTTCTACACTAAAAATCATACTGCACTAAAAATTTATGTGCAAGGATGAAGTTAAATATCACAAAAAATTACTGGTAAATAATCAAATGCTACTTATTTCAACTGAAGTCCATGTCATTTAGTCCAAAGAACTACAAAGAAACTAAGAAATATAAAGGATACAAGAATAGAACTCATTTACTGCTGAAAGGCTCGTAATCTCCATTGCTGAAGCCATGGAAAAATTCTGTACCAATTTGCAAACACTCTTCTGTTTGTATCTGCAAAAAACATCAAATGAATCAAATATTAAATGAATCAAATATCAAATGAATGCTACTATTAATGAAATTAGCCATGATTTGTGGTCACCAGCAAACTTTTGTGACTGGAGTCACAAAACAAATCAACATGCTTTCTTTCATTATTAAAAATTAAAGCCACAGGTCTTTTGGCTTTTTGCTGAAATCTAATAAAAATTTGGTAACAAAACACATTTGGAAGAAACATGTTCATATACAGAACATGATATTCATATACAGAAGATTGATCTTCCATCCAGGTGAAACACTAAAATAATCCTGTATGTACACTGAAAACGTTGAAGAGAAAAAAATTCTAAAGTACTTATGTTCAAAAAGGAGATATGCCACTGGTTTTGGTGTAYCCTTTAATGTGCTGATGATAGGGCAATGAGGAAGAAAATGAGAACACAGTGAGGAAAGAATGAAAACAGGTAGGAAATATTAATTTCCACTTAGATGAGAAGAGAATATTCAATCTAATTAGAACTTTCTGTTTACTGAAATACATCATTACAGCCAACATGGATCTGTTCTTAATGTAAACAAAAAACATAACTCCATGGATAGGATATGTGGGGCAAGAAGAGAGTGATTGCCATAGAAGTCACCTAAAGAATACAGAGTTAATAACAACTCTATTGGGTCTGGTTGGGGTGGAGTTAATTTTCTTCATAGTAGCTTGTATGGTGCTGTTTTAGCCTTGTGAGCAAAATAGTATTGATAACACACCAGGATTTTAGCCATTGCTGCATCATGTTAAAATAATTCCAGTATAACAGTTAATATTATACTTGTGTGTCTGTCCAAAGAGAGTTCAAAAGTCCATGCCTGACACACTWGTAGGAATTATTACTGTGTCTTTCTAACAACACTAAAGGTTTACAAAACTGAGATAATTTGAAAAAAGCAATATGCTTATCAACCAGATCTGTTCAAAAGAAAAATGTTTAGTGACTTGCTTTTGCCTTTCATTGTCATTCTCAAAAAATGGCCTGCTGTTTTTTCAGGTGGATATTAGAGCTACTTTAGCAGCCATGGTGAAGCAGAAGATAATATACCGTGTTTTGTAWTTTTTTCCAAGACCTTTTGTAGTTTCCACAAGTACTTTATTCAAAGAAACTAAAAAATAAACTGCACTAGCCTTCAAGAGCAAATGATTTATCTCTATTTTTGGGTAAACCTACCCAAGCTAACTTTAAATAAGCTGACTAAAATAATAGGCACAATCTAATGAAGGCAGTATGAAGCTTCCTCTCATCCAATCTACCCTGCTAAAAGAGCCTTATTTAAACAGTTAAATTGCTCCCAAACTCACCGTTTCAAGTCATCCTTCTTTGTGTCTAGGTGGAAACTTAATAGATGAAATTCAGCTCCACAACACAGCAATATAAATGTATCTAGATAATAAAACTGTGCAAAGCGTACAGTCTTATGGAACTTCTCTTTACCCTGAAATGCAAAGGAATTTATTAAGAATGGATTCAAACATAACAAATTTTTCTTGTCTGAGATTCCTGGTGTTAAGACAGACCCTCCCTGTTATCCTGATCATAGACCAGGAAGTTAATCTACTACGTAGTGGCCTCTATTACTCTCAAATTAAAGACTGCATTCTGCTTAAATTAGCTGGCAGTTAATTTAATYGTATCTGTAGTCAATGAAATCTAATACATACTAGCTTCATACTCTGAAGTTCTTTTTGAATTGGGGAGTAGACTATAAAGTAAAGCAGAGCAGAGCCAATAAAAATACAATGTACAGACCAGACAATAAAACCAAATCTCCCAGACATGCTCACTAGTTTTTGACCAAAGTTGATTCTTTCCTTTTAATAAATTATCATTAGAAAAGCCTAATTTGAAGTTGATGGAGATTACCCAGATCATTGTATGAGTTGCAGCCACAACTCAGTAGCTCTAGAAATTAGTTCTTTCTACAGAGCTTTTAAAACAGAAGTAAATGAAAGTGCAAAACAGTGTTCTCTGTGTCCAAACCAATGTAAGTTTCTAATTACCAGAATCAGGGCAGGTTCCTTATTGCAGACTGACCAGACCCTTAAAGTTCTGTCTTCTGATGCAGAAACTAACCACTTTTTGTCATGACTCCAGCCAACAGAATTAACTGCACCATCATGACCTAATAAAAACAATAATGGAAATATCATAAAGGTATTTTTCTTGCATTCATAAATTTCTCTGGAGTTAATTGAAGTGTTTTAATATAATTATGCACAATATTAAAATCCATCTTAAGTACAGGTTTCAAACAGTTGGATTAAAAATGGATCAGTAAACCAGATACTGAAATTTTCTTCCACCAAAAAACACAGAAAAATGTCTCTCATTAATAAACAGACAAAGATAATTCCAAATTTAATTTTTCAAAGTTATTGGAAAAATAAGAGCACTTTCAAGAAATATCCTTGAAAATAAGTTTAAGCAAAGATTCAGTATTACTTGGAAAAAGAATCTGAGTATTATAATGAAATTTTATATTAAACATGATCTGGAAATCCCTTAAGACATTTTAAATAGCTGAAATACTTTATTTTATTCATTAACCTTTTATTACTGAGCTAGCCATTTTTGTAAAAAAAAAAATGAACATGCCACTGCAATGGCTTGTTAAAAACAAGATTGTAAACTTACGAAGAAAGAACTTTTAAAGCCAGAAACAATATTCAGAAGTTAAAATTATTAATTTGATCTAACATGTTGAAGCTGATCAAAAAGATCAAAAAAGAACATATCAATTAAATTTAATAAACTTTGACCCATGTTATTACAATTGTCAGATGAAGTCTGATGAATTTCATCCAGTCTTAAATCATTCAAAGTACTTATGCTGCCCTCTTGTGCACATTCTATCTTTAGTCAAGTGAAGTTCTATACTATAAGAAAATAGTTTCCTTTGTTACAGGAAGGCTATTCCACTTATCTCAGCAATTGAGATATTCCTTTTTGTGGACATATAGCTACAAAAAGTCTTATAAATGAGATATTTTAATTCCCAGTTACCAAACAGATGTAGAATTTTTCACCAGAAAACTCACAGTTACTGTAAAAACACATATGTTATTCTTGTTTTGTTCACAACACAAAGCTTTATTTAAAGGCTTTGATTTTTGAAAAATATTTGGAAGCCTTGAATAATCTGCATTATAAAAAAAAAAACCCACAACAAAACACAAAACCAATCAAACAAAAACCTAAAAAGAAAACCACAACAGAATATACAAAACAGTTTTCAAAAGTAGTAAGGAACATGAGAAACTGTAGGAAAATCTGAGGTTTACAAAATTGGAAGAGCCACGCAGAAAGCTTAAGAACCTCTGCACTCCAGTCCCCTCAGTCCCAAAGCACAGTGAAGGAGATGCCAGCTGGCTTGAAAGAGCCCAGCAAGATGCAAAACAGGCATTACTCAGGGTTACCCAGTCCTGGAGCACATTGAGGAGAAAGCAGCTAGTTTTGTAAAAAGACTTCCTCAAAAAGGTCATGCTGGCTGTAACTCTTTACAGGTGCTCAACATTACCTGCACTTCACTACAGGACACAGACACCTGAAGAGCCAGCACTGAAGCAGGATGCACAACTATTTAAAATTGTACCTGACCCCTTCAGGGAACAACACTGAATAAATTAGGCATACAGTGAAAATGTTGTTACACCACTCCTCTCTGATGCTGCATTATAAAATCACACTTTTGATAAGCAGCAATATTCAGATGTTAATGATGCCTTGAAATTAATTTTCTTTTTTAAAACAGACACAATTGCCATGTCTTGAAATAAAGAAAGTTTTACATTGCCATTGATAGCATCTCTGAGTAAAAATAATGCATCATGATTTTTATTGAAAACACATATTATGACACTTATAGAACAAGAGGCAGGAAGTAAACAGGTGACTGCATGATAATGTGAACTGCACAGAAAAACAATGTGAATGAAATAAGCAGACGGCTAATGGTTTGTGGTTTCTACTCTGCAATACTTTATCTGGCAGTTTAACACTTATGTTGCTTTTGCAGAAATTACACACACATAGAATGCAGTTCTAGTCTTTTTTTTTTTTTCAGACTATGCATCATTAAAAAAAATGTGAAGGATTAAAGTAACAATGAAATAAATCAGTGTAAAACTTTAGAACTCACTATTGTAGAAGAAAAAGACCCTACTACGCTGTCCACAAGGGACTATTTTCATCAATTTCCTCACACAAGAAGGAGAATATCAGTAATGCTGCCTCCTTAATCACAGCTTCTTCCACCACATATAATGAAAATTATCCCAAAAGATAAACAATTTTCAAAAATCAGTTSTCAGAGTTATTTACTTAGAAATAATTCTCTGAAATAACTTAAAATAATCTGGTTTTAGTACTTGTTAAGGTCAACTAGCAACAAGCATTCATTTCCCATTATGAGCATTCACAGAAAATTAATTTTATCAGGATTGATTTAAAGTAATAATATTTATTGTTATTAAAAATTTAACAGTTCTTGTAGAAATTTAGAAATAATCTGGTATTTAAGGCTTATTTAAAAGTGTACATGTTTACACATGCATACACTTTCGTAGGTTTTCTTCATAGTAATAGTCCTTCTCTTTTTAAATGGTTATTCTTTAGATGTCTGGAGCTGCAGACACATGTTTTGCCAAGTCATCACAGTCAATTTTTGGGTAACAAACTATTACAATATACTGCTGCAATATACATATGCATTATTATTGCAATATACTGCCTTTACTGTTTCTCTTAAATTACTGTAATAGACATCATGATGAAGACTGCAATGTATATCACAATAGATTGCTATTTACCTCACAAAAAATTGAGATATGGGAACACTTGCTAGTCAGTTTAATTCTAGGATAAAACTAAGCAATCAGAGAAATAAATTCTATATCTTGAATCACCAGTACATCCTCTCTCTTGTTCTCAGGGGGATGTAAGTGGAATCGATGTCATTTTAGGTCAAACTCAATCATATATTGTATCTTTAATAACATAACTCATAAATTTACCTGAAAAAACATTATGCACATCAGTAAGATTGGAATTGAATATCATCACAGTTTTGTCAGCCAGGCCACAAACCAGCAGTTCTCCACCCCCTGAAAACAAAAGCATCTAATAAATTTACATTTGAAAGCAACAAGGAGTTAATATGCTGCTTCTTTTAATCATAAAAATCACATCTCTAACTACAACAAAACAAAAATCAGACATTCATTTCATAGATTTTGTATGAATATCACATATAAGTGTTATAGAATTTGGTAGGAATTCATAGGCAATTCATTTCTTGTCCTGCCATATTCTCTAAACAGTTTTCATAACAAAGAAGAAAGTCACTTTTCACAAGAAGTGTGCTGTAAAATTTAAATGCAGAAATTTCTAGCAGTCATTTAAATCTATTTTCTTACACTTTTTTTTAATGTCTTCCAACTAAAATTATATCACTTTTTTATATATTAGAATAAAAAATACATAATAGTAATTCTGAAACCCTTCTTAAAGAATGATGAATTTCCTTCACAAAACAATCCTAAAATCTATCCAAATGCAGTTAGTGTTCATTTATCAGCAGAGTAATCAGCAGAGGTGCACAATGATAGGATAGACTCCATTAATGTATACACARTGGCAAATTTGTAAAATTTAATTGCTCACTCAAAAGCTTTCACTGAAAAATGAAACAAAATTATTTAAATTAATTAAATTAAAACAATACAGAGTAGATAAATGATCTAATGAAATAAAGTAAGGGAAGATGGAGTGAGAGAAAATAGCAACAAGAGAAAGTAAGAAAATGAAGCACAGAATTYAAATCAGTGTTACTAGGTTAATTGTGAACAGTGTTTTTAAAGAGTTGTCATTTGATCACCCCCTCCTTCAATCTCTAGAGCATCTTTTCAAGGGGAGACGGAATAAAAGTACCAACATTACCGATTTCTATCCACTGTCCAAGTACCGTGCACACAGCAGGTAAACAATACTATATTCCACAACATACTTTTTTCCCACATTATGGCAATATAAGCAGATAAGGGATCCATATTTCTTATCGCTGAGAACAACTTACTAAAAGTGAATTTTAAGTAAGATGGGGTTGGCATATATGCTACGAAGAGGCATTCCAGATTTTTTTTTTTGTTATCAGTTATTAAACGCATCATTATACTAAACTGGTAAAGAAGTACTCTTCATTTTTATCTGACAGGTGAACAGTTGACTTTTTCTCCAGCTACTAGCAATAGCACATACTAAATAATGCTTTTCAATACTTCCATCACAAAAATAAGTGGTCCTGAACAAAACATTGCAAAAAATGCATGACCCACAAACGTAAAGGTATGAAGTTCTTTGAGGGAAAGGGCAATGGTCTTCTGCAGATTTCCCCAGACTTTTCTTAAAGTTTTGACAATACAGATTTTCAGCATGAGGGTTGATTGGCAAGTATGTCAGGTATGTAAATTAACATATTTGACACACAGAATTAACAATATATAAACATTCTTGTGCATTAAGAATCAGAGGCAATTATTTTGCATAGAATTTGGAGCTTTGTTTATTAAAATTTCATCTAAATTCTGAATAGAACTTTTTACTAAGCAATTCATAACACCCTCCAAAAGAATATGCAATAACTGAGATTCAGATTAACTCATAAATGCAACTTTACAACCTCTTAAGCTTTACTTAAGTTTTCCATATAATTCCCTTTCTATTATATTTAGAGATGCTAATGCATATTATTGCTGTGATTCATAGTTTATAAAAACTACCTATAAGGTTGTTCCAAGCTGCATTTCCAACTTGCAAATTTGCAACTGAAAATATAATGCAAAAGTACGAGCCACCTRGTCAAAACAGACTACAATAATAAGAGAACATCTCCTTACAAACTTAAAATAACTAAATTTTTTTACTCAAAAAAAAATCTCTGCAATTTTTGCTAAACTGAAGTTATTTAAGTCTGTGTGTGTGCGCGAGACAAAGAGAAAAAGAGAAAGATTTTTCTTTCCCAAACGAGAAGATTTATACTTAAAATGCGTTATCAAAACTCTCTAGGGAACAGAGAGATTGCTGAAATACATTTTTGCAAAGTTACTAATTGCATCTAATTGCTTTCATTTCCTGAGGATGAGAATTTTTCCTATCCTCAAAATACTTATAAAGATTTTTTTAATATTTTGAAAATATTGTGGCTTGCAGGGTGTCTATTGACATAATTAGATACCTGAAAGAATGCTTGACTGCTAATCTAGGAAGYGCTTTCTGCTTATTTACGTTGGAATTGATTAAACATATTGCAAGACTCATTTATCCAAAGCAGTTAAGAAAAATGCCTCTCTTTGGATCACACAGAAGAATTCCTTTTTTAGTATTTTAATTTATAAAAATTGAATAATATTTATATAAGAAATAGGATTATCCTAAATATTTTGAAACAGAACTTCAGTTTTTAATACACCCTAATGACATTAAGTAAATGTGTTAGAAAATAAATTYCTTACTGAAAGAAGTCTTAATTTTCAAATAATAGTGTGAAAGTCACAGAATAAATTCAAAAGGAAACAAGACACAAAATCAGAAATAGAATCCTTTGGCACATGTAGTAACATCTTGMATGGTTTTGCAAGATAAAAAAATATGATCAAACAGTATGTGATATTGTCTAAAAGTTTTATAGGGTTTATTCACATAAATCCACAGTCTTTACAAACTATGCCACATATATTTTGGTTTTCTTTCTACACATTGACACAACTGCCCTTTTTATAAAGCCTGTACTTACCAGAATACTGAACACAAAAAATTGGGGTTGGTTTACAAGTAACAGATATCTCTTTCTCATATTTGATTGGAGGATGACTTTCCAATGGATATTCTTTATTTTCACTTCAAAGAAGGAAAAAAGAAAGAAAATAGTACATTTTCATTTCAATTATAAAATAAATGTGCTTTGGAAACATCTAAACATCTTTCTATAAATATTTTCTGAAAAAAATATGTCAAATCCAAGGTAAGGGCCAAATGAATTTGAAATTGTAATTGAAATATTTAAATTACTCCTATCACCAAGAGTTGTGAATTCATGAGATCAAGAATTAACACAGACTTGCAAAAAAATCAAGTTTCTAAAGTTACATAGATAACAAAAGTATTTAAAGAATGTAAACTCTACTTCTTTTATAGACATTGTGGCAAAATGCAATATTAACAAAAAGAAAAAACAATTAAACTTAAAAACCACACACAACTTAAAATACTAAGTAGCTTAACCTACATAATACAATGCTAAACCAAAGCTGAAATTATCTGAAGTGCTCACATAAAGGCTTCCTATGCATGCAAGGTTTACAAAAACTTAGTCCTGAGCTATTAAGTGGAGTTTTCAACACTTTGAAAGCTCTTTTTAAGTGAGAAAAATTATGGCGTCAATCATTCTTTACTTTCATGTTTGTATTACATAAAGCACAGACTCTATGTAATAGTAAAGAGAAAAAAATGTGTGCAATATCCCCATTTAACATTCCACACTAATTAACATGAAAATGCCAGCTTTATTCTTTGTGCCCATGGTGATAAAGATTCCACTGGTTAATTTGTACTGTTACACATACTTTATTTGTACTTTATTTAAGTCCATTAACTTAAGGTAACAAGATTTTAGGGGTGAAGGAGGGACATGATCTGAAATCACTGTCTCCCTGCACAACATCCAGTTATTTTTCTGATTAGAACTGCAGCTAAGTTGGAACTTAGCTTCCAACCATATTTAGGATTGTTCTTCCTAACAACAAAAATCTAAGAAAATAGACATGCATAATTTCTTTTTTATGAAGCACTCAAATTTAATTCATAACCTGATAAAATGAATCACTTGCTGTAGTGATAAATTTTATACCAAATTTACCAAGCCTTTTAGTTGTAGTGACAATCCTTACTAAAAAGTTCCGATGAGAGAAGCAAAGATAAGCCATATTTTCACTAGAACTGTAATTACACTTACTTTAATTTGTTTTTCCTCTAACAGAGTTGTTAGATTACCTACCATTTACAGCTAGTTTTCCACTTTGATGGCTCTTTCTTTTTCAGGTTAGTATTTGGAGAAAACRTGGTCATTCTACAAGAGGGAAAACAGACTCTCTTATATGAAACATGAAACATCGCATGGGAGAAAAAGCTTTTTTCAAACAAAAGCAATCCTACTTCCTTCTTCCTACTTTGTCTTCAGGTAACATCAGTAGATAAGAGAATGTACACTTCAATGACAATATAAGTTTTTAATATTCTAAGGCCTGAGCTTGCTCCTTGATTTCTGTGAGTTATTTGTTGAATAGCACATTCTGAAGGTCAAAATCCATACAAATAAAATTCACARACAATTCTTTCTGCAAACTGAAGAAACAAGAGTCTAACCAGATAAAAGAAAGATGAAAGATGGCTAATAAGGATTTCAATAGAATGATGACCAATGACCAGAAGGTGTGAAGACTTTGTTTTACAATATGTTTTTAAAATTCTTGTCTTTGATAACACCATAAATGTTTTTCACAAGGGATTAATTTCACAGTCATGAGACTACATAGCTATATTATGTGAAAAAATACCACACACCAATAAAACAGGGAAATAATAATATTTCTACTCACCGTGGAGCTGCTGTATATCCTGATGACTTAATTTTATTATGGAAAACCAGTGGTTGGTCTTTCACTGTGCTCTTCACTCCTATACTCAAATAATTTAATTTATATTAAATTTTGTTTTAAACATTATATTTTTACAGTTAAGGTAGATAGGCTAGCTCAATAGAAATACTTGATGTTTGCTTACATTACAAAACAGATCTATCAGCAGAAACAAATTACACAAATAAACATTGTAAAGGCAGAAATCTCATTGCTGTTTCTAGGGAAAAAAACTCAGATGCATTGGGACACATTTACCTACACTGAAGTCTCTTGAAATGCCACTAATTATCCTTTCTCTTTATGCAGCAATGAGGCACAAAAAGGTCTTTCCTGAGAAGCTCCCAGTACCACATGCCTTAAGAGACCAAAGGATTTCATTACAGCACTTTTCTGATCATGAGATGCCACCAAAGGTAGCACAGTTGTCAGTGCTGGGTGCCCAAGGCAGCCTGGAATTCTAGCTAAAGCACGGTAGATGCAATTTAAAAATACCATAAGCCCCTAGAGATATAATCCTTGTCATTCTAACAGGCACGATGAGTGCAAATGGCAATGATGAAAWCATTATTTTTAAAATATTTTTTTAATTTTATCGTTGATAACCAAAAAAACTGAAGTACTTAAATGGGAAGACAGATCTTGTTTTGTTTCAATCAGTAGAACATTGAGGCAAAAATTAACTTCCTAAAATTGCAGTATTGACGAAAGACTATTCAGAACAATAAAATGTACCAAAACATAACCAAAATTTAGCAAGAAATTACAATTTATACACAAAAGTTTACTACATGCTATGGAAAAAAAATTACTTATGGAAATGTAAACATTCTACACTCTAACACTTATAAAATTCATAGAAAATTCTCAGACAACTGCTTTTGAAAGAAGGAAAATACTTATAACCACAATTTTCAACTACAATTGCGTGTGTATGATATCAAATATTAATAGCAGTGCAAAATTCTTCCTATTGAAGTAAAAATATAATGCTAAATATATTTAAAACAGAAATTAACATATTGATTGTGTTAGGCACAAACCAGCTGGAAGTCAGTTACTGTTATTAAAAATATAACTTCATTAATTAATTTCAAGACTGGTATATACTTACCATGTGTTTTACTAAAAGATTCTTTCATGTTTTTCTTGAAACCTTTACACAATGGAGAATTTGCCAATAAAGTGCACCTAAGTTATAAAACCAAGCAAAAACAATTGATCAATGCAATGAACAAAAGTATCAGATTAGGAAAAGGTGCCAAAACTCCTTTTTAGCTATTTGCTTGCATGTGTGCGTGCATGTATGTAATAACAATGAGATTTTAAGGAAAACAAGTTAGGCAAAGTGGATTAGTTATCAGCACAGATCCTCAGCAGCACAGACAAGCCTTGGTCCCAACTCAATTCACAGACCCTTGTATTTACAGGTTAGATCCCATTTTTGTGAATAGTAACTGATGATTTTATCATAAGCATTGAAATTTGCTCTTCAGTGTATATTGCAGGTTATTTGTCTTCAAGATGTCAGCATTTTCTCATATTCTCACCTTCTCTTTTATAGGGACATAAAAGAACAAGAAAAAAATAGCCTGCAGGGAATCACCAAGGGGAAGCCATGCTTCACCAACCTGATAAACTTTCATGATAAAATGAGCGGCTTAGCAGATAAGGGGAGAGCAGTGGATATTGTCTGCTTTGAGTTCAGTAAGACTTTCCACACTGTCTCACACAAGAATCTCACAGAGAAGCTGATGAATTATGGTCTGGATGAAGACACAGTGAGGTGGATTGAAAATCAGATGAACAACCAGGCCCAGATAATGATGATCAGTGGCTCAATACCTAGTTGGAAAACATGAACTAGTGGAGTAATCCAGAGGCCAATAATGGCCATATTTCCATTCAATATGTACATTAATAATCTGGATGAAGGAGCAGAGTGTACCCTTTCCATGTTTGCTGATGACTCAAAGATGGGAGAAGTTTCTTGAAGAGCACAAGGTTGTACTTTCATCCAGGCAGACATTTACTGTCWGGACAGCAACCTCATGAAGTCCAAAAAGGTGAAAAGCAAAATCCTGCATCAAAGGAGGATGAACCCTATGCATCAGTATAGGCTGTAAGGCAGACTCTGTGACCAGTGCCCAACACCAGGACAAGAGGCAATGCACAAAATCTGAAACATGGGAGGTTCTCTCTGAAAACCAGGAAATGCTTTTTTACTGTGGAGGTGACTGAGCACTGGCACAGGCTGCCCAGAGAGGTTGTGGTATCTCCCTCCATGGAGATAGTCAAAAGTTGTTTGGATGTTGTGCTGGGCAGATGACTCCAAGTGGCTCTGCTTGAACAGGGTGGTTGGACAAGATGATCTGAAGAGGTGCCTTTCAAACATTCTGTGATTCTGTGATTTCTCCCTCTCTATGCAATTAAAGCATGATAGGAAAACAAGTAAAATCATCTCAACAAATAGCACTTGGTGGAAAACCATACAACACACTTTAGATAAACACACCCATCATCCAACATGGAGAAAAAACATTTAATTATTCCATACCTGGCAATAACCGATAGACGTTTCTCATTTCCACGTGGGAGAAAATCACTGTGCTGAGTTCTCACCAATGCAGCAAGGTTAACTTCCAACACAGCAATCATATCTTCAAATATTGAGGTGATCAAGCATAAAACCTGAAGCAATTATACCATAGATTAACACTCCATTTACCTTATAGTTTAAATTCCAACAGTAATGCATTTATAATGACAAATGAAATTAATTTCTGACATTTATAAAAATAAGTCAAAAATACCCATGGATTTAGTCCTGAAGAGCTTTAAGTGGTAAAGAGTGGTTAAATCTACCTATCCTTCAAAAATATGCTTATGTTGCTTAAATCTGTCTTAAAATTACACAGTAACTTACACAAATAACAGTGACAGAAATTCTGACACCTCCTACACTAGAGACATTGCTGCAATAAGAGCTGTGAGGAAAGAAATATACATGGAAGAAAGATTGGCTTCAGTAACATGAAGAGAACATGCTAAGAGCTGAATTTAAGGAAAATTCTTCTCTAAAGAAACGGATTTCTATGTTAAATATGTAGAAAGGCCTAGATTGAGCTTCCTTCCATAGGAAAACTGCAACATCAAAAATAGAGAGTACAGACAAGAATGCTTCCCATTTCCTTAAAATCACTTTCAGTGACTATTGACAGAAATTTTCTCACTGCTCAAATAGTTTTGACAGACCCTTTGGAAGGATTCAAAGGTAGTTCATCCTAACATTTGATAAACAACGTATAACCATGCTTATATCTTTTTAACCCCTAAAAGATTTCATCTGCTTCTCCTATGATCATKCTTGGCATTCAAGGTAAACACTGAACACTGTAACAATGCACCTTTTCCTTATTAATTTCTTTAGAATGTTTACAAGCTGTGAGAGCTGAAAAACTACCCAGCTATTTAAACTACTAGATTCCATAATGAAGAATTAACTCTTAAAAAATTACTTTGTAATTCACATTAAACAAAACAAATCTGTACATTAATCTAATATTTACTGAAAATAACTGGAACAGTTAATGTTTATTAAAACAATGTTTACTGTAGACTCACCTTTCCATTAACTCCCTTCCTTGTTAATGCATATGATCTGGCAATCTGAATGCTGAGGTCACTGTACTCTTTACCAAGAAGAACATAGTGCTATAAAAATCTACATTTCTCTAGGAAAAAAATTATCATATCTAAGACACACATTCACAAAAATTACTCATATTAGTTTGACATGACCCTAACAAAGTATATACTTCTAGCTTACCCTCACATTATAACATAGTAATAGAAAAACATGTCCTGTATTTAACATCCTTAAAAATTYATTGCTATCCACTATACAAATCTAGTGCCAACATGTCTTCTGAGAAAAGTGATCAGAGCCAGGAAAACATACAAAACCTATTAGGAGAAACATATGCTTAAAAAAAACACTTGGTTTCTATTGCAGTTGACTATTTCACAACCTTATTCTTACACTATTTATGTCAGATAGCAGAAGCAATCACATCACAGTGTAATCAGATATAAACATACCTCTGTAAGATAAAAAAGCTTCTAATTCAAAGTTTGCCAAATTAATTATTAACAAGCCCGTAGAGGTTCCTATCCAAAAATATCTACTATGCAGGGAAGAAAATCTATCAAAACAACAAGAAAAATATCTCTGAGTAAGATAAAGCAGCTTTTCTTATCAACATACAACAAACAGCAACTGGGGTTACCCAGTACAACATAAATAAAACACACACAAAAAAATACATTACATTTAAAGCTTCTTTTTTTTCAAATCTGTAGCTCAAAGTTTCAAGCAAAATTGGTGAAGTTTTGAAAACAGAGTGCAGAACACAATCCTTGATTTCATGTAAGTGCTTAACAGCACATCTAAAACAGAATAGGATATACTTTTCTCCAAAAATTACCGTGGTCTTTAAGAGCTGGGAGATGCAGTAAAACACGTTTGAAAATTCAAACCAAGAGGCAAATCCACTCATAGTTTACTTTTACCCCTCTACTATGAACACCCAAAATGCAGTGAAATTCAATGTATGTTTTTACATAAATAAAGTACAAGACAAAAGGCAGCACAAAATAAGGTGTAAGAAAGCCAGGCAAGCCTGGAATGTCTGTCTCAGCCTGTGCTTAGTGGCACTGCTATTGCAGTCAGATTATGAAATCTAGCTTCTGCAAGCACCACAGAGTAAACCAACTGGATCCCATTTCAGTCAACAACCTCACAGAAGAAATATATTATCAAGCGTAAGATAATTGTAACAAAATAACAGTTMTCATTCTCAAAAACTAAAAATGTTTTTGATGCTACAATAAATAAAAATTGAGATTTTAATAAATTTTCCTCTTAGGAGTCAGTAGACTTATCAGTTTTATTTCTAAAGTCATACCACAAGATTTGAAGTAAGGATATGGAAAACCATGAAGCTGAAACTTGATATAAAAAGACTCACCACAGTGGCTTAATACTTTTTCTATTAAAAAAAAAAAAAAAAAGGAAAAGATGGAAACAAAATTGCCAAATATATACAGTTAAACACTTTAAGGAGCAGATTGGAACTGACAGTTTCAATTCTGGTTTGATACTTTTATATTATATGAATAGTTTTATTTGTGGTTTGCACTACTTTCATTACAGCAGTAGCAGACTGATTTAATTTGCAAATTCTTTTGAATTATTTATAAAGAAGTGTCACTATCAAGTTATTATGAACAATATGAAGGGATATAGCCAGGAAATTTGTCTCTACTCCCACTTTGCAATAATAAAATCCATTGTGAGGGGATTGCTCAATGTCAAAAAGCTTAGGGAAGTGTGAAATGACTAATTTTGGACATCAGTGTTCTAAAAATGTTTCACTGTTGCTTTTCATGGCAGGCAGCAAAAGCATTATATCAGGGATTGCTCATTTGCTCAGACAAATCTGAACTATCTGCTAAAATGAACATATTGTATTTAAAAATTAATAGAAACAAAATATAAATACAAAACTCTCAAACCAAAAAACAGTGGAACTGGATTGATAGTAAGAATTTAATAGCCATGGTTGTTTATAAGCAAAACAAAACCTTCAACTCCAATGTGATAGCTGAAAGAACAAATAGACCTTAGATGCACAATATGACCTTAGATGTACAATACACAGTAACAGGTGGGTATTAGAAAGTGATGTTATCTCAATTCAGAAACTTATTTCAAATAATCTGTTACTGTGGATCCATTTCAGACAACCATGTTCCAAAAGGGGATTGAAAAATAAATGAGATTGAGTTTCAGAAAATTTAGAAAGCAAATGTAAAAAATGTTACACAAAACACACCATTTCCTTCCTCTTAATGGTAGTACTTCTGAAAATGCAGGCACCATGAAAGTAACTGCTAATAATTAGTTACATTTGACATAAAGACAACAAAAATTGTCCAGGACTGCTGGATATTTTTCTTCTTTGTCTATTAAAAGCTATTTATATTACTAACCAGAGATTAAGTGGTTAATCTCTATAACCTACCATAGGGCAAAAGTTAGGACAAGAGTTTCCTGAAGCATGATGTGGATGAAATTTATCCAAGTGACAATCACAAATAACAACACAAACAGGTTATTCTACGAGACAGTTCTTGTGACAGCATCTTGAACAGATCTCCAGGTGCCTGATAAGATGGTTACACTTCTCCTCAGGAAAGAAATGCAATGTAAGGATTAATTCTACCTGGACAACTAATTCCACGGGAAGGAGTAAAAGCATCATGTTTTGAAACGCCTTTTCCTCTGGCACAAGTTTGACTGAAGCAGGTTACGTAGTTCAAAAATTACTAGAATTTGGAAGGCAAACTGAAACATGCAAACAATGGCTGCATCAGATTTATTTCTTTAGGAAAGCACTTAAGATAAATTTGGGTTCTTAATTACTTTTTAACCTAACTCACCTGATCAACTGGTATGAATAGATGCTAAAAAGGATATTCTCAATGACATTTTTATAAAATTATTTTGTAGAATAAAAATCAGTTACAACTTTTTGTCGGTTTGTGTACATTATCTTCCTAAGAGTAAGCCACCAAAACTAGCAGATAACCGCAAATGTTATTTGATTTTCCTATTGCATTTTTCAAAAAATGCCAGGTTTCAGTGAAAATAATTCAAGAATCAATAGGAAGTCCTCGGAATAAATTCAAGGCAAATACTATGTGGTATTTTAAAGGACTTACATGCTGTCTTCTTTATGGAAACCTACTAAAAAGTCACAATGTTCAATTAAGAGGATAGGCAACGATGTTTCCACTGATCCTTTTGGTCTAGTGTTGTCTTTGTCACAAAGCTTGGAATTATTTTGCCCTTCTCCTAAGAAAGACAATCAACAACAGTAGCTATTAGAAAACAACAAAATAAGGGAAGCAGATAGGATTTAAGAGAGAAGTGGAAGTATTAAAATAGCATGAATTAAGAACACACGCGAGAAACTTTTATTTCAAAAGATGGACAAGAGAGCCAGCCTTCTTGAAACAGGGCTTCCTCATCATTTTGTGGGTTTTTTTCAAACACCTAGAGACAAAACACTAAGAGCCTACTCATGGACTGAAAAGGAGTTTGAAGAGTTTAGATGTTTCATCTCAAGATGAAATATTCCTTAAATATGTTGGCTATCTGTCCATTTAGCCTGAAAATTCCCTTGACACTAAAATTACAACATAAACAAAAAGCAAGATGAAAATACACCTCAGTTTCCTGTTCCCAAGGAGTCTCCAATCCATTCTGCATGTGCCGTTCACACTTGAATACTACTAACATCAAATTTAGCATYGCACACAGACATTATATCAGTCTGAAACATGAAAGTGAGATACATAAATTCTACATAATAACTAGAAATGTAGAAGTCTTTCTCCTTAGGTTAGGACTTTAGGATCATGGACCATGAGACAGGTAAAAGAATATACCATTGCTCCAGAAAAAGAGCAAGCAAGGGAAACCAGATTTCCCTTTCCCTAAGAAAGCCACAGCAGTGGTGAGGGGATGAGCATWTACACTGGCACCACACCAGGGAGAGCATTACCTCCCATTGTACCAAGGCTGTCACCAGCTCACGGCGATCTCAAGGTAGAACAAAAGAACTATCAAGCCAGTCTGATATCAGGGAATCAACCTRTTGGGGTTACCAGGGCAGTCTTTAAAGACTTATATGTACTCTGTGTTATAGCACTAGAAATATATATCACAGGCAGAGAAATATCATATCATGAAGGCACTGGTATGGATTTAAAAAAAAAAAAAGGCAAAACTATAAAGAGATTCTTAGAAACTTCAAAGGTAATTGAGAAACAGTACTCCATTTAGACAAGGCATTAATTTTTAGGCACTGGTTCTGTTCTCAACAAAGCCTTGGACAATGAATTTAAAAAAAATACTTAGTAGCTCAAAACATCATGCAATATTTAATAAATAAATGCACTGGCCAACATTTTGTTACACACAAACACGCATGATTCCTTCCAGATATGCCAATACCCAACTACATATCAGCTTCAGTAAGAATTCCATGCCACAGTCTAAGACTTGTAACTCCGTCACTCACAATAAATTATCATGGTATAAAAAGCACACACTCAGTAGCCAGTAACAACTAGACTATAATACAAACAGCATTCTAGGAGCACTGTGCTACCTATTTCTTTGCCAGATTTCTTCAATTTATTACAGAATCTCTCTTGCTCTTTCTTTAAGTCGATATGTACTACACAACGGTAATTATGATCACTGATTAAACTGAAGATCCAAAGCTGCAAGAAAAAGAAAAAACAATTGCAATAACCTTTTGACACTAAATATAAAGCTTACATGAATACAAACAAAAGATCCAATATTTAAAACTGTGGATGTAATTAGTGAACTTTTGTATATGGCAACTCACCCTGGACAAAAACTTCAATTATATGTATTTCTAAGATTATTAAATACAATCAAAGCTAAAATATTCAAAATTAGGAAAAAAGTAGCAATTACCAGTTTCAACTGTAAATCTTATTCCCACATGTTTATGCATTTGAAAAAAAACTCCTTATAGACCATTTCCCACAATTAAAAATCACAGGTAACATGCATGTCATTGCTCTCTAGGTGATATACACGCATTTCATTTATACCTTTCTCATCTTAGACACACTATAGTTAAAGCTTTAATTTTCTTCTGAATTAGTCAACAATAACACTGAAGAGAAATAGCTGGAAAATATAATATAAATATATAAATATATTCTTACCACTAAAGAAGAGGTGAAATGGATATCAAAATTCTAACATGCTTAAATCATACCTCTTCCATTTATTGTCATACATTTTGTTTCTTGGCCAAAATAGAAGAATCCTACTTTTCAACTTTTTTTTTTTTTTTTTTTTTTTTTTTTTTTTTTTTTTATTTTTTTTTTTTTTTTTTTTTTTTTTTTTTTTTTTTAATAACAGATATATTTATAGCTTCTCAGTGTACTCTTCTTACATAATCACTGATTGTGCCCGTAAAAAAATTTCCAATTTTTCAGGAAAAACTTTCTGTTTTGTAATAGAGGTCTTGTATACTATTCATGGTTTACAGTCAAAGCACTAAAATTACTCAACAGTTCAAAACACTTAGACAGTTTGTGAACCTTTTTTTATAGACAGAAACATTAATAATAGTTGACTCTTAACAGAAAGACTGAGTTTAATGGAAAATTCATACCTGTCCCTCAGCACATCCAGTGATAATCTGTTTGTTTTCTTCATCAATGAGGAGACTTAGCAAAGGAAATGCTGCTCAGAAAAGGAAAAGTATTTCCAAAGTAGACACAAATCAGATATTTAACTAAAATACATGATTCAAGATTGCATCTTCTTATTCATAAAGATAGGGGGAAAGCCCTTCCTGCAATTCTTATGACTGCACAATGCTTTGTGTGCCTTCGCCTTTGTGCTGCTGAGCATTTTCTATTTGCAGGACTCTGGACTGCCTTTCACCCAAGCTGTCATGTCAGTGGTTTCTTGCACCCTTTCACTCAAGTTGCTGTGGCATGGTTTTCAGATTTATGAAAGTACACTAAAACTATTCACCAGGAATCAGACTTTAAAGAAAAATATATTTACTGGTGGCTCTAAAGAATAATATGTTTACTAAAACCTAGTCTACTAGAATTATTTTCACTAAAACAACCGAAGACATCTATAATATTCATAGATTATTGTTTAGAGATAGGAGGTTTTTGTTATGAAAAAATACATTTAAAATTAGAAAACATACCTGTTATTATTCCTGACTGATATATTAACTGGCTGGTAGAATAGTCCCATACCTTTAGATTGGGAAAAATAAAATTTAAAAGAAAAAAATAAACAAACAAAAAAGAAATACATAAAGGTAGGTACCTASTTACATATCTCAGAAAACACAATTTTCAACAGCCATCACATGGTGAAAACAGAGAAATGTCGCCATTGAAAGAGATGTCCTTAGGAATGGAGAAATGTAGCCTTAAAACGGATGTCCTTAGGAATGGATTTTTTTCAGGACCCGTTTCCAACTATGAAGGGTTTTGTTTAACTGATAAACATCTCTGGTGTAAAAGGTGAAACTCATGTGACATGGATACACAAAGTATCATCTTGGATTGATGTCTCAGTGACTTTAGCTAAATTTATGAAAAGGTGAAGACGAATGGCTGAGAGACCAAGGACATGTATATGAAGCCTACGTGCACAATCCAGGCTTCTGTAACCTTGAAGTGTCCTTGAAGGAAGAAAAAGAAGAAGTAAAGTGATGTAGCAATCAAGAAAAGAGGATGTTGAATGGGATACAGAACTCCTGAATCGATTGAAAGTATGCTTGCTTAGCTGTATGCGCCGCTTGCTTTTGAACCAGTAAGAAGTTACTAATGCCGCTTGGATACTGATGTTTAGCCAATCATAGTAATTAACACAGCACGTGGTAGCTTGTAATTGATATATATGTTGGACCCTGAGACAGAACAAACGGAGTTCCACAATAACTCTATGAGTGTGGTTCATCCTGGCAGCTCCCTATAAAAAGGCATACAAGAAAAAGAAAAGAAAGGAGGAAAGGGGAGGGGTTCATTGCATACAATAACTACAATAACCCAATCCAATATTCCCAAAAGGGAAAATTCAAATCCATGTCAGCAGACTCAAAGGGAAATGTTTCCTTCAGTTTGGCATCCCAGAAACACTTCTTTTACAGCCAAACTGATCAAAATATTTTATTTTATTTCTGTTTGCCAGATGATATTAATCACTAAAATTAATACTTAATTGTGGAAAGTTCTGAAAATACAAAACCTGCATTGTTCTATTAAAAAGAGTAATTAGTTTTTATTATCATTTCCCAAGCAATTCTAAGAACAATGTCCTTATCTCCATAAAGTCACAGATTTTTTACTTAATCTTCAGAACATATTTAAAGGGAAATAAATAACATTACTTCACATACTCATGAAATTATTATTTTTTTAAGTTCATCTTTACAATTTCCTTGCCTTAAAGGTTCTGTCTTCTGACACTGATACGAGCATACTTTTCTCCCATGTACAAAACTCAGCAGCAGTCACTGGAGCCAAGTGGCCATCCAATTCAGCTAGTATAGATTCATTCTGTGATTAATCAAGTCAAAAATAAAAATAGAATAAATTTCAACATAAAATTGAAAATTCAGTGTTTTAATAATTAATAAATGTTGCTAATCATTGTCAGATTTGTTTTCAAAGTGCAATTCAGTAAGATTTTTCTTTTGAAATTGAAGCCCTGTATACTATCCTGCTGGCAAAGCCACTACAAATTACATTTGCTTCTTCAGGCTGAACAATATAGGAACAATTTTTCACATCACCTAAGAATATTTTCTACTTCTAGATTATTGAGATACTGTTTCACTTCAACTTTTTAAGCCTAGTCTTCTATCTGATATATGATGTATTATCAAGAAATCAGTTCCTTCTTACCTTATGACACAAAATACATGTTTTAGCTTAATTTTACTAACATTTGTCTACTATGATTTTATTTGAAAGTGAATAAGTAAAAGAAATACTATACCGTGGCCACAAAGAATAGTATCTCACCTTTGCACTTAATATGTAGATTTGATTTTCAGAACATACTGCCACTTGTTGATCATCTGGGCTAAATCTTACATGACGAACCATTCTCAAAAGAGTTCCTATAACGATTCCTCGAGGTGCAAACCCTGCAGCAATTGTATTATTAGTGAGACTCAATGAAATATAAAAGTCTGGTGCTGTGAGATTCTTAGAAAATTTGCATAGMAGTTATCTAACCACAAAGCTGTCCCAGTTTTTTTCAGGACGATGTACAGAAAAACACACTGTTTCATTACACCAGGGTATTGGAAAGCATAGCACAGAATCATGTGCCACCAGAATTCCTCCATCTGCCCTCTTGCCTAGATGTGATCTGGTACTCTTTGAGATATTAATAATTCACATCAAATCACGCTTTCATGTTTCCATTAAAGATTGCCAGGGAAAGTATTTTTGGAGCAAGATGATGTGCCCAAGGAACCTACTAGTGCCCTGCTCATTTTGGAGGTAAGAAATCCTAACTGAAGCCCAGCAAAACAGGGCTTTGAAAAATACTACTTTTGGAAGAATAGGCCAGCCATTCAGCCAACAAGTAAGGAGGATTTTCCTTCTCTGGGTTTAATTTTTCTGTGGGAAAAGTTTGAAAGAGAAAGTACACCATTCTGTATGATTACACAATCAGGTAAGACTAGCTTTGAGGGCAGGTCATGTTTCAATTGCGTCTTCATTACTTCATTCTGGTCATCTCACAAGTTAAAGCAGACTGGTTTTTGCAGATCTGAATTTATAATGCTGCCTTTAATGATGTGAGAATGGCTTGGAAGTGCCATTAAATTTTAGGATATCATAGGGAACAAATTAACTAGAATGCAAGCACAACTACAGGTGTCCATTTCAGGCTTTTATCTTAGATGCTGTGAAGTCTTTTTCCAATTGATTAACAGGTCGGGACCACACAAAGAATTCCTTAACCACTTTGATGCAGTTTATAAGCAATAGTCTGAGAAAACATGCCAAGAATATGCAAAGTATAGTTTGGGGAGACAGAGACTCTACAGTACCTGCTGAACAGCCTATAGATGGACAGAAAAAGAAAATTTAAAAAATCCAGCAAAAATCTAGATATCAAATGTCTTTGTATCAAAACTTCACATACTCTTTATCTCTCTGCTACTGTCTAGTCCTATCTTCCAGTTTTGTTTCCTCCAAAGTCATATTCCCATTTTAGTTTCTGGAGCACCATTTGATTCCCTATGTTACTCTAACATGGATTACAATGTAATACTGACTTTTTTTTTAAAAAAAAGCACATACATTGCTGAACTTCTCTTTACTACATTAGTTTTCATGACATATAGATTTGCAAATTTAATGTGTGACAGACTACAAGAGAACTCCCTCACATTAAACCATTGGAAACTCTTTAACTATAGGTAACCAGGAGGAAATCTTTAATAGCGTAGGACAGTACAATGCAACTGATCCTCCCTACCAAAGGGGGACAGATTGCTACTCAGAATCCAGTGATTCATGACTCTAAGGATCTTGCTTTTTTTTTAATCTCTTTTATTTTTCTTTTACTTTCTGATGAATTTAAGCTTGCRGAGAGGTAAGCACCGCTCCCTAGAATCTAATTCTGTTGGTTGAGGCTCCAAATCAAGCTAGCAGTCAGGATACTAAAATTCCTGCTCTCTGTTTGTTATGCCAGAACAATGCTGTTTCACTCATGCACTCTTCCAAATCAGATACTTTCACTGGTCTCTCACACACACATACATGACAACATTGTTCCAGAGACAGAAGGAGAGACAAAGCAAGATGCAAAACACTAATTCCACATGTATGTCAGAAAAGGTAGCATTTAGTTATTTTGGCATTGAATTTTTAATTATGTAGTGCTGCTATGATTCATTTTCCTTCTGTCCATTTTATTCCACAGTGGCAGAACGTGGAAGCCTTTGCTGTGCTTCTCTGTGTTTGCCCCGAAGCTGCCGGCAGACACTTGTTCCCTCCCAGTACCTCAGCCAGCTCCCGACCCAGCTCAGCATCGCCACAGGGCCGCCGCTGCCTGGGGCCAATGGTTTCAATGTGGGGTCTCCAGGGAAGGTACAATGACAGGACAAGCTGAATCTGAGTGGCTGAATCCTGCTCCTGATAAAGAACAATCTTGTTATAGAAGGAGCACTGGGAGGAATGGAAGTGTTAGGGGTCGCCTTCCAAAGAGGCTGTCGCTCAGAAACTGGCCAGACATTGGTCTGAGTGATTGGTGGTAAATGGCTGCCTTTGCACTTTTTTGTTTMTATATATTATATATATATTATATAAACAATACTCTACCTTCTTGCACTTTCTCTGTACATTCGTCAAGATTCCATACTATCACATGATCAGGYGAAGCAGAGCAGACAAGAAGAGGATTGATTTTACTTCCAAATGACAATGCAGAAATTGAGTAATGATGCCCTGACAAATATAATGACTGACAAATGCAGACAAAGAAGAGTTAAATGAATAACTTCAAACAAAGGTTATAAATAATACAAAACTAAAAATGGATAATGTACATGAAATAAAAAAACAATACCTAGTTTTTATTTGTAGCTTCAAAATCACTCAAACTACAATGTAGCTGCACTGGGTTTGGCTGGGATGGAGTTAACTTTTTCATAGTAGATTGCATGGCGAAGTGCTTTGGATTTTGTGACAAAAACAGTGATGATAACATGGCAATGTTTTCGGTGTTGTCAAATATTGCTTGCACAGCATGGAGGCCTTCTTTTTTTTCCCACTTTTTCTCAGTTTCTTCATCCCAATAATGGGCTGAAGATGCATAAGAGACAGGGAGGTGACATAGGCTGGAACAAATTTYCAGTTTGCTGAACTGGCAAAGAAATATTCCCTACCATATGATGCTGTGCCCAGCAATAGACCTGGGGTATTGCACGCAAAAAGGTGTTGAGGGGCTGAGAGATTGACTCTAAGGTGGCTGTTGCTCAAAGCCTGTGCTGGGATTGGTCTGCTTGTAACAGGTGGTGACTGCCTTTGCACAGCTTTTCTTTTTTCCATCTTCCCTTTAKTAATTAAACTATCTCTGTCTCCACCCATGACTTCCACTTTTGCCCATCTTTTGCTCTCCTCTGCCCTGCCGGGAAAGGGTGAGCAGAAGACAGGATGATGGTTTAGCTGCAAGCTAGGGCCGACCTGCCACAACAGCTTATTGTATTCCACAATAACGAAGCTCAAAACAAACGCTAGTACCTTTGCAGCATTAAAGTGAAACCTGACCCCCTTCTGGCTTTACCTGAGCAGTGGCTGTGTTCCAGATGCACAAGTCCTTGCAATTCACAGGGAAAGCACAGAGGTGGTGACTGCAAGCCAGCTGAGAGAGGAGCTCTGGCAGCTTGCCTCTAAACAAGTATTTTTCGCAGACAACGTCAGGATCTCGCCTTCCTCCAGAGGCACAGCTGGCCCCGGCGCTCTCCATCCTGCGGCTGCGAACCGGACCACCACGCCCTGCCGGCTGCGTCCTGACCGCGGGGGCCGAGGCTAATGACGGCCCTGCTCGGTGATCTCTCCGCCTTGGGAAGGCGGAAAGCCCCGGCCCCGGCCCCGGCCCCCGCCCCGGCCCCCGCCCCGGCCCTGGCCCCGGCGCGCACAGCTCGGCCCCGGCCCCCTCCCGGCCCCGGCGCGCTCAGCCCGGCCCGTTGCCAGGGCAGCGCCGCCGCTGACGGGAGGCCGGGCGGAACAGCCCTCGCTCGCACGCCGGACAACGGGCCCCGCGACCGGCGACAGCTGCCCAGGGCTGCTTCCTGGCTCTCCCCAGCGGTGTCCTGGGCTGCATAGAAAGCAGCACGGCCGAAGATCCAAGGAAGACGATTGCTCCTCTCGTGGAACGCCAGCTAGAGCACCCCGTGCTGAGGACCCCAGCACTACACAGACAGGAGCCTATTGGAGTGAGACCTTCAGGACACATGTGAACATTTCTTTGTAAAGACAGGTGGAGAGATTTGGGGTCCTTCACAGAATCACAGAGTCAGAGTAGGTCAGTTTGGAAGGAACCATTGCGGGTCATCTCGTTCACCCTCCCTGCACAATCAGGGTCATCCTAAAGCACATGGTGCGGGATTGCATCCAGATAGTTCTTGAATATCCCCCATCCATATCTCAAGGGAGACTCCACAATCTCTCTGGGTAATCTGTTCTAGTGGAACCCACCTATCTCAGAAATCACAGAACCAATTAGGCTGGAAAAGACTTCTGAAATTGTTGAGCCCAGCCTAAGGCTGAACACTTCCAGGTCAACTAGACCATGGCACTCAGTGCCACATCCAGCCTTTCCTTATATATCTCAAGGGACAGTGACTCCACCACCTCCCTGGGCAGCCCATTCTAGAGTCTTATCGCCCTTTCTGTGGAGTATTTTTCCTAGCGTCCAACCTACACCTCCCATGGCACACCTTGAGGCCATTTCCTTTTGTCTGGCTGTTTCTTGCCTGGGAGAAAAGACAAACCCCCACCTGGCTACAGCCTCCTTTCAGGTGGTTATAGAGAGTGATAAGGTCCCCCCTGAGCCTCCTCTTCTCCAGGATAAACAACCCCAGCTCCCTCAGCTGCTCCCTACAGGACATGTGCTCCAGACCCTTCACCAGCTTCATTGTCCTTCTGAATCCACTCTTGCACCTCCTGTGGAACTGACATCCATGAAAATGAAAGACTGTTGGAAAGAATAGTTCCTTATCATATCAGGCTTTTGCATCCACTATTTCTAGTGGTCTCAGCACTCAATCACTGTAAGAAGAACTTCAATAATGAGGTCTAGTAACTTTAAACTTTAATGTTCTAAGCAGTGTAAAAGTCTTTACAGGAACAAAACTGATTTCAAAAAGCTCAAATTTATCAGAATCTGCATTTGGCAAACTTACGCAGTTTGTTTGAGCTAGGAATGAAGAGAACAAATTACATGGGTTTTATGAAATTAGAGGACCTTGAAGATAGAACATGAGCTCAGTTAATACAAGACAGCCCTTGAGTGACACACAGGCTCTCTTGAATCTCTTAGAATACCATGCACTCCATGCAGATTTTTTTTTCCAATTTCAATCCTTCCTTCTTGCTTGCAATTTTACGCAACTCGGCCGAGTCAAGGTAATTATTGAAATCAGTGGGTATTCAAAAGTGGTGGGTGTTTTTCTCTCACACTGTGTGTTCTGTGATCTCAGGTCAGGTTTATACCGATAGTCAAATAAACTATCACTAATCCATGAAGCAAACATTTCGTATCCATTTGCAGTGCAGCTTAAGTAAGGCTTCTCCAGTTTACGAGAAGGAAAACTGCTTCGCGTATCGTACCCAGCCCGCCCCGTTCCGTCCCCCCGGTGCCGCTCCGCCTTCGCCCGGCCCTCCCCCGGCCTGTCCGTCGGCGCCCCGCCCCCGCCGCGCGCTCTCGCGATACCGGGGGCGCGGCTGTGCCCGAGGCGGGGCGTAAGCGCCCGGCGGTACCGGCGGCCTTCGCGGGTGGCTCGGCGGCCGCACCTGCCCCAGCGACTGCCCCCGCCGGCTGGGCTCGGCCGGGAGCACCCGAGTGGCTCCAGGGACGCGCAGGGGGGCCGCGTCCCGCCGTTCCTGCGGCTCCTAAGCGCCGGCCTCCTCTCGGCAGCCGCGCTGCCCCGGTGCCCGTCCCAGCCCGCCCCGGGGAGGGGCTTTCCCGCGGCGCCCCGGCCGCGCTGCTCTGCTGCACGTCCGCAGAGTCCCGGCTGCTCTTCCTCGCTGTGGCTGCGGCCTCGCCGGAGCCGGAGCCCCGTGGCTGGTCGTAGGTGAGCCGTGCTCCGGTCCCCGGCCGGAGGGGTGACACGGGACCGACGCCGGGTCCGTCGGGGCCGCCCAGCGGGCGCAGCGCGGAGCCGCCGCCGCCTCCGGCGGGCGTCCCGCCCGTGGGCAGGCGGGGGCGAGCCGGGGCGGGCAGAGGTGCTCGTTCGTCCCTCTGTCCAAGGTCTCGGAATCGCTTCTCCTCCCGAGCGCTGCGTCGGCGCCAGGACGCTTTCGTTCTTTCCTAGATAACTTAATTATTTTCTGCTCAGATGTGGAGCTCCTCCCCCGTCTCCACTCGGCTTCTTCATCACTACTTCGATATACAAGTGACAGAGTCTGCTCCTTGATACGAGGGAGAGAAAGGACTGTTCTTTCCTATCGCTGTTGAGGGAGTTTTGTCAGTCTGGCAGGTTCAGCGAATGTTACACCTCCTTCTTTTATGCTGTTTTTGCAGAATTGTGGCCTTGCAATAGAGAGGCCTCTGGGGCAGAAAACGTCGTACTACAGAAACTGTTGGGCATTTCTTTTCTATTTTTTTCCTCCCCTAGATCCATTCAGCTGTAGAGCTTCTAACGTTAAAAGGACATCTCAGTGGAAGCAATGTAGTTTGTTTTGATGCTGACAGGGTACAAAATTTTACAGGCAGCTTTCTGGCTGCAGATAATTGTAATGTCCTTATGGAAGTTACGAGGGGATGAGAATCTTCCTCTTAAACATGAAGATGTTCAGGCTTGTGGCTCCTGTGATTTGCATGTCAAATTCAGTAAGCTGTTTATTGTGGAAACCTTCAACAGGGTTTGGAGGTTTCTGCTTTGCACACAGAGACTTAGTGCAGCTATTCAGAGGGTTGGAGTGTGGCAGGTATGCTCAGGCTGCCCAACTGGGAGCATGCAGCAAGGAGGGAATAGACTGTAAGAGCCCTGATCTTGATCCATCTTCCCCTTGCCCTGGTGCTTTCAGCCTTATCTTTTGTATGCAAATGCTGTAAAGAGCTGAGCGTTTGTAAAGTAAAAAAATCTTCTTGAAAGTAAATGCATTTTTTTCAAGGAAAATGTACCACATTTGGTCCTAGAAAAAAGCCATACATAAATGGATTATAAGTTATTGTATTACCTCATTAGAGAATGTTTTTATTTCTAACTCCATCCCAGTGCAAGCTGGGCTGCCTACTGCTTCAGATCCACATCCAGATTGCACCTTTACTGTCTTTTGAAGTTGAGATGAGAGGATGGGAGAGCAAATAGGATGCCCTAAGTACCTCATATAAAGTTAAGCATCTTCAGTCATGCAAAAACCTTCCTTAACTGTTTTTTGGTTTTGTTTTTTTTTAACCGAAGCTAAAATTACTGTATTTCATCCCTTCTGGGTATCTGTCAAGTTTGGCATGCATGTAGGTAGAATGAAACTGAAGTCACTTTGTCAGTTCTGTTGAAAAAAAACTGGCTCCATTAATTTTTGTTTAAGTTTTGGAAAGCCAAGCCATTTTATTCTGACAAAGTTCTTAATCTTAGYTCTGGTTTCTGTCACTGTTAAAAATGTAAGTTATTGAACACATTTAATTGAAGTTGTTTAACTTTGTATGGACTAGGGAGGATTTATAAAAATTACCATATTAAAAAAAAAAAAAACAACCAAACCATCAAACAAAAATAAATAAACAAAACAAAACAAAATGGGAAAATAAAAAAAAAAAAGGATTGCTTCCAGGAAGGGAATATACTAAAATCTGAATTGTATTTTGTATTCACAAGGTAGCACACAGGACACAGGAAGAGTTCAAATACAACTTGAAGACCATGGCAACACACTGGAGAAGAATCCTGACAGTGTTTATGACAGCTCAAGTACTTTTTGTGGTAAATGCCTTTGAGGAAGAGGACATACCAGAGGAGTGGGTTCTTCTTCATGTTGTCCAAGGTCAGATTGGAGCAGGAAACTATAGCTATTTGAGACTAAATCACGAGGGAAAGATAGTTCTTCAGATGCAGAGTTTAAAAGGTGACGCAGACTTGTACGTATCTGATGTGACACTTCACCCCAGCTTTGACGAGTATGAGTTACAGTCTGTAACTTGTGGCCAAGACATTGTCCATGTGCCTGCACACTTCCGCCGCCCCGTGGGAATAGGGATTTATGGCCATCCCTCTCACCTGGAGAGTGAGTTTGAAATGAAGGTGTACTATGATCGAACAGTTGTACAATTTGGTGAGGCTTCTTATAACCCTGAGGAGATGGAGGCAAACCAGAAATACTCACAGTCTACAGAAGATGAATCTCAGGACGAGGAGTCTGTTTTCTGGACTATACTTATTGGAATCTTGAAATTAATACTTGAAATTCTTTTTTAAATTGATATATACTGGACTAAGTCACACTTCAACCTGTGAAATTGGTATGAATGACTTTCTGTAATATTCAACATTCGTTATGTTTCCTGAAGAGATATTAAGGTTATATTTCCTAAACCAGAAAGGAAGTGGGGAGAAAAAGCCATATTTAATTTTATATTGTAGATCCTCCCCAATATGTAAAATAAGCAGCCAGCACAATATTTGCAGTACTCTTCAGAGATCAGGGCTTAAAAATGAATGTATAGTTGGGATCTTGTTAAGTTCACTTTAAATAGGTGCTTAGGAAAATAAATTCCAATTCAGTATTTTCTGTTGTTTTTTATAAAGAAAAATGAATAAACTGCTGCACTTCAGCCCCCCTCTCAATTTAGAGCATATTTAAAAATAAAACCTGCTTCTTTTCTGAGCAACTATTTCCAGTAAAACTAATTAGTAATGTGTTTGAGTATTTATGAATTGGAGGAGCTTAGGGTGAAGGAAGCAGAAATCAATCATGTAAGGGAATAGATGGTCTGTATTTTGACTGTGTGTGCTCTACATCACATCTGCCATCTGTCAAACAGAAGTTGGTCCAGTCACTCATCACCACTACAAATCCATGACCTGAATCAAGTGCATGTTGCTTCTTTGCTATTACTGCAAGGAGAGGAAGCCTTCAGCTGTTGTTAATTTATGTTACAATATGACATTTTATCCCTGATTAAAAACAACACGGCATATAGGTATCTCTGGCTTGAGGGGTGCTTTCTTACGCTTCCCTTCTGAGTTTTTTGTGATTGATACTTTTTAAGCAGGTATTTATGAATAAGTCATTAGCTTGCAAGGAAAATTTCTGCTGAAAGGGATTTGCATGCATTATAAGGAGATCATCACATGCCCACTCAGAAGTTACTCTTTTCAGGAATACTTTTTGCTTTGTTCGAGTCTTTTAAAGTAACCAGTTGCTATGCAAATAAAGTATATTTAAACTGCTCTGTAATTTACTTTTCACAGAGCTTACTGATGAATGCACTGAAACAAACAAGTATATTACTATAATTTTACACAAACGATGCATGTATAATTTAGATTTCATTACTGAAAGACTTCTCTTTTTGAATGGGAATTTGGCTTGCCTATCTCAACATCTGACAGGACATTAGTGACTTGTATAACAAAAAAATCATTATCTAGACAAAGTTTATTTAGTAAAAAGAAAAAAAAGTGGTATTGCTCCTCTTAAAGTGGTTGGTTAAATAGCACCCAAAGATCACTTTAATTTGTACAGTTAGGTTTTGGACAGCAAGTTTTTGGGGCTTCTTTAGCCCTCCTTGCTGTTTTTCCCCCTTCTTCCTCCTCTTCTGGGTACAGGAGGGTCTTTCTGACAACAATCACAAATCCAGCGACCTAAGGAAAGAAAGTTATTAATTATTGGGAAACTAAGTTTGTTACTCTCATCTATTTAGGCAAACCTTCACCATTTTGTTAGGTGCTTATCTATTTGTAGTATTTCTTTTAATGCAAACAATTAGTGCTTTGCTTTAAAACTGAGCATCTTTTCTATAAAGCAGCATATCCAATTCACGCTTCCTTGCAGACTCATTATGTGTAACTACCGGCTACACCATTCTTCATGGACCTCAGAAAGTGCCAGCACTGCCAAGGAGGTGRTTATTAGGTAAGAGTTTGACAAACGATGCTTGAGTTTGCCAGTCATATTTTCAAGTGAATGACTACAGGTCGAGGTAATTAAGTTACCCAGAGCAAAAGTGAATGGCAGTTGAGGAAGCATTTAACTGATCATACTGCAACATAGCTGGAATCAAAGGCTGCTTTGGTAATTTTGTAGTTTTGCAGACATACAATTTATTTGTTTACATTCTTATGTTAGCCTCAAAATGAAATCAGCCACAGAACCTATACTAAAGTGACAGCTAGCTCCAGTGCTCCCCAAATGGGACACTACAGTGTCTTTTAAGCACTGTAAAGGCAAGTCACTGTCAGTGCCGCTGAATATGTATTAATGAACTTACCATGGACTTAGAATTACATATAAAGCAACAGTAGCAGCTGCTATTTTCTTTCTACTGCCCTGAGTTGGCCAGATGATACAAGTGACTGAGAAATTTAAAGCTACAGGCTGCCTGTCTGCCTGCCATGGAGGTACTTCTGTTCCAGTTTTGATGTTTTAAGATTAAAAAAGAATGAAAAGGTTTAAAGAGGTGTTTATAAATATTGAGACAACTATTTCATTTAGAACCTAAAACAGCAATACAATTTCTTTTACAGGTTTCTTCAACAGAAAGAGGTAATCTCAGTATTCTGTGGATATGGAAAAAAAAAAGTTCTGAGTGAGCCTGTTTGCATTATGCTGTAAAAGCCAATTATATTTCCTACACAGGAATTGCCAGGTTTAACTGTACAACCAAATATACAGAAATAAAGCTTAGTAAAAAAAATCAGGTCCTACAGTGTGAATGTTTTCCTAGAATATTTCTTGCTCTTACCTCTCACACTTGTTTTAAACTATTCTTTCAAAAGCAATGCATGTATTAATTCTGAGAGAGAGCCCAGAACTCAGAGGAGGTGTGAAGGGAACAAGTAACTCTTACTTTATTACCTGAAGGGATAGCATCAAGCCCCACACAAAAAGTGTGATAACCACGGTCACATACATCACAGAACATCATTTCTTCTTCATGGTGAGGCTGCCCGCATATAATGCATGTTTTACACTCCATACATTGCCAAGGGTAAGTCTTAATCATAGCAACAAGTTCCGGGGTCATATCAAGGCAAGAAGGGTGGCCTAGATTAAAACCAGTATTATTACTTTTATGCCTGAAATGAAACTTAAAATTAGTTAGACCGTTTGCTTTTACTGAATGTGAAGCTTAGCTCACCTCCTAGTGAGATCCCACAATGCACTGAGTGTGCGACTACAGAGAACATGAAAGAGAGATGGAGTCTTAACAAAGAACAGAAAAGGCAACTGAGCTGTTGCTAAACATGGAGTACACCAAATAAGTCCACAAAAATATGTGTCAAACTCCCTTAGGAATCCATTTACTGTATGTAGATACTTACCACTGTTGTCACACTGGGAGCAACGTATAAGAGCTTCAGCTTTTCCTTTCTTGTTCGACTCCTTACCCTTCAGACAAATTCCACATATAGCATTTGGTATGACCTTTGGCTGGAAGGGTAGAAGAGGGCTATAAATTCATTCCAAAAGAATTTACAGATTCAACAGGAAATGTCATCTACCTCCTTAACTATTAAAATTCATAAACTATCTGTTAGGATGTGTGAACCCTGAAAAACATGACAATCATTGACAAACAATCTCACTGAAAAACATAATTTAACTACCTAAAGTTTTGCATTTGTTATACATGGTCATTTATATCTAAGTCCAGTTGGATCAAAAGCACGTACTTGCCTCTTCCTACTAATTCATCAGCTAGCATTCTCTTTGCGGTAAACTAAATGTGACACAGGACAAAAAACTTTGGCAAGATTCTTCCAATATAGAGTACTTTATGAACTTCTACGTGGATTTCCTGTTGATGAAGGAAATTATATTTTTCTATTTGCATTACATTCATCCCTAAATATAGAAAATTAGTTATTAAAGCAATAATTTTGATTTTTTTTTTATTTTGGGTTTCAAATTATCTGGTTAGCTATATTGTACAGAGTTTATTTCTTTTACCATTCCTTCTAGTATCCAGTCAATCACTGTAAGAAAGAGCCTTCAGTTTAACTACAGATTTACATTCATTATTTTTCTAAGTGATCATCTGGAGTGTGTCTGTGTCCACAAGATCCATTTAAAGGGTAAGAGAAATAGCAGGCTGGTACAGTGTGGAATATCTATGCAATTCTGACCCAACTCCACAGACACACCAACGGTTTCATCCTGATGAGGCCTGAGGAAAAAGTAATGCATTCCTAATTTCAGAAACATGGCAGTAGTTACATTGTTGAGCTTTGACTCCTGCATAACGAAAGGAGTGAAAAATGTAGTGTACAATTGATGTAGTGTTCGCTGATGTAAAGCTGACTAGTGCCAGTTTTAGAAAACAATATTGCTGCAAAGACCCAGCTAGTAGAGGGATCTGAAGGCATATCCTCTTCTAAATAGTGTGTCAGCAAGCAAGGAGAGTCCCAGCGAACTACCAACCCCATGTGGATAGAACAGGGTTAAAAAAACTGAAAATACAAATATATATACACGTATGTATGTATATATACATGTATATATATTTTAAAATAATTACAAAGATCTTTCACAATACAACTTATCTTTAAGGGTGTTTATTTCCCCAGCCACCTTTTGATAGCAACTAGCAAGATAATTATTGCTTCRAGTTTACTGAAGTTTTCAATCAGCTTTTTATGTCAAAACATGGCTACAGCCTGCTTCGCATTGTTTGGTCCAAGGAGTTTTATTCAAGAAAGCCAGACACCACACCAGATGTTTATAGGTAATTTCCTTCAAAAGATGACAGAGGCATTCATAGACACTTTTTTGCTTATTTATTTTAAAAAAGCAAAGTCAACCTGTTTTATACATAAATATAATAAAACAGTAAAAGAAGTCTAACATTCACAAACATCTCTACAAAATAATAAATATAGTGGAAGCAAACCCACATATAAACTCTTACTGTTAACTATACTACGTGTCCTACATGTATACCTTTATACCCTGCTCCTCCCACCTAAGTGCTACATGCTTAAACTTTGTCAGTGTGACAGCATTTACCCTTTCATCGTTTAGGCTATATTTTTTTTTTAATATTTGGAATCTATTTATAAGAAGCCAAGCCTTTCTAGAACAGCAACTGTGCTTTTCTAATCAGACTTCTGGCTCATCACAGATTTGTATTTTTCTGCCTTCACTATAAAACAGCACACTCCCCAGTACTCCAGCCAAAGCAAGCTGCTGTTTGGACACATACTAGTGTTACAGGTATGTGCAGTTTACACATAATTCTCAAGGTGGACATTGATATAGATGCATTTATTAACAATGCTTTCATTTAGTCTTAGTTCACTAAACTGTATGCACTAGAAATGGTGCATATTGGAGAGGCTGAGAATCACAGCCTATTAGGAATAAAGTTCCAACAGCATGGAAGTATTTTTACAAAAGCGAAAAAGAAAAGAAAATAGTAGACTATTCAGATTTTAATCCAGTTCAGTTCTATCACCATAAACGGCTTTTAGAAAAAAAGCTGTAACAAAGTCTGTCAATTCCAAATGGAAAGTCATGATATCCCATATCATTAGAAGTACATTTTGCTTTCTACATCCTCATATTCTTGGGATAAGATAGGAGAGAAATGAATGCAGGGTCAAAATGAAGACTGTGTGCTATGTAGGTTTTCACTTCCATGCAGCTGTGCTGCAGCTCTCAAAGTAAGCTTTCCAACTACACCGTTTTTATAACATCCTATTCTGAATGCAAAGTGTTACATTTTCATATACAGTGACCCAAAACAGAAGTGTTGCAAAATAAAGATACTCAATACATTTCCATTTTATGTGCAAAAAAATCTCCTGTACTTTTAACATTACCCTGTGTGTGCAATTGCAGTAGTCAGTCCTTAAGTAACAGACTTGCTACTTGTAGCATGACAAAATGTTAAACAGATGCTAATAATTCTTTGTTAAAGAACTGACAATAGAAAAAATTCCATATAAAATGCAGTATTTCTTTTACTCAAAAATAACTCAGTGGAAATGTATGGAATCCTCTAATACTCATAATGTGGCTATAATTATACACATGTATGCTGAAGCCATAGCAATTATCCTTCCATTTTAACTACATGTAAGCAAAAGATAACTGTCCTACAAAAATAGTCCAATATTAGAGAACAATATAGAACAAAAGTATTATAAAGATTTCACAGGGAAAACATTTTGAATCAGTTAAGCTTTCAGCTCAAAGTGCCTTAACATTTAGGCATATACGGTAGGTATATTGTTATCTGGTATTTTTATAGACTCACAAAAAGAATCATTCTGTCTTGCCAGTTAAAACAGCTCATGTGATTTGGCTTATTGCAAGCTTTCAAATGTTCCCACAAACAAGAAAGCCAATCCTCTCACCTGCCCAACACATCATCACCACCCCTGACTTAACAGCCTGAGGGTTGATGCAGGCAGGGTATGTTGACATTGCAAAGATGTAGCACTGTAAGTTAACAGTAAGACCTTGTTACTGACAGAATCAGTGATTTTGAACCAATAAGTAATTACTATGTGAATCCACTTCCAAAATGCAGTGCTGTATACTATGACTGCTCTTCTACAATTTTAAATTCAAAACTTTGCTGAAAGTTCTGCTCCATCAGTTCTCTCTCTACGCATTCATAAAGCCATTAAACAGACTGGACTAATCAAACACTTGGGCATCTTACAGCTAAGTGGAACTTCTGTAAACCAGTGGCACACAAGTCTCTAATGTCAAGGTAAACAAAGCTAGAGTAAAATGTCAGCCTTCATCTTTGGATTTCATGTTCATGGGAATACTGAAATGCATTCTTTGTCTACAACTTCTTGCAAAGTTACATATAAAAAATATATATATATGCGGTAACCATAATGTAAATCTCCACAGTTCCCGCATTTCTTATTAAGTTCCTGATATGAGAAAATGCAACTGTAGCTTGCTGTTATGAACTTGTACAGATACTGTATGTAGAGGAAATTTATCAAAACTGTCCAATTCTTTCTTGCTGGAAATTAGCTTCTTAATGTAAGTTATTGTATCTTTATTATTAACTTGGTAAATACAGATAGTAAATATTTATGAATATAAAATGCCATCAACAACTCACTTTTGCTGAGACAGAGTCTCACTATGTACCAACTTGTCACTGACAGAAGTGTTTCTTGTTCTGTAACTGTCAATAAGCATTCCTGACTAGTAAACACTCAACCCTATCTTAACATAGTGTTTTCCTTCTTTATAGGTCTATTCCTGGTCCCATGAAGGTCAATGAAAATTCTCATTCATCTCAGTGAAACAGAACTATACAATTATGTGCTTTAAAAGTGTTACAGTTTATTCAGATTTTCTCTCAGTGTGCAGAATAGTAACATATAAATAATGCATGTCAATTCCCATTTCTACTGGAAGGTATTTTTATCTTAAGTTTTTAAATTCTTATACGGGAATACTGAAGATTTGGGTCTTAGGTTTAGCAATCTCTGCTTGATAGCTGAAATGTCTCAACAACCTCATCAGGTTTCTAATTTAGATAAAAGCATATTGCCCACAAACGTTACTACATAGCATGAACTACATAAAAAGCTATTTTCCATATACTGTTACAGTGGCTAGATAGTGTTGCCTATACAGCTGTAGTAAGCTTTTTGCCTTCCATCCTATACATCGTAACATTGCAGGATAAAAGGCTGCACTTAAAATGAATGTTTTAACATTCTGTTCAGCCATACAGCTGCATTTCACAGCACTGGTCTCTTGGTACGCTGCCATATGAAATAGAAAAAATAGTAACAGATAGTGAATGCTAACTTCAAACTGGCCCATACTTCTGACTGCTATGTTAAAGCAGACAGAAAGATGTAGAGTTCCAGAGATAAACCCACAATGGCTTTTTCTAGTGTTACTGTCTAGGAATCTAAGAAGTTAACACAATAGGAAGCCACTGTACAGCTAGGGTAAAGAAAAACCCCACATGAAATATAAGCAAAAAGGAAATAAGGAAGCAAAGAGATGGAGCACACAACAGGAGAACAGCTAGTGAAGTACAGCAAGCAGAAGTTACACATTATTGACTAAACCAAGTACTTCAGGGTGAGTAAAGTTCAGTCAGGGGCTTTTTTCTTCTACCTTGTACCCAGGAACTGATTTGGGTAATACAGAACGTTTGGAACCATCTTTTCTTGGAGTAGCACTTTTGTCTCTTGTTTTTTGTCTTCCCTGAAAAGAATCCTCCTGGTTGTCTGTGGCGCAATCACCTTCAGATACACTGCCAGACGAATTGTCCTATAATAAAAATACCATAGCTATTTTTTTTTTTTTATTTTTTGGATAGACAGACAAGTCTTTCCTATACCCCTTAGAGCCAAGTAAGAGAAGGATATGTCATTCCTTCCACAAAAGCATGGGGTTTATCACAATCTAGAATACCTCTGTTCACAACAATGATTTTTTTCTGGTTTAAGAGACTGGCATCAGCAACAGCAGTCATGTTTTCCATGTTGGTACCAGTGCAGGGAGCACARCAGTCTAATTCTTTGAACCATTTTCCATTAGAAGTCAGCAAGAAATCTACTAAATGCAAGATGCTGTAAACAAAGGGCCAGCAAAAAGTTAGAAGTGCCCTTGTCATGTATTAAAGCATACTAGCACTGCCTTGAATTAACATATGAAGGTTTTTTTCTGCCACCCTCATCTACTATTTCCACCAGGAGCAATCTAAATATTTAATTTGGACTGTAACAGAAGAATGCCATCAATGGCAAAACACGGCATATTTAATACAGAACCAAACAACAGAATTTATTTTGCAGTTAAAGATAGGGGGKTTTTTTGAGGAATGAGGGAGCAAGAAAGAGGGGAAGAGGTTTAGAGGGTGAGAGATCAATGTAAGCATAATTAAGAGCAGCAGCACAAGACTTTTCTCAGAAAAGTGTTAATATAGGCTTCCAAAAAGCTCCAGAATGAAGTAGTGTGATTACTCACATTTACTACAATAAGACCCAACAGGCCAAATAACAATGGTGCCCTGTAGTAAAACACACTCTGTAAAAATGCAGTTGTAATCAGCCTGTGCCCCAGATTCTAAAATCAAAATAGACAAAACAGAAACAGGGCAAATGGAGGAGCGTAACATAAAAGCAGATCAAACTGTGTGGCAACAAGAAATGGTATTTTTCATGATTATTTTAGGGAAAGAGTTGTTTTGGACAGACCTATTGAAACACTACAGAACAAGAAAACTGCTACCAACCCCAACAACGGGGGGAGGGTGAAAAAGGAAAAGGTATAAAGCATATTGTGGGTCTCACCAGGGAGATCTGATGGTAGGTAGCCCATATCTGACAATGTCCCACTTTGTGTTTTTTCTGAACTATATGCCCTCTCAATGACTAACCACCTAAGAACCCCTGCTCCTATAGCCAAAACCACTTCACAGGAATCTGATTACCAGTTTTCCATACTTCTCTAAACTTCCCAAACTCAAGGACATTTTTCCTTCTGCATTCTGTTACAAAAACAATTTCTGAACCTCTGAAAATCAAAGGACAGTCTGATTGATCCAGTTACTTTTCTTTACCATTAATCAGAATGATAGTCAGTGGAAAAGGAAACTGGGAAAAAGCTGTTAAAGACCAACTGTAAAAAAGCTGGAGTGTGATTAAACCAAAAATCTGAGTTGACATTTAGCATGCTATGTTTATATGACTGCTTCTTCTCAAAAATGAAGCACTATTTCTCAAAGTAGAAACAGTGTATTAAACAGCTCTATCTCATTTGTTAACCTAAAAATTGACCTCTTCCTTTCTTGTTCAGTTTTAAGTATCTTACAAAATTCAAGCAAGATAAATATTTATATGGCAAAATTTAGAATTAGACATATCCACCGTCAAACATGTTAATCAATCATGCTAGAAATTGTTAAATGCACAGTGACATTCCACTGCTGTTAAAACTATGGTTAAACATCTGGAAGGAGGTTGTCAGCAAGGTACAAACTGCACCAATACACCAATGGTTCAGTTGTACTCAGCTCATCTGAAACTCAGCTGGCTGTCGAGCATTTAAAATGCTATCAAGGTACGTATGTGAAAGTTTCTTTGCAGTTTCAAGTAACAGTTAATTTTGCATTTGTGTAAGTGGAGAGAAGATAAGTATCTTTTTAAAGATGTATTGTAAAGCAAAAAAACCCAGAGTCTTTTATCTTCCTTTTAAATTGGAATAAAGTAACTGTTTCTATGCTGAGTAACTGGCACTTCTATGTCACAAAAAGAAAAAGTTATGAGGTTATCAACACCTTTGCTTTAGGGAGAGATTCTGTGGGACTTCAAATATACTGTGACTAGAACTATAGTGTTCRTTCTCCTCAGAAATGTTAGAATGTTAGCAACTTCCCCTTGGGAAAAAGGGCATAATGAAGAGCTGCACCGGGAAGTTTCTTCAAAGTTTTTTTAACAAAACTAATTAAACAAAAAAAAAATAAGAAAAAACAGACAAACAAAAAAACCCCAAACAAACCAAAAAACCAAAAAAAAAAACCCAAAAAAGCCTGAAATTTCAAGTATTTGCTCAATTTACTTTGGACCAAATGAAGCTAGAGAGCAATGTTATGAAATAAAACAGAAGCACTAAAAAAAGTCTTCCCTTCATTTTGCAAATGTTAGAAGATTCTACTCAGAAACTAGTTAAACTAACAAAAGTGAAGGGAAAGGATTTTTTTTGTTCAAGAAAACTTTCAATTTGTCTCACCGAATTGCCTTTGGTTTTCCGTTTTTCATCACCTCGCCCTTCCTCTGCATCATCTGAATCTCCATCACTGTCCAATGCAGGCAGCTCTGGATCCAAAGGAGGTTCATACAGAGCTGTGTTTAATGGCAAGTAACGAAGTTCATCTGGAGAATATCTAAAGTTAAATAAATAAATAAAATTAATTCATTCATGTGTACATTACGCTTAAGTAGGAAGTAACAGTATACAGGGACTTCACTGAGAAAGTCTCCTTTTTTTCAGGAAGGCACATAAAAATACACAGTTCTGAAAACAAAGAAAACACACTAATTTCTCCCCCTACATGTGACACCATGTATAGTACTTGTCTGCTTTGTAGAGTAGATATTCATGGAACACAGGAGGGTGTATTTGCGAAGTTTTAACCAATYCACGTTACTACGCCTAACAGACCATACTTTTGTTTACGAATGTACAATGCCCTGTAACGTGTACAGTTCTAACCCAGGGCACACAAACATGTCCAAAGCAAAGGAAACAAAGAATACAGCTGTATATCCAATTACTGAGAAAAAAAAAAAAGCATATAAAAATAAAATTTTGGAAGAATGTAAAGATCTGATTGATCTGCTTATGGCCAGATACAGCTTAACCTGCATAATCTACCCCTTTTCTTTTTAACCTTAAAGACTAAGAAAAAAAATGAAAGTCCTCTTTCTGCTGAGGACAAACCGTAAAGAACGGGGTACTATTTTGGTGCATATTTTGAAAGGTTGTGTCCTTCAATGAGATGGAAAAGCAGTTTAACTTGCAGCTTACAAGTTCAAAAGAAACAAAATACGTAGTCATTTAAATTAAATTAATTTAATAAAATTAAAGTCCTTTGGGAACATCCTGTAACATGCAAACTTGGAGTGGGCTATATGAACATATACTGGAAGGAACAAGGCACATGCAGACTAATAGCTTCTCTAAAGAAAACTAACATACATACAGGATAAATACCACCTCTATTGAACAATAGTAAGACTTCAGCAAAATCTGTATGCATTTGTTAATGGTAGCATGTCACTAGTAACATCTTAAATTTATGTCAACAGTCAAGCAACATGTTTTTGATGAAATGTAAACATGCAGCTTGCAACGTCTTTCTCTTCCACTTACAAATCCAACATCAAACTTAACCCACAAGACCAATCAAAAAATTTTTAAGGAGTTTCTGAAAATTTTAGAAAGAACAGCAACTGTCACACAGAAGACATGTGATCACAAGCCACCATTACAACACTTTGATACAGAAACATTAATTTTAGCACACATGCAGAGACAAATAAGTCAGTGCATGAGAGTAGCAGGAGTGAAATCAATGTCTCATTATACCATGGTAAACACCTGAGCAAGTCAAATCTCAGCCACTGCAATACATCAGCAGACAGTGGTCTTGCAGTCAGTACTGTTTTGTTGACCTAAGCTCTCATACTATGCATCTTTGAAGACTAGCAAGTGTGTCAAACGTAACATTGATTTGCAACCTTACAGTAAAGACACTGAAAAGCTTTCCACCTGCTAGATGTGGACAAAAGAGATCAGTGCAACAGAACTGGCAGTTGGAATGCTTTTAAAATACCTTTTGTAGTACTCCTGGAATTGGCCGGGTATGAGAGCCACTGGATAAGGACTAACCTTTGTTCTCTCTGTAGGCAAGATTTTGTACTTTCCTTGAGGCACCTGGATAATCTGCATTGTTTAATATAAAACAATTATATTTTTGTTTCACATACAAACTGTTGAGCATTCCTCACCAACTACTCCCCCAAACATTTATTTTAACTTGCCAGCATTACTAAATCAGAACAGTTACCTAAATTCTCCCATGAGAAATTAAATTCATTTAAATGGCAAGAGACCATAATCACAGAATAGTATTATGGATTAAATCCAATCACTAAGTGTCTAGTGAACTGAACAAAAATTAGATAAAACCACTCGAAACAGTATACTATAAAAATAATTTTGAAATTAAAATCTAGCAATTGAAACAGTAAACATTAATTTTTGTGACCGACACCTTTAGCATGGGTTATTGCTGTTGGTCCATATTGCTTTAGTACTACGAAAGAGCACATCCATCTAATTCTGAAACCAGACTGTACTATTAAAAAAATCCATTAATAATATAAATATATGGAAAAGACAAGCTTACACATAATTCTTCCTTGTCTTACATGGAAATAGAAGTGATTATCCACTAGCTTGTCTCTATCATGGGTCAATACAAGGAAAATAAAAACTTTTTCTAATTGTCTGCCATGTAATAATTTGCAGAGAAAATTTTTGCTTTAATATCTTTACAGAAGCAGAACAGTACGACTTCAAAACACCAGATTATTTTTTTTAAATCAATCAGAGGCATGTAACATATGCAACACAGAAATAACATAACCCTTAACTATAAACAAGGGCATAATATTGACAGGCAGCACACTTCTGGGTAATAAGTTGTTTTCTTTTTACTTCAGGTATTGTCAGGCAAAATTTCGGAGGTATTCAAAAGAAAAATTAGCCATTTATATGAATAAATAAACCACTTATGCTACTATCAGAATAAAGACACGATAACAAAATAACACTGAAATTTTTAGAGTTGTCATGGACAGGTATCTTCTGGTTAAAAAAGTTAGCAGATTAAATATATTTGAGATTATTATTTTTAGCAGTATTACCCATTTAACAGCAAAACCGTAAGCCCCTCCATGACTGAAACAATAATCAACCCCCCAGATAATAGTTGAAATGTTACCAAACCTAACTTCACTAAACTAAGCAGGGAACTTCAAATTTAAATCTGCCTACATGTGTCTGTAAATCAAAATAGGCTCTTCTTTCTTCCATCCGCTCTCGGTTTAAATTGCTGTTGAATTCTGCAGCTTTCTTGGCAGCTTTTTTAATATATTCTGGAACTTTACTGGCTTCTACCTTCTGTGTATTCTGCTGCTGCATTTGCTGGAATAAAAAACAATTTCATTAATTCACATACATTCACAATCAGTTTGAGAAGAGCCTTTTCTCACACTCACATTACAGATTTGGTTAACTTAAATTATAATTACTTACAGAATACTCTTTATAATGATCTGTTATTCGCTGCCGTTCTTTCTCTTGCAATATAACAGAATACTCAGCATGTTTGGCAGGGTATTCTTTAATCATAAGATCAATTACTTCATCACTACGCAAAGCTGTTAGACCTAGAATAAATAAAAGCAATCATGATGCTATCTGGAAAAAGTAACTGTAGGTTATTTATATCACACAATGACCAACTCAAAGTTTTTGAGCAGCTAAAGACAAAAACCTGCTGTGCACAACGTTTCTCTTTCTCAGGAAGGAGTCAACTTGTGCCATTTAGCTTTCAAAGCTGATTAGGAGTTTGCTTGTACCCAAGGCTCGTGTCATTACTTACTGCTACAGACCCCTCTGCACTGACTCAACCACCTACTTAAACTCACTGGTGAGGAAAAACGTTTGTTTTAGGTGGGACCTGGTGTACTGTTCAGTTTCCAATGCTGGAGAAGTGACAAGTTCATTAAGCTGCAGAACCTTTACCGAAATTACAGGATTTCCACAATGTGTCTATATAAATCAAGGAAGAATCACTATGAAAGCAATTCAAAGCAGCAAACTGCGCACAGACTCCTGACTCCCAAATTAAAGCATTTCAAGTTCAGAAGTCAGAATGCTTCAGTTTTGCAGCTAAAACGCAGAACTCCTCCCCTAAAGGTTCCAACACAACGAATGTCTAAACATGGATGACAACATGGAATGATTTATGTTACTACCACTGATTATAACAGGGCTAGTTAGCTCAGCATACATCTCTGCTGGATACATGAGGTACAATGTAACATTTAAGCTATACTGATGTTTGTTGCAACAAAGTAAGACTAACGCATACAAAGAGACCATGTAAAATATCACATACATAGGTATGTGATGTTTTACACCATGTATATATGCAATATATACCGCCCTGTAAATCTAAACATCTAATGGATATATATAAGAGATCATACAATTACGATGGTCTCTTTTCTAGGAGACAAAGGTTCTAGAAGTTAATTTATAGTAAATTCCCCTTTAAGTAATTAGATTACATCAAAAATATATCTGTTAAATCTGATACCTCATGGTCACTTAACCAAGTTAATAATAAACTAGTTTTAATTTCACAATTTATGTTTTCAGTTGACAGGGATGCAATTCTTCTCTACCAAATTGAACCCYCTTTTTCAGTATGCCATACTTTTTATACTGTAATAAGGAGTTTAACAAATTGTTTTCTTACCTAGTGTGCATTGAGTCTCTGTGATAACATTTAGTTCTCTGAGGTAGAGCTTCTCCTTGTGAGATAAATCTCGCCTTTCTAAATCTCCAAAGAAAACAAAAAAGAGAAATAAAAGTGTGCAGTTACTGAAACTTCCCTATTAAAATGCTGAAGTATTTGTTTCATATGTATGAATTTTGTTTCCAGGAAGCTAGTCTGTATTATACTACTATTACAAGAAACTTAACAACTTCATAAATTACTTTTAAATTTAATGAACAATGCAGTGACATGGTACATTTTCTTGACGTATAGTAGGTCAAGACCCTGCCTATAGTTATGATTTACAGAAAAACTAAAGAACGCTGATATATAAATTCAGAAATTTCTACCAAGCACTGAAAGGACAGTCTTTTTGATTTTACCATGACTTTTAAAAATAAATTTCCCAACAAAAGAACCAGATGACATTTCTGAATAATTGTTGTGGGTTAAAATTCTTCTCCTTTTGTTCCCTTTCTTTGGGAATTTTTTCTTCCCCATTTGTTGCTGGGATACGTTAATTGCCAGTCATCCTTTTAATTGCTGGGTGATTAAAAAGACAATGATACCTATGCCACACCCTAATGGTCTGGCTAAGCGCTCAGAGAGAGCTTTTGTGTGGTGGGGGGGAGATTGGGAGTTTGGTTTTCGCGGCTTCGCGGAGAGGGGGTTCCTGCTTGCTGCACCATGGTTTTTTCTCTCCTGTGCCTGGCCGGGGATTCCAGCTTCAGGGGGGTGAACTCTGCTCCATCCCATCTCGCAGCCGCGAGATTCCTGCTCGTCTTTTTTTTGCCATCCTGGGTTTCTTGCTGTCCAGAAGAGCACCGGCATTTTCCGCTGTGAGTTTTGCAGAGAAACTTTTCTCCATCCACCTCTGCCATTTTGTATCAATCATCGAAGCCGCGGGAGATCTGAGACAGCCAGGACCCGCGCCACCACGTCCCCTGCAGCCTCCGAAGAATGGTCGCACCCGCCCTGCCCAGCCGAGAGCCAGCAGCGTCCCTGCCAACAAAACTGTAACTTCGCCAAGAGGGAGACTGTGTCTCTGTAAGGCTGCCACTGGGTTGGGGACTGGGCTGGTTATTGCGATTGTTATTGTTACTTGTTTCACCTTGTTATTTATATACATATATATTAGTAAAAACTGTTATTCCCTTTTACCCATATTCCTGCCTGAAAGCCCGTGATTTTTTTCAAAGCTATAATAATTCGGAGGGAAGGGGGGGGGTCATATCCACCACTCCAAGGTGGGGCCCTGCCTTCATTAGCAAATACCTGTCTTTCAAACCGAGACAATAATGAAGGCTGAAATACTACAACCTCCACAATCATGTTTTGTTTTTTAAAAACTTTCCACTGTGGAAATGTTACCACAATTTCAGGAAACAGAATACAAAGACACAGTTATATAGTAAGAAATTACCAACAAATCACTTAAAAAGAAAATTGACATCAGTTTTCAAAAAGGTATTTGCTGATCTAGCCCCCAAATCAAACTTATTCCCAAATTTTCAGTGGTAATACCACAGACTTATATTACTTCGAAAACCATTGGATACATTTTGAATATGGCAATAACAAAAATACAAAGTACAATATGTATAATCCAGGTCTGCTTTTGCTGGGTCTTTYATTGAACAGTTAGCTCATCCTATAACCAAAGAAACACAGACTACATTCAAACTGTTTACAGACACAAGCTGTTAGAAGAAAAACTATAAAAAATAAATACCTGGGTATTTTCTCTTGAAAGAAGTCACACCCAAATATTCACTGACTTGCTCCTGAAGCATATAGTATTCTCCTGTTTCATCTGGTGGCCATTTGTATTCTATCAAATTTTCAGCAGGAAAGTAACTATACCTAAGCATAAGAACAATGTTAGAAAAAATCACAACAATCCTCAAAAAGGAAACTTATATTTCTAGAAAATCAGTTATTTCTATGTAAATGAACAGTAACTACAAGGTTGGACAAGCACTTTAGAACACTGCATCATGTTAAACTCTTTCAAAAGTTGTTTTGTTACACCTAACTTTACGTATATTTCTCTAAATCATCATTTATTAACATGCTAAGGCAAAGAACAAAGTGATATCCATCATAATGGAGAGGACATCAGGAAAAGCAACTACCAGAGGGTCAAAATTCATTCAAGTATGCAATGTTTTAAAAACATGTAAACTGTGCTTCTGATCRTAAATCAGATATATCTCTTTTTTGTGGTATTTTAAAATAAAACATCTTAAAATATGCTRAGAACAAGAGACAGCTAGCTATTTATATGACATCACCTCAATTCAGAAAGATATATGAATACACAAGAAGAAAGAGCTAACACTTAGGTGTACTGAACAATAAAGTCAGACTTGCAAGAAAAAAGTGGGAATTGGTATTACCCAAGGTCTTGACTGGAAGTTTCACAGCTCCGAGAACTGTCCCCTGAGCCCATACGCCGTCTTTTGGATGGCTGGCTGCCATCATTGGAATTTTCTTCCGTGTCATCCTGAAATGAAAATAAATATTAAAAAAATTACGAGTACTCAGAAGATAATGTAAAACACCAAAAAATATTGCAATGCAGTCCACAATACAAATATACTTGAACTGCTAAGCCATTCTATGACAGCCTTAACAAATAACTCACAGCATAGTTTACATAACTATTTTCTGTTTACATAACTATTTTTACAAACTATTTTCTGTTGTAAACTGCCTGTTTGACTCAGGGTAGTCCCGAAGGAGAACTGAGTGGCTTCTCACCCAGAGAAGTGGTAAGAAGGCAGAGTTCTTAGTAGACAGAGCTCTAGCTCTGACCACCAAGTTCATAATTCATGACGTAAACCACCTCTGGCCCTTAATCAGAGTAGCACTCCAAACCAAAGGCAAGCACAGAGCAAAAACACCAAGCCCCTGCTGAGAGCTGATGGTCATAAAATCAGGGAAAATATTATCAAAAGCAACACAGGAGTTTATAGGCATGTAGTTAAAATAAACGGMATAATACAAAGTTTACAAAAAATTATAATTACAGCAAGCAGCAAAAACTTGTCTCTAGACATATACAGAAGAGACCAAACCTACTACAAGGGAAAATTCAGACACTAACTTACAGATGTCACTATTCAGATTTCATGCGATCAATATTACAAAATGGGAATAAATGGTGAAGAGAAGGAAAAAAATACCAGAGCAAAACACAGAGCTCTATAAAATCTAGAAGACACTGACTCTATTGATGTTGTTTTTAACTGCTTTGTTGTCTAATAGTGTTACACAGCTCCTACCTACATCATCATCAATCTCAAAGCATTTAGTGACCAACCCTGTCTGATCATAATTTAGATACAGAAAGAAGAAATTTTTGAGTGAATTGCCTATTGCAACCAGTGGTAGAGCCAAGAACAAGTAATTGAATCTCTAAAGGGGATCAGAGTGAAAGAATCWATTTCCTAACTTCTGTGAAAAGTTTAAGCAAGAGGAATTAACCTATCAGAAATAAATGGATCACACCCAACTACACTTACTTATTTAACAATGTCAACGTTTATCACGTCTACCTTTGCTAATATCTTTCATTCTTGTTTCACTGATCATATGACTTGAAATATCAATTAAAAACATTCCAGCAAGTAAGATTACTTTTATTATGCAACATTTCACAATGTTATAAACAAGACAGGCTGTAAGCAAAAATCATTTATCACCTGGATTTCTGACTTATTCCACAATTTTTTACAACTTTTTTTCTTCCTCTTTAAGGAGCAAGAAGAAAATCTTTCACACAGTAATAAAAAATTGAAAAGCAAAATTTAATTAAACTGTGTTTTCTTAGTGCAGCCATCCTTAAACAGTCAGGTATGCAGCACCTCCACTACCATTTCTAGTAATGCCATTTCTAGCATTGCTAAGAATACCCTGTATAAACTCAGACAAACAAAGYAGCAGCCCCTAATCAAAACAATATTGCACTGGAGTATTTTGTGGCACAGCTGCTCATCAGTAGTTCATCTCTACTTCCCACAAGAATATTAGTGAACTCCAAATCTTTTTTACTGCTAGACAAAACCTGAAACAGGGCCAAAGCAACCCTCTGGTATACCAAAACCTCCAAGAGAYTTAAAAAAGTCTTTAGAAGACCAATCTCAACCTGATGGTTTGGTGGAAGTGCCTGATATCAGTTTCTCCCTTTACTTTGTAGTTTTTTGTTTATTAGATCTGGTACAGTTACCAAGTAAGTATCCGTAACAGAGTCCGTAACACTGTCCTCCATTTCCATCTTTGCTTTCTTATTTGTTGAAAATTTCACGAAATTCAATCACACAAGTTCAGTTTGTTGCAGACGACCTAGTATAAGAAGTGAAGACACCTGCAATCTAAAGGCACAGTGATGCTCAACCACACTTACTGTTCAAAAAAAAAAAAAAAAAAAAAAAAAAAAAAAAAAAAAAAAAAGGAAAATAAGGGGTAGTTCTGTGGCTTTCTTTACATGACAAGTCATATACTGCCAAAAAAGTCCCTTTCTCCCTGAAAACGCATGTTTCTTTAAATAGCTTGCTAATCCTTATGAAACATGGTGACGTTACAAACTTCTGGTACATCTATCATTATAAAACCGACATAACCCTCCTTTACCGAGCGATTGAGAAGCCTGAACTATCCGAGACGTGTTTCGAAGAGCGACGGCCGTTCTKAGCCGCGAGTCCTTGGCGCCACAAGTGCCTGCGGTATCTGGGATGCGCGGAAGCAGCCGGCAGAGCCAACGCGGAACTGCCCGCGACCAGAAACAAACTTTCCCGGCTGCGGCACTGCCGCGCTGAGGACCAAGCTGCCGCACCGCCCCCAGGAAGACGCCGAGGGACTTTTGGGAAGGAGAGCGGCCCCAGGCAAACGGCCCCAGACCCGCGCTCAAAGTTATGCCCAGGGCGCAGGAGACCGCCCGCCGCCGCCCGGCTCCCCCGGCGGGCGCAAGGTGAGCCCGGGGCTGGGGGATCGGGTGGGAGGAGCGGGTCGCGACGCCCAGGCGCGGGGGCCGCGCGAGGCCTCCCGCCGAGGCGGCTGTAGCACCGCAGCACCGGGGCCGCCGCCGCCCTCTCTCACCTTGAGGGATTGCGCGCCGGGYGTGGCTGGGTCACTGTCGCAGAGGCGCGGGGACAGTACGGCCGCCATAGCTGCCGCCGGCTGGGCCAACAGGAGCGACGCCGCCGCCGTCCGACTGGGCCTCGCCCCGCGCCCGCCGGCCCCGCCTCCCCGCGCCCTGCGGGCAGCGGCAGCGGCCCCTACCGGCCAGCGCGCGCTCGGGCGCAGCGGCTCCTGCTCCGCCCCCCTCCGGGCAGCCCGCGGTGACCCCAGCCCGCGCCGCCGGACCGGCACCCGCACCGACCCGGCGCCGCCCCGCGGGACCAAAGCGGGGGACCCGCCGCCGCCGCCGCCGCCGCCGCCGCCGCCGCCGCCGCCGCCACGCCCTTCTCCTCCTCCTGCCGCCGTTGCTCGTGCGGCCGCGAGGCCCGGCCGCGAGCGCGGAGCCGAGCCGCCGCGGTAGCGCTTGGGTAGAAGCGCGGAGCGGAGGGGCAGCATCCCCCCGGCGGGGTGGTCAGCGCCGAGCGCGGGAGCTAGCACCCAGCAGGGCCGGGCTGCTCCGCTCCGCCGGCAAGCTCCCGTCTATGGGAACGTCAGCCGGGGACGAGCTACGTTTGTGAACCATCAGCCCCCGCAGGGGGGGTTCGGGGGGCGGGGGGCGCACTCGGAGAAGCCGCCACGAGCGCGCTCGCCCCTGCGACGGAGGGAGGGTGCGTGCGGCCGCTCCCCGCCGCTGCGCGGTCGCGCCAAGTCGACAGCGCGCCGGGCCGCGCCGCCTCCCGGTCCGGTGCCGGTCCCGGCGGGGGTGCAGCTCTCCCTACCCGCCACCGGGCATGACCCTCGTCCCGCGGGCGCGGGGACCCGGGCGGCGCGAGCACCCGCCGGCACGCAGCCGGGCCCCGCGGGCGCGCACGGTCCCCGCTCCGGCGAACAAAGCGCACGGCCGCGCCCCGGCCCCGCCCCTGGCCAGGGACTCCCCTAGCCTCGCGTGTGCGCCCACTCGTGCCCGGGCTGCTCATCACCCCCGGAGGCTTGTCCGGCCCACGGCTCCAAACGCGCTCAGACCCAAGCTGGCCACGGGGCGTTGGGAAATACCGCCGCCCCGTCCGCATTTGTTTTCAGCTCCCAACAATAAAACGGGCATGGCAAAGGCACCGGCGTTCTATTTCCACACACGGCAGATCCAAAAGCTCATGTGTACCCACTTCACAGATCTGCCGGAATCTCATTTTAGAAAAACAGAATCACTGCTGACCTTGCCAATTGCGGACCAAATCTCAATAGCGTTGTTATTGACCCCAGCGTCTTCCTGCCTCTGCCACCAGAAAACCTTAGGCCAAACTGACCTTACTTTTCAATTCCATACTTGGCCACCAACCAGACCGTAGGCGATACTTAACCAAAGCTTAAGACCCGGGAAACATAGTAACTGATCTCTGACTTCTCTCAAGGCAAACTAATGGAAATCGAACAAGTTCTTAGRACTGCACAACACAGCTTCCCTCCCAGCCAAGTTTCTAGGCAGCCTAGCATTTTATCACAGATGCCACTAAGCAAAAAATGAACAATGCATTTTCTTACAAAAAGCATGCTTTTAAGAAAAGATACCTGCAATTTCATGTAAATATTGCTTAACAGACCTAGGCATCCAAAAGACAAGCAACATTCAAAATTTTGCAGCCTTACACCAGCTGCTTCCACTTCCATAGCAGATCATTACAAGAGATGAAGCCCGTATGTAACYGTAAATATTTCCAAAGCATTTTTTGGATTTGTTTTTTTTTAAAAACAGAGCAAAACCAAGAAAAATTATCTCAACCGTATACTGTTTTTTATGTGCCAACAATAGAACAAAAATGAATACTTAAATAATGATCTTTTGAACATTTTCAAATATACCATGTACTGTGATGCACAAATTCAGCTGTGACTTCCAGAGTCTTAGTCAGAATAACAAGCCATGACCAAAGCCAGTGCAATAAATGTATCAGTTTCACATTTAGCTGAAACCCAAGTGTCTCTTTGAGCATCCCAGAGGCATCTGCTGGCAACCTAAAGGGATAAAAGAGAAAAAGGTATTAGTGAACCGATATGCAGAAGTTTTACTACTTCTTTTTTAAAGAACACATAGCATTATCTAAATGTTAATCTAATTATATTAGGAGAGCTGCAATTAYTAACAACAATGCAAAAGTTGAATAAAATTTAAATTCCTATTCAATGTTAAATACATGCTCTTGTCTCACAGTGATGCTTTCACACTTATACATCCAAAAATCTCAACACCAAATCCCAAATTTTCTCTCACATTCACTTGTTACACTTCAGCATACTGTCAGAGCACTCCTTCAAAAGCAATAGAATGTCTGTGTGAATAGACATTAGTTTTGGGAACATATGCAACTAAGAAGTCACATCCACCACTCCTCCACCTCCAGCTTATTCCAGTCTACTTGCGACCATTTATTGGGCTCTCAGCTTTTTTTATAAAATTGTTTTAAAAGCTAATATGTGTGACTTGATTGCTGGAATAAACATATTCCTTGGGAGAAAAAAGTTAACTTGGACCACTTCACTAATGTGTTTGCACCTACAGCTCCTCAATTAAAGCACTGCTTCAGAGGCAGCATACTGTTAGATGGCACCAGAAAAGCAGGTAGATGGAGGCATCTCACAAACTGGCTTTGGTACTGAAGCTGAATCCTTCAAATGTGTTTTCCTGTAACTCACTAAAGACAGGTTGGTTTCAATCAGGTTTTAAGAACTGATGATAAACACTCCAAAGCAGAAGTGTTATTTGACACTACTAGACAGATAAAAGCATTCTGAATGTCAGCAGGAGCTTGGAGCACTACATTTGCATACCAACACAGCAAAATCTAAAATCCTTTTATTTTAGGTGTTCCAGGTTCACATGACTGGTGTTAATTTGCAGTCCAAGGAGCATGTCTGGTGGCAGCTGCAGTTACCCTCCCTTTCCCTGCCACCCTTCTGTTCCATGTCACCCCACAGTAAAAATGCACAGCATTTTGCACTGAATGTGACAGCCCAAATGGAGATCCAAGTACACTGGACAAAGAAAAACAAAATTTGCTGAACTTATGCAATTGTACTGGCACAGCATGTAGCAAAAACAACTGGTTGACAGGAAATTTAAGTAGGGGCTGTTTACCACTTACTGAACATAGGAAGACAACCTTCAGAGAGTTAGGCAGAATCACAGCAGCACCCTGAGTTGTCACCTGGCATATTACATAAAGAATGCAAAAGCTCCAAGACCATCTCAAACATGGTGCTAAATGTGAATGAATACCTAGGAGATAACATAACGTTCTAGAAATTGTTTTCAATTTTCAAAAGGTGTAACAAATAGTATGTTTGCTTACAATCATTGCCTGATTGGCCTTTTCCACAATTAGCACTGATACCACATACTTATAACGGTCATAGTCGAATTCATTCACAGCCTTTATAATTTCGTCTGCGATTGAAGCACACAAGAACGGACTAGAAACTCCATCGTATTTGGTTCCTTGAAGTTTATTCTATCAAAAACAATTTTGAAAGATCTTAGTTTTCATCCTAGTAGTCTTTTGCAAAATATATCCTTTACAGTAATTTTCATTACAAGAACATGAACAGAACTAATGAGTAGAATAGTCAATACAGATGATGGTTTTGAACAGCAAAGAATGGACTACTTTTACTCTAAAATATTTTATGTTTTCTTGAAAGTGACACACATGCCCAACCAATCTCCATATAACAATCAGGAGCATWTTCTTCTCCATCACTTGGGCTCAATTGACTGGAAAATAGTGCTACAAATATCTGTTCCAAATATCCAAGATAGGTCTTCCAGACAGCAGAATTAGAAAAATCTGGTTATAACTATTCAAAATTCCACTAACAATTTTGTATTATCTCAACAGATTGTTCTCTTTCATTTTTGCTTAATTTGTATACATAGCACTCTGACTGTCAAGGATACCTAGTAATTTTATGAAGGTCATGCAAAATTAGCAGAATTACCACAAATTTGATATCATGATCTTTTGCTAACTAGGTATTTTGCTGATTATGGTACTTTGAACTGCGCTGCAGTTCAATTTGATTTTAAAAGGTATGAGTTTAGGAAGCTTCAGCTCCACCTAAATAACACATGTGATTTAGCATGTCACAAGGAGTGACCTTGCAGAGGCACTTCTGCACTTGCAAAACAGAGTACATTCACATTACGCTCATGTGCCAAAACTCAAAGCCTGCAGAGATCTATGGATGTGTTTAAGTTTATGCAATTTACACTGTTCCATAAATACTTTTGCAAGACAAGCTACTTTTGCAATGAGACAATTAATTTAAAAAATACTATACCGTTAGTATCGCTTGAACTTTGTCTTGTACTAAAGAATCCTGTACTTTTTCACGTGGCTCTAGTCTGTATGTGTTAGGGCATTTTGGCTTTGCTGATTCTTGTGGTGGAGCCCCGCCTGAAGCTTCATATTGTGCTTGTGTCTTTTTTCCTTTTGACTGTACAAAATAATAAAAGTCCWTATCACCTGTCAATAGTTCAGAATTTAACAGACTCCAAATACTACTTTATGGTGTACAGTTAAGAGAAAAAATCCCAACAATTGCTCTAGGATCTGTTAACAAAAAAAACAAAACACTGAAAGCTAGAATCTAGTTATCATCTTCTGGCTGTTTTAGCACTACTGTTTGGCCTGAAAAAAAAGTGAAGTGGTTGACTTCCACTCAATTTTAACTTCTTTTCCAGCAAAAGCCAACTGAACTTTGCATCTAAACTCAGTCAATCAGGCACACGGTATTAGCACCCTGAAACCACTACATTTTCCAAGTAAATACATATAGATATTAACATATCCATCCAAGATTGTTAATCACAAGTTCAAGCTTTTCATTCAAACAGCCTACACAACTCGTAAAATACGGACTTGGTTCATTTACTACTTAATTTTACTTATCCTTATTTCTTGTTACAAAACAAGTACGTATGGATTTAATTTGCTCATTAAAAACAAAACAAAACAAAACAAAACAAAACAAAACAAAACAAAACAAAACAAAAACACACCAAGGGAAAAAGTAAGCTCCCATCTGCAAAGCTTTGTAATTTTGCTACAACTTAAAAAGTGATCTCTGCAGATTGCATTTTCTCCCCATCCAGATGCATGCTCTATCTCTTCAACACATATAACAAAACTTGTCCCTCTATGAATGCAAGAAGCAAGTCTGATGTTGCAAAAAAAAGTCACCTGATGTTCATCACAGTGGCTTGAAACCAAACTGTAAAACAGTAGAAGAAACAGAGAAGCACAAGAAACCAATGAGATCGTAACAAATGCTACAATGATCTTCCATACCAGCTACTTCCCAACCAACCACTTTCAAGTTTTGCTGACTGTTCAGTCTCTGTTCCACTTCCTGACTACAGCTAAACTTAACGTGAGAGAAAATCATCAGTTCCCTTCCAGGAGAGCATAAAAGAGTCAAAGGTGAAGTAACATCATAATGTAAGGCTTATAATAAGAAGTACAGAAAAAAAAGTCACTTATAGACATTATGAAAGTCTAATGAGAGTTATTTAACAAGGTGCACTGTTCAGTGGCTCACAAATCTTTCCATATGAGGAGTTTTAAGAATGAGGGAAGAAATGCAGTTTGTTCTCCATGAAATCATTTACACATTAGTCCTGTCAACAACTGTGGACATTACCTAAAAATCTCCTCTAGTTCCTTAAAAGCAGTGATGTTGGCAGCCTTACTGCAAACTGCCTGCTGGCATTTGTTGAAAACTAAATAGCACTTACTCTAAAAACACAATGACCAAACACATTTGCACTTAGCCTGTGGACACTCATTATSTACTAACTGCAAACTCCTGTCTTGGAAGACTACAGCCCTGACATGCTCTCACAGGTCAACTAAGAAGATAAACCACCTCAAGTCTTCCACCCAAGCTGCTCAAATGAGCATCCCAATCCATGTGAATGGAAATGAACCTGTGAAAAACAGCACTATCCAAACAGGTTCTTTGTTGACATGGTTCAGCTTAAGCCATACCACCTTCAACTTCTTTCATTCCTGATGGAAGAAAATTCATGTCTATACCACACAATTTCTAACAATGTTGATACTTAAAAGTTTACCTGCTATTATTTTTTCTTTTTCATAATTTTCATTTTTGCAAGAAGTCAGTGCATTTACTAATGAGCAACCAAAGATCTTATTGATTTCTCTACAGACATGGCTACTAAATAAACCTACTTCTGCATATCACTGTATAAAATACACAATAAAACCCCAAGTTTTAGCACAATGTTGCAATTACATTTCTGTAAAAGTTCTGCATCCTCTGTGAAAAAAAATCTCAAAATTGCAAAAAGTGACTTTGCATTTGACCACTTGACCAGAGACTACCTGTTCTTATGTTATTCAACTCGAGTACACTGGCTTAATTTTGGACACACGGAAGGAAGTATGCTAAGGGGAAAAAAAGCCTTTGATATTTAAATGAAATGCTGTTTGTTAGTAAGTCCATTTTAACAACCAATAGCTGTTAGTTGTGAAAACAAGAAATGGTGCTTGTTTATTCCTTTCAGAAGAGCACACCTTCTAGCCTAAGAGAGGCACCCCGAGTTGGAAAGATTCCTCCACCAAAGGGGATACCACCCTTCCCTTATCTTTACCGTTGCCACGGCTCGGTCTCCCAATGAAAAAAATTAAAGCCCTTAGTAGATATTAACTGTGCATACTCTAATCAGCACCCCGGCTGCAGGGCAGGTGCCAACATGACACCTGGACCAAACAAAGGGCAAGAGCTATCCCAGATCGGACGCTAACCAAGAAGGAACAGCATTCCTGATAGCAATTTTCACAAGATCAAACGCACTTTTTAACCCATCGTCTACGCACTGTAGTGTCCTTCCTAAGGACACAAGTCCCATCCCTTTCTCCCCACTGAAGCGCTGCAGGCCCGGACCGGCACCCCCGCCTCGGTCGGGTATCACATTCCCCTGCTCGCGGGGGTGCCCCAGCCCCCGCCAGGTCAGCCCCCCGGAGCCGCCCCTCGCCCTGGCGCCCGCTCACTGTGTCTTGCGCGCCCTGCCGCTTCTTCCCTCCGTCCACTTTCCCCTTCTCGGGTCGCTTCTCCATGGCTCTAGCCGCGGTCTCGCTCGGCGCCGTGCGGCGGCCGCGGCCCTGCCCGCGAGCCGGCCGTGACGCAGCGCGCGCGGGCGGCGGTAACGGCGGGAGCGGCGGCCACGGTGGGGCGAGGGGCCGCGGGCCTTGGGCCCCGGGGATGGGCTGCTGCTGCGCCCGGCGGGGCGGGGAGGGGACAGCCCTGCCCTGCTTCTGCCAGTGCAAACCCGGGGCGTGGTGACCTGCTTTCCCTGGACAGGTCACCACCTCCCCCCCCGCCCCGCTGCCCCCAGCCTGGCCCGTTTTACATGAGTAATACCAGTAATAAAGGGTGGCAGCGGTAGTGCATGTTTTGCTCTGGCCTCCTGTCCCTGACAGTGACAACGGGAAGAGACACAAATTAAAGTGGACTGAATGCTATGTTATGAACATTTTAGGGTTTTTWATTTCTTGGTTTTTAAATAGCAGGCAGCGTATAGAGGCAGCTAATAGCAGATTCCGATGGGGACTGTTACCCTTGGTCATGCTGATACCCATGTAAATATTTCTTGGCTCCGTGAAACCCTGAATTCAGAGGTTAGAGAGGGTCAAATCTACCACGTAATTTAAGATGAAAAAATGTTTTAAATTTCACTTTAATGGAATATTTTTCAATATTACTATTTGTTGAGGTACTTAATTTTAAAACTGTTTCTTTGTCTGATTATTGAGTGACTGTTTTTTAATCAATCATAAGCAATTTCATCCTTGTTGACATGGGCAGTTCTGTCTTTGCAATTTTTTTACGTGTTTGCTTCTGAATCAGTACATCTTTCTGTTTAGACTAATGTGGAATGCTTAGATTGCGGTTCACACCCTGCCCCACTCCAAGGATCTTGTTGATTTTAAGGACTAATGCTCTTGGTTTACTTGAAGTAGCATCAGTTTCTCTGCAAGCTCAGAGATTAGGCAGAATATTTATATATAAACTGGGATATTTTGCCTCAGTCTATCTTGCCATGATTTCAGTAAATATAACCATTCTGAAATACAACCTCTTGGCATTATGAAAATAGAGCAATCGTTTCCTTCAATTTTCCAAAGATGGTTCTGGTTGAGAGTTCCTTTCATCACATGCATGGATGAAGCTTGCATTGCAAACCATAATAGCTTGTTTACAGATGCCGTGTTACTGTCTGTCTAACGATGCTTATGGGTATGTTTCAGTAATTTTCTTTGTTCTCATGCGCTTTCTTGATACAAAGATTCTTTTCATGTGTGTTTGTTCCAGATGGCATTGTCAGACTCAGTCACTACTTGTCTTTCTCAGCCTGTGCATTATGTGATTTGCAAACTTGGATTTGAGAAGACAGACAAGTATGACATTAATAATATTTTATCAGGAAATGGTGAAGTATGCTGGCAAGCTGTTACAGAGCATGTATATGACCTTGAATCAGGTTGGTATTTACCTGTGGTGGTAGTAGTGATACATTTAAGATTGATGCAGAATTTCAGTACAGTTCATAGCAATCTTAGTTTAGTTGTAACATTTTGTTACAGTACAGCATTAGCTCTGCTACTGATTGGAATATGTACCGTTTCATATCTATAAAGAGCTTTAAATTTTTCAGCCTCATTTGGTATTTGACTTTTGCTGGCTCCTAAGGTTCATGTAATCTGTGCTACCTAAGTAGCTGCTACTTTGCCTTCCTCTTGGTTCCCAGTTTAATATGCCTGTAACATAAGGGGTTCAGTTCTGCTTCTCTCTGACCCCGTAACTACCTTCTTCTGTGTTCTTTATATTCATTTTGCACTAAATTTAAATTTAAAAGCCTGGGGCCATCAATATTCCTACAGTTGCTTCTGTTTGTGTGTCCCAACTTTATCTTGTACAGAGGTACTACTTTGTTTCCCTACTATGGAGAACAGTTTGTCGTTGTTCTTTAACCAAAACAAAGTATTTGTGTCCTGATAAACTCATTGAATTTTAATTTTCCAAATTGCATCATGCAAGCTCTGTTATTAATTTCCAAAGGTGGTAAAAATACCTTTCAGTAAGCCAGAAGAATTAATTTTCCTATAAAAAGTGTCCCATGAAAAAGATGCAGATACACTCTGTAATGTACCATGTCTTATGTTCTTTAAAGGCTGTAAGTGGTGCAATTTGACTGGTCCTGCTGAGCCTGCACTAGCTTCCAGCTTGATTATGTGGAATTTCTGTAGAAATTCGAGCAGGTTCTGAGTATTTCAACAAATCAGAACATAATGATACTATTTATTATTAATATATATAATGTATGTATATACTATTAATGAAAAGGTTACTGGGTAAAATAACCAAGTTATATACTTGGAATACAAAAAATATACTAAATTATTTATTATCTTTTCATAATATTTATTTAATAATTATTTATTATCTGTTCATATTTTCTTGTGTTAAGGTTTTGTTGGGGTGGAATTTTTTGGTTTTTTTTTGTTGTATTTGCAGAAGGTGCTTGATCTTATCTGGTTTTGCATTGAAGTTTTACTTCCCAGTGTCTTTTCTGTGTGGTGTTTTGAACAGTAAATTGTATTGTATTGATTGTGGTAAAATAGTCTGGATAAAATTGTCTGTGCTAATTATGTACACAAGGTGTAGCACATTTGATCCCTAGTGAGTTTTAAAATACTGGACCTTCAGGAAGGTTGATATCCTAATCACCTTYTGTTTTTCAATTTAAGATCAAAGTGTGGATTATATCAAAAGCATACGATCATTAGGACCTGTATGTGAATCTGTTMATTTGCACTTCAAATCTCTGACCAAGAAGCAATTTGTAATTCAGTATGCATCATGGTTCCACTGGACAAACTGCACAGAGGTATGGAAATTTCTGTAAACAGTATTTTGGCACGTGAATCCTTTGTGGAAGTTCAATGTAAGAGCACAAAACAGATATCCATGAACCAAAATGTTTAGAATTTGTCCTAAGAGAAGGACCTAATTGTCCTTCTCTGATAGATGGTTGCTTGTAATTTCTCTGAYTTTGTAATTAGATTTCATATTAGTCAACGTGAGGAGCTTTGGGCCTCCTCTAACATTAGTTTGTAGAATTTTGTTTTTCTAATAATTTGTGCCTAATATCAAGTTTAACCTTGTAAAGTTAATATGGGTAATTTTAAAGAAATAAGGCACTAGATATCGAGAGGTGCTCTAGGGAAATTTCTCTTCAGGCATCCACACTTTTATCTCCTTGGCACGGTTTTCTTTCTACATTTGCATAGCAACTACCATGGAGGAATACTTAGGTTCCTCTGTGCTTTTGACAATGTGATTTTACTTCTGAATATTGAACACAATATTCTTCCTCTCCCCTATCATGCAGGTATTTCTTGAAGTGTTTGATGTTTTGCAACATGCAGAAGCTACAGAAGTTGCTCTTGGCTTAATGAAACTAACATCATGCTTGGAGCGAGCCTTGGGTGATGTAAGTGCCAGGATGAGGAGTCTATTGCAGATGTGGCTTTATAAAATGGGAATGAGCTCTTGGATTTAAGTGCACGTTGAAAAAATGTGAGATTGCCCTGTACTGTAGTAGTACACTAATAGCCCACATGCGTTTTGAGTTGGACAGAGGTTCTTTTCTGGGTCCAGTTGTTCTAATGGAAATATATGCGGGGCTCCTATGCTTGTAGAGTTGCTCGTGAAAGGGCTGTTACTAACCAATTTAATTAAGAAAAAGTTTGATTAATCGGTTTGATTAATCAGGTCTTTGTTTGATTTATTTAACTGAATTGGGGCAGCATAGCTTCCACAGAAGATCTGATGTGTAATAACTTCTGTGAGGGCTGGCATGCAATTGAAAAAACAGGCTGCTGTGTAACTTCTTTCCTAGGAAGAAGGGAGAAACAGCTACTTAAGCAGTTTTTGCTGCTGGGCTGTGTTACAATCAGATTAGCTAAAATGGCTGGTTGTTCAATATCTATGGGGAGCTCTGGAGAAGAAAATGACAGAGAAAGAGCCACAGGTTAACTCACAAAGCAATTTTCCCAAGTATGGGGCATGGTGAATTTTGAAGTAACCAAAAATTACCAAAGATTGCAAAAAAAAAGTCGGGAGAATACAAAGAATGGAAAGTATGATAGCAGTTGAAACTTGAGATGCTGAGGTTGCCCAACAAAGATGAATTCTAGTTTAACAAACAGCCTGAGTCAGAAGACAAACCACAAGTCTCCTTCCTTTAACAATGATGGACCCTGAAAATTTCTATGGCAAGAACGAAATACAGTGTCCTTGGTAGAGCTTATTCTCTTTGTTACATGTTCTTGTTGTGCTTTATTGGTTTTTGTGGGATTTTTTGGAAGAGAAGAGCAGCATATGTACAGACTTGTCAAAAGCCTCTGTGTATGAATATTAAGTAGAATATACACTCTTTTCTGACATATTGCCTAAATTTTAATTTGTCATAAAATATAGAGTTCAAAGCTTTTTAAGGATCTGTTGGGTTTTGTTTGATTAGTGTTTTTATAATAAAAATGGTTATTGGGTAAAATAGTCAAGTTACATACTTGAAATACAAAGAAGTATATATGAAATTAATTATTATCTCTTCTCTGTTCTGCTCTTTATTTTTAATAGGTGTATTTACTTAAGGATAATGATTGTCCTTTCCTTCTAAGAGACTTGCTTGCATCTGAGCAGCTTGCAGATGTCTTTGGACAAGCTGTAGTAAGTGCATGGTTTTGAAATAAGGAAACTACTGAGCTGGTTTTCTTCCTACCAAATGGCAGGCTTCCCAGCAAAGCTTTTACTTATACTCAAAAAGAGTTTGAAAATTCTGCAGTATGTAGGAAAAATACATTGTGTATATATTTTCATTTTATACATATTACAGTGTGGGGAATATGTGTAAAAGAACATATTTTTAAGGCGAGCTCATAAGTTTTTATTTACCTTTTCATGTGAAAAACTTACATATGTAAAATTTCATACATGTGACAAGCCAACAAGCAGCTGCAGAGTTTATTTTCTTCGTCCTGAGTTACACTACTCAAAAAATACACATCCTGCACTGGCTGTTCCTAATAAGCTGTGTTTCCCTTCAAAAGTGCTGCAGTAAGATGCTTTATAACTTTTACCATATTAGAATTTTTCAAAATGGAGGAAACTAATATGCAAAAAAAAAAAACCACGATAAACTCAACATTTGGGTGACATTTACATCCTTATGTACACAGAGTAGGTGGATCTTTCAAATACAGTCTTGAAAATGCACATTCTTTGTTAGGACAAAATATTAGGTGTGAACTGTGGAAGGTTGTGTGTTAGCCACTCTAGTAGTGTCATAATGATTATTTATTGAATTTTGATGGCATGTGGAATATCTGAACTCTTAAAGTTCAAAAATATACAAAATTTTTCTGTTTTGTTTGATAGTGATCTGGAAATACAACTTTTAATGCAAATTTTGTATTTTATGTTAATTTGCATTAAATGACACTGGATTTATACTACTAGACGTAAGAGCTGAACTTGACTTCATTTATTTGCCTATCATAACTGTTCAGGATGTCGAGTAACTAGTTTTGTTCTGTATTATATTCTATAGCCAGTACAAATAAGCTGAAAGATTCTCTTTTAGAAAATTCTGGGAATTGTATATAATGAGTTTCTCTTGCTGTGACAAGTGGTGACCGGTCATCTTGGCAGTAAACATTGTTGTTTCTCAATAACTTCTGAAGTTTTCTGCCATGGAAAGGTAATAAAAGAAGGGTAAGAAGGACAAAAAATAATATATTTCTTCGTGCAGTAATCACTTTGTTTATTAATTAGATGAATTTACTGAAAGTATTCATTGGATCTCCATATGGTCTGAATCTTCGTAATGTTTTGTGGCATGGGTTTGCATCACCACAAGAAATTCCTGCCAAGTAAGTTACCAGGAAAAAAAAAATCTCATTTTCTTACCAGTCAGACTTGTGAGTTCTTGAAAAGTGGTTAGTAAAACTTACTTCTCTTATAGGGGAAAAAAATTCCCCTGCTGCTGCTTTTATTTGAAATGGATTTACATAGAATACTTCAGCCGTTACAAATATAGCCATTAATAGGTCCAGTGGGTTTTGTACTGTTAGAGAAAGCAAGAAAGTTTAACTTTTTTTTTAGTCAGGGTAGTGAAGAATAACTTGTAACAAAATACAGAGGAATGGGGTAGAAGGAGGAGCAACAGCAGCCAATAAAGAATACAGTGATGCTTTTTTTTCTAATTCTACTCTTGTATTTTTTTCATGTTTGTGAATGCAATTAGTTATTAAGTACATCTACTTAGAGGGGGAGTGTAAGTTTTGGGTATTTTTGAAAGAGTGAATATGCCCTTTTGTCTCTAACTCACAAATGTTGACTTTTTGCAAAAGATTTCTTGTGTAAGCTTTGCTAATATATTATGGTATTCTCCCTAGATACTGTGCTATGCTGCTTTTTTTAACTGCAGGATTGGGGCAGTTGTTGCARACCTATCTTCTGCAAAATAAATGTGTTTTAGTACATCGACCTTATGTGATCTTCATTAGCTTAGAGGAGCTTGATGTATTTCCAGGCAAGTATTTAACTGTTAGCAAGTTATTTTATTATCCTGTATTTGCTATTGTTTCATTGTCCAAAAGCACTGTTGAAAAAAATCCATTTTCCAGAGTTCCAAGATTAAAACGTCTCTAAGATACCTGTATACACTGTGATTAAATGAACCARTCAGGGTTGTAGGTCAGCTTCTTAATATGTAGGCAGTTCACTGACTATTGAGTAGAAAGCTACTGCATTCTAAAGTAATTATAACACATTGAAATGTGAAATATGACTGCTTCTGAAAGACTTCAACCTTATGTTACTTTTTTTTTTTTTTGATTATGAGAGTTAATTTCATGTAACAACATCTAGTTTGCCTTTATGAAATCTAACTTTTTACAGATCCAGCTGAAAGGGTCCCAGCAGCACTGCCCTGAATCTTGCAGGGAAGGTAGTGTTGAAACATAGTAAAAGATGGTGCCACATCTTCAGTACACTAATACTTTTCTCAGGGAAGGATTTGAGGTGTCAGATTGAAACCTTCTCATCTCCCTGTCCACAGACCTTATTTGGTTTATTCCTACTATTTTAAGGCAACAACAGCATATAGGGAATCTTGGTGTCAGTGGTGATCATGGTCAATTTGTGCTACAATCAGTGAAACAATCTGTCCAAGAAATTGAGACAGGACTTTTGGGAACCAAATCAAGCTGATAACATTTCAATAGTTACGTAGTATAAATCCTATATGTGTTGATTGGCTTCAAAAAACCACCTACTGCAATCAAGTTACACTTACCATTTTAAGCTTTCTCTTGGGTAAGATCTTTATAATGTGAATTTATAAGTGTGGGTTTCATTATATGGTAGCATTGAAGTATGAAATGTTAATTTAATATGGTATATTATCGATATAGAAAATTGATGAAATAAGAACAATGTGGTCATGTTCAAATATTCATACTACTGTACTGATTCTGGCTGCATATAAATGATTAATTTATATTATACCTTTTTTAAGTATTTGAAGTAAGTAGACAACAACTTAGCAGAAGCTGCATCTAGTTGTTGTGTAGTCTTTCAATAAAAAGCAACATGCCTTTTTAACTGGTTTTACTCTCTAATTATCTATTCTCACCACAAGTGCAATCTTAGATATTTAAATTCTGATCTTAAATATGGCTACTGTTGTACTTGCATCGTTAAAATAAGTTGGATAACTTACAAGTCTCCCTTTACAAATATTGAAATAATATTTTCAGTGAAATATTAAAAATTGTAAACTGTAGATTATATGTGGTTTTTCAATGTTGTTTTGTTAACTTGCAGTTCTTAATAATGAAACACTTTCCATGGCTGAAGAACTTGTAAAACTGTCAAGTTTTGTATTAAAAACAATGTTACCATTTTGGATGGCTGCTTTAACAGCTTTCAAGCAAAGCAGGTAAGATTTTTTTATAGTTTTTAATAGAATATAAAAATAATATATTTTGTATTTTTAGATCTGCATTTGCAGATTCCTAGGCTTTTTTACTAAATCTGTTGCTTAAACAGCATATAGTTGTGCTTTTGTTATGGTGACCTCTTGGAAAGTATTTTGAGCTATAACTTTGTTTTGTGTCAACTAAGGTTATAAACTATATMTTGAAGCCTAAAAAGAATGGAGATGTAAAAAAAAGGAGAGGTTTACAAAGCAAGTGGAAATAAATCTTCATATGTTAAATCACACATTTGAATTTGGAATTTTAAAAAAGAGTGAATTTTTTAGTTTTCCTTTCCTATGCTCCATCTTTTTGTGAGTTACTCTAGTCTCTGAGCTTGAATTCAGTGGTCGGTTTCTGTTTGGCACAGGTAGTCATTTATTGTTTGTTTACAAAATGCATTACAAAGGAATTTTGTCAAGGTTGTTTGGCCTGAAAACTCTAACTCTGAAATGGTTTATAAGACAGAAAAAACCCTATATCTGTTACATTTTCAGGTATGCTGACAGTGTGATTCTCTTACTTCCTCAGCTGGAAGTTGGACTTAGATTGCTCTTCACTACAAATAATAAATGTCCAAATCGATTGCTAACAGCTGAGGTAAACTTCTGTCTAAAGTCATTTGTTATGTAGTGCTTACAACATTTGCAAAATAGTTATTCTAGAGGCATAGTTTTTACCCATTTACAAATTTATCCTTCCAAAATTGCAATTGTGCCACATTATTTACTAATTTTCTTTTGAGATTCATGAATGCCTTTAATTTTTATGTAATGTCTGCCCGTAAAAAGTAGTTGAAGATTAGAGTTCAGAAACAGTAGTTTGGGGTGAAAAGTAGGCCATGATATATTTGTCTTAAAAAAATCAGTAAAAAATCCCAAAGTCCTTTCATTCATAAGGAGTTTTTTTTGCTGTTCATGCATGTGTTCTCATGCAAATGAATAAAGTTTGATATACATGTCTAGTTAATTGATTTTGTGTGAAAATAAAATAATATTATTTGTCTTTTGTTCTAGTCTTCTGCTCTCTACACAACTTTCGATGAGGTACTATGATTTGTAAAAATATATATATATCGATGCCCGAATTTGATCCATGCATGTTTCCCACTACTAGAGTTAAGAATGCACTTTCTTTTATTGAATATGACATTATTTCTAACGTTTTTCCAAATAAAAGATGTTGGACAGTAAATACTTTAAATTTGGAATCCTCCAGAAAATACCAAAATTAATACATGTTTTAATGAATAGACTAATTTCTTGCGGTTTTATCTTGAAATCCTTCACTCCCCAGAAACATTCTGCCATTTTTCATAGAGTCAGTTATTCAAAATAAATACCAATAAATATTGCAACCATAAATCCTCAGTTTTAGAAATTGTTTAGATTATCTCAAATTATTTGTCAGCTAGACAAAATTAGGCATCTTGATTCTAGAATGGCAGAAGTAATTGCATCAAATTAGGAAAGCTAGTTGGTGTTTCTTTTTTGATTATTGGGTCTTCAATTATTTAATAAGTTTCTATCCAAATTACTTTTTTTTTTCTAGATGCTAGCAAAGCATTTGGATAATGAAGAAGTCAACCGGTTACTTGTAGTTCTTGAGGAACCTGCCTTGGCAAGTATTTAGAAAGTTTTCTGGAGTTTTGTCATTGCTGGTTTTTGTTTAATTGTTTCACTTAGTAATATCTTTATGATACACCTAACACTCATTTATTTCATATAGCATATCTCTAGCAGCTTAGAACCAGAAGCTAAACCAGCTTGTTAGCCTTTTTCATTGTGAAGGATAAAAGTCATACCTGACAAGCCATATTGCATGAGGATATAGGACTTTCTTTCTTTCTGAAATACAAGTGTTTTGGAGACATTTGTCTTTAGACTTCTGAATCTCAGATAAGTGGAGCAGAAGAAGAACTGATGCTTCATACAGGGAAATTTCAAATGTATTACTGATTGCTTCTGGGACACATGTTGCACTATCTGGGCAGATGGCACAAAAATGTGGCTCAAACCTACCAGAAAACATTCTGTATCTTGCTACCCAAACAGATTGTGAACAGGAATACTAGGGTTGTTGAGTTTAGAGGTCTTTTGAGAGTGTAGAGGAGATTTGAGATTACTGTCCTATTGCCAGAGGCAGTGGGTCTGTGAAGGGCCTGGGACATAAAGCTGACGGAAATCTGTTGTTAGCTGTCACATCACAGCTTGTATGTTATGAGGACAGTTTGCAGGTGACATACCTGTCTTTCAGAGTTATTCTATACACTGAATATATTGAATTCCATGTGAATACACATGGAATAGAATTATGTATAGTTGGTGTATGTTTCCACAGGACTTTCTTTGGGATTTCTTGAACCACCAGGAAGGCCCACGTATAAGAGATCGTTTAAGCCATGGAGAGATCAATCTAGAAACATTTCCCAGAGAAATAGCTAACCAGATAGTTGGATTTGCAATTACTCTTCTCTGCAGATTCTCAGATGAGGATATGTTTTCTCTTAAGGTAGGGACAAATATTTTGTTCTCAGAATATTTTTTTTCTGTTATTTTGCATACCAAATATAATTTTAGTGTTTTATGATTAAATCTTTCTTGAAAACTGCATTTTGTGCGGATGAAATTTTCCTTCAAGTAAAAAATTGAGAAAGTATGTTTTTGCCTAGTTTTGTAGTGAAATAAGTACAGAAAGTTTTCCAAAATGTTACCCTTTTGTGCTATATCTGAATTGGTTGGTTTAAACAGTCCTTATTCACAAGGTTGATCCATAAATTAAAATTATTCCACTTAATTTTGTCAAATTGTGCTGATGAACTAGCCTGTTTATCTGCAGAATTGTCTGAAAGGTATGTAGAACAGCTATAGTTCACCCCCTGAGGTATGTAGTATGTAGTTACAGAGATTTCCTGAGACACTGTAAATAATAGATTGCTAATGGAAGTGTTATTTGTAACCATACTTACACTATGAATTTGTAAACATTTTTTGCCTAGTGATATGTTTATCAACATTAGCAATCATATTTGCTTTCCCCAGTTTCCTGTTTATATTTGGGATTAATTCTTTCAGCATCATGCAGCAACCTGTGAGATAAATTTCCATTTATTAGTTGCAGCTCTTTTTAGTTTTTCAAGATGTATTGTGTGCTGCTGCAGTAAGAGAATACTTGGTTGCTTTTCTGTCAGCTGCCATCAGGTTCATAGTTAAAATACAGGAAATTAAGCTTTAACTATTCACCATGCTGATTACTTCTTTCAGCCCTTAGACATTTGGAAGCGTTTATTGACGTCAGTGCTATAGGTGGCTTGCATAAAATGAAGTAATAAGTCTAGGTCTGCATAGCTTAAAGAAACTGTTGTCTATTGTCTGTGATTTTGTAAATCAGGAACACATGGTTATAAAGCCACTGATGAGCTGTGCAAGTTGCTACCAATCTCGATTTCATCCAATTTCCCGACTCAAGAAACAGGTAGGTACTTCCATCTGTGAAAGAATTGTGGTCCTTAAAATTGTAAATCCTCTGAATTAGTCTAATTATTTTTCTTTATGTTTTGTCTTTTAAAAAAACCAAAAACCTTTTTAATTTTTTTTTCAAAACTTAATGGAAATCACAGTTGCTAAAATGAGATATAATTATGCATACTCCTGTTAATGCAATTGATACCATATTTGTGTTCTAGATTACTAAATAGCTTTATTCCTAGCTGAGTGTTTCCTGTTCTGTAGTTTTCTTAATCTCTTTATGCTTTTTTTGTGTCAGGAACACTGCTAGCTCCTGTCTCCAGGATTTTTGGATTAGGCTTTGTAAGTTTTTTACTGTCTGAAGGCTAGCTGATTAAGATTCTGTCATGGTAGCATAATTTGCTTCCCATTGTGTCTCGGTTTGAGACAATGTTTTCAGAGAAAAAACATTACAGAGTAAATGTTTCCTCTGAAGTGAAAAATTTGGTAATTTTTTCCACCAATATGAAATAGATGTTGGGGCAAAAGTGAAGAGAAAAAAAGTAGTTTATTAACAAAGCACAATGCCCACAGGACACAGATAAAAAGTAACTGTTAGATATTGAAAAGTCCAGGAACGCATGCCGCGTCCTCCCCCCACAGCCACTCGGCCACGTGGTGTGGAGAAAGGTGGCGAGGCTCCCATCCCCGGGAAAAAGAAACAAAAAAGAATCCACGTGGCCGCTGCGGCAACAGTGGAAAAAACTGGAGCAGTCCTCTCCTCACGGTGGATGAAACAGAGGACTTGGTGTGCTTTTCTGTCACCAGTTTGGCTTCTTCCAGAGTCTGGGATGAGACGGAGMGGTGTGGCCTGTCCCTGCCGGTGCCTGGCTGGTCGGCACTTGCCTCTTGGTTCTCAGACCGCAGCCCTGCTGATCTGCTCTGGAAAATCACAGGAGTCGCAGAATGGATAGCAGTCCAGGGAAAGCTGTTCACCCAAGCTAACAAGCCTGAGCTAGCTAAACAGCAATAACATAACTCCCCTGCACACAGCGAGCAGGATTCCCGCAGCACTGAGCTGAGCTCCAAAAGCCTTGGCTTTTAACTGCCCGCGCTGCCTTCCCAGCCACCCCTGCCCCTTCTTCTGGGTGCTGGGAAGGTGCTGCATCATCAAAAGGCACARGCACCTTTTGGGCATACAAGCAGATGGAATATAGGAATAGAGTGTTATCATAAAATCAACCCAAGACACATTGTCGTGGTCGTTCTCTACCAATCAGTTTAATGAGCTACTTGAGGATGTTCCTCTATTGATTTGAGCTTGCAGTAGAAATACTTAGATCTTTTACTTTTCAACACCATTCAAGGAGTGTGTTAGAAAAATCACGTTAGCTAATTTTTTATATTAAGAAAAAACACAGAAAGAATACTAAATCAGTTCATTCAGATAACGTTTTAGCATGGAAGTGTACATCAAGACTTTTTGCCCTAACTTAAACCTTAGCAATTGAAGATGGATTACACAATTATGACCAGTGAACAAGTAATTTAGTGCCTGTTGCAGTTTTTTTTCCTAAATTGGCCACTAAGAAAAGCATGTCAAAGTCTATACTTTACAAAACATTTTTCCTGATATGTTTTTGAGGTTCTGGAATGTATGAAGAGCATTCACTTGTGGCTTGAATTGCCAAGAGTGCCTGAGGAACAAGTACAAGCTATTAAAGGGTATGTATGGTCTGTATGAGATCACCACATATAAAACAGCAAATAATTCCTTATTCTGAAAAAGACTTGGTTACCAGTGGGAAACSTTAGATGAGGTATTAATTAGAAAAATAATATAACATTCTATCATTATTTGAAAAGGAGGAAGTCATTAATAGTATCACTGGACAAAATTGTACTTTTTTAGAGCTAGAGAAGAAAATTTAATGCACCTATCATGTATTCAGTATACTGCAGGATTTTTATAAATGAATAGAAGATTGAGAGGGGTTTGAAAGATTGCTAACAATCATTAAAGGGAAACCTGGGAAAAGGTTGATATAGTTGGAGAAAGAAAATCATGCTTATAAGGTAGAATAATAAGGTAAATAATATTAGACATAAGAGTGGACACTGACTATGCAGCTATCAAAAAAATCGGCATCTAGATCTATGCTGTTTAAAAATAGTGAGTACTATACAGTTTTATAATCTCAATTTTTTTTCTCTTATTTTTAAAGGTTGGAAGTAAATGATGAAGCTAATACTTCAACTTTGATGATATCTGAAATTGTATCTCAGTGGAAGCAATATATGCCCCAGAACTGCTGCAGTTCAGATGATCCAATCCATAGCGTCCTAGCAGAGAGGTGAGTTTGATGTCCTCCCGCTTCCCACTGCAAGCTTCTACCTGCAGTCCATGGAAGAGCTCTCAAACCTAAATTATCATTTCCTGTTTTCAGAGCAATGCTTGAAATGTTGTATGCACTTTTCTAGTGTTGCTGCCGATTTATTCTGAAAACTTTAAGATTGCAGCTGAACAACATCTTCAAAATGAAGATGAGAAATTGTAGATTTTGGAATTACAGTAGAGATTTTACTTGGAGATTAGCATGAAAAAATAACCTTTGGTTTTTAGACTGGGAAAGCAAAATTATTTGAATATTTGTGTACTGACTAGGTTAGGTTGGTTTTAATCTAGTTTAAATGTTAAAAATGAACCAGCAACTCATTTTAATGCACAGATAAGTGCACAGATGGGTGTGACATTCAAAATGGCATGCTTTAATATCAAGATTCAGAAAGAGAAAGTATCTTGTTATACTTGGTATCAGACATGGAGGTATGTTAGTTCCAATTGTGTCTGACTCGGAATAATGATCAAAATAATTTGACTTTTAATTGCCATTCTTAGAGCAGCCTAGAGTCCCATGATTGAATGAGTATGTTTGAACTAAACACTTCTAATCAAACCCATTCAGCATCAGCAGCACAGAGCAAAGAGGATTTTCCCTGTTGCTTTGCTTATGTAACATGTGAGTCTTCTGCTTCCTACTCACCAGTCTGCAAATTTATCATTTATTAAAAAGAAGTGTAATGATTGAAGTGTTAAACCTTATTCTTAGAGTTTTTTGCCTTTATCTCTTCAAGTCATTAATGTTTGCTATCTCAGAGATAAACTGGGCATGAAGGAGATTAAGAAACACTTCTATAAGAACAGAATGGTTTAAGTGATATGTGACACATTAGTGTAGCAGATTAGAATATGACAGAAGGAAGATATTTGTGTGCTTTAACAAAGTATGATCTGGTGTGGTGTTGATTAAAAAAATGGCCTCAACACCTGCACTTTACACAATGTTAAGTCTGCTTCTTGTTCTCCCCAGAAGAAAGACCACACACTAACGGGAGTACTAATTAATAGCATTTGTTTCAGTGAGTTTTATTATGGTGGATGTTAATTCATTGTGCATTGAGCTATAGTGGGAGGCTTCAACCACAGCCCTGCTGTGACTTGATGTGTTCAGTGTATCATTTCAGCTAGGCAGTGTTGCTTATTGTTGTTGTATTTCTTTGGTCTGAATTGGGAAACGTGTTCATCATCATCAGTTTTGCATTTATATTCACTAAAGTGATAGAAAACACGGTCACTACCCTACTACACAGATCCTTGCTTTTTTCAGTCATGAGGTAAGGGCAGTTTATTTCCAGGTTTTCTGTATTAAAACATTATGAGTCAATACTTAATATGAAATGTATCCTATGTTAAATCCAGCTAACAAAAGATTGACATTAAAAATCCCTTCCTGTTTTGGAGGCTGCTGGTGGAACTCTGTGATATACGTATTTGCACGTTGTATTCCCCAAGACCTGTCCTGGAAGTAGTGGTGGTACTCCGCAAAATAAGCTCACAGTGCCATCAAGTGTCCCAACAGGTTACTGCCAGCGCTGGGCTGAGATACACGCAGTGGGTTAACAAGACCCTGCGTTCTCGCCAGAGGCACAACTATCTGCGGATGCTGAACAGGTTGGTGCTGGTTCTGCTTTATTTTGTGGTTAGGTTTATGCGAGAATGGCTGCACGCCGCTGTTGCTGCCTTTCAGTGGATTCTCTTGGAAGTTTAAAGTCAACAGTGTTCACCTGTTAACCCTTTCTGTGTTAAGTGTCAACCAGATTTCTCTTAAGTAGCAATATTGAAATAACAAAATATCTCAAATTGGAGAATAAGTTAATGGACATTGCATGATTAATTCACGGTAAATTACAAGCTTTCAAATGAAGTATTATTTAGATTTTTTTTTTTTTAGTTTCTAGCTTTTCCTGTTTAAGCATATAAATGCCATTCAAGTTTTATCTGACTGCAATAGGTTTAACCGATTTGAAGATTTTATCTACTTTAGTTTGCTGCTTTTTGTCATTACAACTGACATCTTTATAGGTAGAAGGGATATTGTTTAATATTCCATTAAATTTTTCTATTCATAAGGGCATTCCAAGGTTTTATAATTATTGTTTTATTGTCAAGGTTATGTTCCTAAAAATGCTAACCATGTTGTTTAAGGAACATAGCTTAAACTGAAAACTGATGATACACATTTGTGATTCGGTTGAACTGTAATTTATTATCTTTGGGTTAATGGGTGTTTGCAAGTTTTTCTTTGGAATCTTAGATAGTTGTCCTTTCTTTCCCTCCTCTTTTTCAGTTTATAGTCTTTGTTTATTTCTCTGGAATTTACATTGCTTTTTGCTAAAGGATATTTCATAGGGTTTTTTTTCTGACTTTGCAATATCCAGCAATTTAGTATGGTTGCAGACGTGTGAAGAATTTTTTTATTAATGATTTCTTTTTTATTTGGTTTTAGTTTGTTTATATATTTTGTTTGTTTTATTTTTTTCCCCTAGCATTAAATTTTTGTCTCCMGTGTTGCGGCTCATCTTACTATTGGTTACTCTGGAACTAGTCAATGTTCATTCAGTTTGTAAGAAGAATCCTTTTGCTTATCAGCAGTATCTAAAGTGAGTATGTAAATTTACTTTATGAAAATAGGAATTGTCCCAGAATGCCTTTTTGATCTGTATTGTAGAGAATTTTTATCATTATAGCCATAATTTTACCTTGGGGAATAGTTACTCAAGAGCTAAAAAAACTTTGTTGAAATGTGGATAGGGAATATTAATACATAAAAACTGCAGTTATTATGTTGCTGACTTTACTCCTTGTCTGTTAATTAACAGCTAGCTGGGTATCACATATATTGTAAAACATTTGTCCTAGAAAGCAAAGGAAGCCATTTGCAGAAGATTCTGTAACCATTTGATCACTCTGTTCCCTCTATGAGGATGTTAATTGCAGTTCTGAAAATATTCACATCTCACTGTGAGAGAGAGGGAGTGGTTGTTCTCCAAAAGTAGAGCAAACTTCATCCTGAGGGAGATTTGGAAACTTGAAGTTGTTTGCAGCTTTGAATTAGGTGTTACAATATTCTTCTCTCTTTTTTAAACTTTTCTTTTTAAATCCTTGAAAGAATTTTTCTCTAATGTTATTTCTCATAGGTTTTTGAAGTCAGTCTTGCAGTACACTGAGAACTTGGTGACATACACAAGCCCTGAGAAAAACAAGTGGCATGAAACCATGAAACTTACAAACAAGGCTTTGATAAAAATAAGGAAAATCAGTGACAGAAAGCTAATGTTGATGCATCTCTCTGTGTGAACTAAATGGGCTTAAGAGTATCTGCACATTGTTTTATCTAAGTAGTTATGGAAACCTCATATTTGATATGTCTGATTTAAAGACAAACTTCATCAGTCATTGTCAAATTTTGGATGCAAAATTTAGTCTTTTTATCAGAAGGTAGCTGTTATGCTGGAGGTCAATCATCAGTCTTCCAGAGAGCATGTTGTTTGCCAAATCCACTGAAAAATATTTACTGTGAACTAAATCAGGTTGATACAAGTTCTACTGTAAATATATTTTGTTTTGTACGTTGATTTTTAATTTTTTTTAGTTTCCTACTGTATTGAAAAATACCTAAGAAAAAAGTGTAAACAAAAGCTCTGGAAATTTTTAAATGAAAAAAGTAATTTTTTACTTTGAAATATGTCACATATTATGATAGACACTGTGTTCAGCGGGTTAAAAAATTATGAAGTTTCAGCATAAAATAGCTTTCATTGGAATCTGTTGTTGTTATTAGCTGTAAACAATCTGATCTTTCTCTGAACTCTGAGGTAGAGCTGGTAACACAGTAACCAGTTGTTTTTATATGAGGATTTAAAGGAGACAGGATGGAATAATTTCTCCTCAGTCTTGTTTGTTTTGTTTTTCATATGCCCGTTCCCAATACATATTTAGTTAGTTAATTTCATACAGAGTGAGTATGAACATGGACTCACAGACACATATTCACTGTGGTTGAGAAAGTTATCCTCTTATTGCACACATTAATTTGAATACTTTATTTTTTCAAAATAAATTCTCCCCCATTTTCATCACCAAAGAGTAGAACTTCAAAGGAATGCATAAGTTGAAAAACAGATACACAGAAGATCACCAGTGTCTCTCCATTTACTTTCTCCTATGGAGAGTGAAACCAGAGGGTAATGTCTGGAGAATATTTGGCTCTACAAGGGATTAGAGATTCAAGTTACATTTTAATAAGCTTCTCTGCAATGTTTCTGGACTGGAAATCACAGTGAKAGTATTAATGGTTTAGTTTATTCAATGTGGGGGATGGATATAAACTAAGATCATCCTACTTCCTTGATGCTACCCTTGAAATATATTGTGTGTGTTTGAAACTTAGATTTCTCAATATCCAAGGGTTCGTTCGTTGTTATGTAACTTAATTATGTGAAGAAGTTTGAACTAGATAAAATAGATTAAATCTAGAAATAATTAGTCAAATGCAGTGTATGAGGTACAGTCTAAAATTTCATCTTTTTTAAAAATTGAATCAGCAAATCCTGATCATATTTTTGGAGGCTTATTTTGTACCTATTGACTTTGCTCAGATGTATTAACTTCTGCTAAGTGTGTCTTGGTAATGACATTGATGATGACACTTGCTTTGATGGTGTTAAATATTCTAAGACAAAAATCATTTAAGTTTTATATATTCATTGTAGGAAGGGGATCAAGAAATTAACACACAGTCGTGTTTTCAAAGTACATAAACAACTGACACACTTTCTCCTTTTGAAAGTTCATGTACTAAAACGTATCTTATAGACCACAGAAGAATACTTTCAACAACATAAGTTCTCCTTTTGTTGCTATGTTTAAACTTTGGTAAAATGATCTTCTCTGTTCGCTTCACTTCCTTTTACCTAAGTTGGAGCACATTGACAGTTTCTTCTTTCCTTCTTTCTTCTTTCCCTAATTAGTGCCACAGATGTGATTTGTTGCTATAGGTTTGCAGTAAGAAGCATGAAGGATTTCTGGCAATTCTGTCAAAGATGCTTTTTCAGTTTGTTTTTCTACCTCTGAAGCTCTCTGATGGGAACACTGCTACCATCTATTGTTATACAAATCTGGAACAGGCTGGGACAATCCAGTTATTTATTCTGACTTAATGCTGTCATTTGCCAGAAGGTCTTATGCATGCTGGGCTTATGGGTTATGACAGTACTGCATGTCATTTGCATGCAGGACTTACAGATTTTTCCTGCTGTTAAAAGACTTACGGAATAGCGCTGTTGAATAAGTGTATATCCTGCAATGAACATTGAAGAACAAATGGCAAGAGATATGGTAGAGGTCATTGGGTTTGTCCTGTATCAGTTACTTACTTGTTGACTCCAGTTACTCATCTTTGCCATCTCTTCAGAATCACTTTTGAGTTTTAAGATATTATAAAGAGTSTAAACTCTGAACATTCAGCATTCCTGAGAGCACAAGAAGCTTGGAATAACTATATGCCTAGATATATCTAGAATTGTACCAAAGAATGTTTTCTTCCAAGTGTGGTATTTCATCCAAATATTATTTGGATCTGCTTTAATTGTTGGCATTGCTGTCTGAGGTCTGTGTTTTCCTTGAGGTATTCACTCAGTGAATCTGTATAGACATAGATGTGCAATCTGATTGCAGCATCACATGAGGAAAAATGTTGAATTATTTTGTTTGCCTGTATAATGCTAATGAAGGAGTGATAATTCTTAAGTCAGTTCTTCTGAGTTCAGTTAACCAGTTTATTAAAGAATCACACAGAACCAGAGAATGTTCTGAGTTGGAAGGGACCCACAGGGATCAAGTCCAACTCCTGGTCCTGTACAGAACCATCCCCAGGAGTCACACCATGTGCCCAAGAGCATTGTCCAAACACCTGAACTCTGTCAGGCTGGTGCTGTGACCACTTCCCTGGGGAGCCCATTCCAGTGCCCAAAAACATGAATGAAGAAAGGTTTTCTAATATCCAGCCTAAACTTCTCCTGACATAAATTGAAGCATTTCAGCATTTGTGATTTTTGGTACCTTCTAGGGAGCATGAGGATCAAAAGTTCACTGAGGTGGGCACTGTACAAATACAGTGAAATACCTTTTATGGTAGGCATCTGTGTGTGGAAACAAAGCTTGTCCTTTATCTCATTCAGTCGTTCTCTTGTTTGTGCTCTCTTCAATGGCCATAGGGGGGGTTAGAAACAGAACCATGTGTTCTTACTCAAACATCACACCAGTGACAAAAATAATTAAAACCATTTTGGGATTGTCATCACTATTGCATTACACAGAAACGTTTATGTAAGAGATAGAGCAAGAAATTTGATTTACTTTTATCTTTTAATACATCCCATCTAGTGGTTTCCAAACAGCCTGATAGCCTTTGAAGTGAACGCGTGGTGGCGGTGTTTGGTAACTCAAAATATCACTCAATTAGGACATTCACATATCTCTTTTCTTAGTATGTGTATAAAAAAAAAATCAAGTTTTCTTCTGATTTCATCTGTTTTGTTATATATGCCTCTAATTGTGTCTTCTGTTGAAACTTGTTTTCTTATTTGTTTCAGATTACTTTTGGAGAAACTGAATGTGTCTGAAAAAATTTTTGCAAACATTTTAGTAGTTAAGTAGAAGTTCACATTTTCCACACTACTTGTTGAGGACTTTTGTAATCTGTCCATCAGCTCAGCTGCCCCTCTCCTTATGTCTTTTAAGAGAATGACTTATTTGAATTTAATAAATAATTTATTTAAATTATTGTTTTTTTACAAAACGTAAGTATTGCTATTCCTAAAAGAAAAAAAATCAGACTGTCATTAATTGCTAGGAGAGCACCAAAAAAAATTTCTCGAAAGCAATATATATCTTTTGAACAAAAATAATAACTGTCAAGAAACACATTTATTGATTAGATTTCACTAAGATTTCAGCCTTATTGCTGTGGTAATGTTTTTTCAGTCTGTTGAAACTGAAATGTGCTATTCATATGCTGCCCTATGAAGAGCTAGTTGACCATTGCATGTTGGGTGGCCTTTGAAAACTTTGTCCACAGTAGCAATTTCAAACCATGTGGAAAGATTTCAGTTAGAAAAGATTTTCATTCACATGAAGTGATTTTTATATGCTGTGAAATCTTGGAACATACGCAGCAGAGTTTGTTTTCGCCGTACACTACATGAGTGCATCTGGTCCGTGTGTGGTGTATCACCTTTTTTTCATAAATTGATCTGCGGATGCAGAGCAGATTTCTGGCTGGTGTAAACTATTCCTGTCCCATCTTCTTTGGGGCAGATCCCTTACTCTGGTAAGGATCTTCCCCATTCTGTTTCAGTTTCCCTTTAAGGATGTTAGTTTCTATCTGTCCATCTCTTTCAGACTTGTGTACTTTCATGGGACTAGAAGAAAGAGCCACCTAGTTCAGATAAAATTGCTCTATAGCAAAAACTGATTAATTAATTACTTTGCAGGGAAGTGAGGATCATGCATGGGACTTCACAGCTACAAACCAAATTCTAGATTCTTTAATATTTTGTGTTTCAGGAAGAACTTTGCCTAGAATAGAAATGAATTTTCTTTTTGAGGCTTTTTGGGACAGCACTATAAGCTAGATCACCTGATCCTTGCTTTTTAAAATTTTTCAGGGATAAAGGGAGATCTCTTATTTATGAAGTCTTTTAAGCCATATAGATTCTCAGATAGAAATTGAAAGGAAAATGCCTGTTGTTTTTTCTTCTCTGGGCCTCAGGCAATAGGATGTAAATATGGGTAGTGAATACTGTGTGAGATCAAACTGGCGTTTTTTCTGAAGGTGAGAATCCAAAACAATATATACAATTAAAGCCAGCAGCCTTGCCTACCAAAAGGAATCCATGCCTTCTGGCATTCTCCACTGAATACCTCCTCTGTTCCTCTCCCATGTACATGCATCTCGCAGTTTCTTAAATAAAAAAAAAAAAAAAAAAAAACCTGTAGT